CACTCGAATAAAAGAATATAAAACCCTCAGGCCGCCATTCTCGGAATTGGGCGGCTTCGCGGTGAAAGAACAGAGAAAGAAGGAAACATGCAAATTCGTAATGTAGGCATACAGTTTGAGCAAAGCAAGAAGCGTTTCGCCAAACCATTAGGCATCCCCGACCGTTGTTCTCCTCTCCGGGCGTGGCCTTCTCAAACTCTTCATCCGGTTCATGAGTCCGCCGCCAATACCTCCGCCACTTGATTGCGGTTTCGTTTCTCCATTCGTAATTCCTTCACCAGTCAACTTTCTTTCCGAGACAGAGATGGATTTCGGGCTGCTGTTTAATCTATCTTGTTTTCTCGATCTATACAGGCGGAATGGCGTTTTATAGGTTTCCGGTGCTTTTGGAGTCCGTTTTCGAGCATTTGAGCTACGCTAAGGTCGTCTCTTTAAAGCATTTTGCCCGTTTTATACGTCGTTTACGCTAATTTTGTCGCCCTCGTTATGTTACCGTTTCAGTTTCTAGACGCGTTCGGGATCGCCGGAATGGTGGAAAGGTTTGGGAAAGACTGACACTGGGAGGCGGTACGGTGCTCTTCTATCGAGATCTTTTCTCGTTTGCAATTATTTTCCCCCTTCCTCTCAGCATTGGGTTCGTTTGATTTCTCGCTCTCCTTACCTGTCGGTTTTGTTCGGTTGAAAAATTTGTTTCTCTGATTATTTGATTATTTACCATTTTTGACTGTCCTTCTAAGAGAGAGCACACAGGAGTCCGGTCTAGCTGCGTTTATTGTGTTTACGGGTTGTTAGCAAAGGGCAACACCTCTATACACCAGCTGGTCCTGAGTGTTTCCTCGGTTCCTGGCTGCTTCTAAAGTTATCGCGGGCTACTTAATCTTTAGTGTTTTCTCTTTTCTTTGAAACCCCTGCAAATTTGCTCTTTGCCTCTGCTGCTGTGAGTTAATCAGTACCGTTTTACCTTGTTCACTGTTTTTGCCCATGTTGCGGGGCGCTCGCTACTTCTTATCGTTACCTTTGAGCTAATACTCTTTAATTCTCCCTTCAGTGGGAATTTTGACTCTGTCGCTCATTGTGTTCCCCTTTTTCAAGCATTTTCGTCTTCTATTGAGTGTTTAATTTATTTCTAGGGTCTTGCATTCTCTCTAGATCTTGTTCGGTCACCCGTCCCACTCAATATTTTGCCCTTTGATATCTCGTCATATATCCACTTCTGTTATCTCCGAATCTCGATGCTGTTACCCGGATTCCGTCTGCGTTCGTGTCAATATCTCTGCGTTTGAATTGAATTGATCTTGTCCCTTCTTGTGCTCGTGGCCTTGCGCTCTATCTCTCTCTCCGCTTCTAGTTCCTTAACCAACGTGACACTGAACATTCGAGTATCTTGTCTGCAATCTCCATACAGTGTACAATAATTTGTTGAAATTTCTTCAGCATTATCTAATGAGGGTGTTCTCTTGTCTGCTGGTCGCACTCAACTGCAGAAATTCAGTGGTGTCATCTGGATCGTAGTGGCGTGGGTATGTTCGACGAAGCTCTAAGATCCATAGTCGTGTACGTGGATATAGACAACGACCAAATACAGAATATCATACGACCTGTGCCCCACACAGGGTTCTTAAAAGGCGGCTCAAGAAAAGCCCAACATCACACTTTACTTCCCCTGCGCCAAAAACAACCGATCCCCGATATCTCCCAGACCCGGCCGAATCATACCCTTCGCATCAATCTCATCATCCACGTCGCCCACCAATACCTCCACACCCTCGGGCCACTCACTCGCCGCCTTGGTCAAACCGGTCCGGGTCCCTAGGATGCTGAGTAGAATTACCTTCTTCACGCCCCATTCTTTGAGTGACTGGATGGCAGCGGCTGCAGTGCCGCCGGTAGCGACGATAGGGTCGAGGAGGATAGCTAGATCTGCGGCGGTGCCGTTTGCATCGGGGTTAGAGGAGGTGGAGCGGTGGAAGGGGAGGTTGTTGTAGTATTCTACGGGTTGGAGGGTGGTAGGTTCGCGGAAGAGGCCGAGGTGATGTACGGGTACGGGGTTGGGGAGAAGGTCCTGGAGTGCTGGATGGTTTTATTGTACGGTTAGCTGGAAGGAAGAGAAAGAGAGGAGAATAGTGGGAGTTTGTTTGCCTTGGAGCATTCCTAGGCCAGAGCGGAGGATAGGGATCAGAGCGATTTTGGTGGGGAGAATGGTTTCGGTGGTGTATTCGTATCCGAGGGGGGTGGTTTCCTATAAGTAGTGTTATCCTATACTACTTCACTGGTGCGGATAAGGGGATATGCTCACTGTTCCCACCGGGACGTAGCCTCTAAATTGCTTGCCAGTGCCTCACAGCCTAGTATCGTCGAGATCTCTTTGACAAGGGCGCTGGTTTCTCGAGCAGTGGTTTTGCTAGAGCGGAGCTGGGAGAGCTTTGCTCGCAGACATGGATGCCGAGAAACTTCAATATTACTGGGGAGGGACGTGGGAAACATCGTGCGGGAGCCCTGTAAGATGTGCGGGCTTAGATTGCTGTACACTGGCTGGCAATGCGCGACGGAAGATGGGGTGTCAGTAGGAAGCAAATGCAAGATTTACTGAGAACTGAGGTGTATTGACAGTACCAGATGTGGTCAGGCGGACAGCCGTGCCCAACCTCTACAAGTGTTGACTCCTGCGGGGCTGGTGACGCGCATCGTCAGCTTTGGTGGAGACGAAAAGGGGGCTTATCTTATCTGATCCAATCTTACGGTATTTTTTTGTATCAACATTACAATGCTTGGCGGAATCACTGATACAGTTATATTACTGCCGGCTGGATCATTTGTTGTCAACCATTGAGAGACCTTGACAAATCGTGGAGAGGTGAGATGATAACTTCAACGATTTTGATCCATGTTGCTGATTGACCAGTCTCAATAGCTAATTACACGGCTGGTGGTAAGGAAATGCTTCCGGTAATTTCCTCTTGCGCTATCTAGTGCCCTCGTTGAGAGAATACCGAAACGAACCACCCCGATGGACGAACTACCGTACGCCGTGGTTTATAGCGGTATATGGATATGGACGCAGTAGAGCAAGGACCCTCAGACGAGCGACAAAGAGATGGACGTCGTGAGAGCTTGGAAGCACCCGCACGGGACGAAGAAGATATCGTACCGCCTACCGAATTAGCTTTCCCCCAGGTCGAAGAGGGGCGACTGGAAGAGGAAAAGGAGCGTAGGCAGCGAGATGAAGAGCTATTCAGAAGAGCCGAAGAGCAGGGAGCTGGCCCTTCTGAAGTCGCTGTTCCGCCGCCCGTAGAAAGACATCCGTCGCGTTGGGAGCCGCCTGTTACATTGGAGAGTGCTGAATCGCGGATTTCTGGGCGCCCTCCTTCGCTACGTAGCGTGGTACCACCGGAGCCTACAATATCAGAGTTTGCGACGAAGCTATACACCGTTTCATATTTGATATTCTTCTCCATTTTTGGTGCTCTGGCGCGGGTTGGCATGGAAACTCTTACCTACTACCCCGGCGCGCCGGTTACAACTGGTGTGCTATGGGCCAACGTTGGAGGGTGCTTGTTGATGGGGTTCTTTGCGGAAGACAGAAATCTCTTCCGTGAAGAATGGGGCGAGCGGCAGACTGCAGAGAAGGATGACGATATGGCTACTTGTTCCCCGCCGCGACTGGACCGAAGGGCAACCATCCGTGAAGACGATCTCAAAATACACAAAGCCATCAAAAAAACAATCCCATTGTATGTTGGATTAACAACTGGCTTCTGCGGATCATTCACGTCGTTTTCCTCTTTTATGGGAGACGTCTTCCTTGCTTTGTCCAACGACCTTCCGAATCCAAACTCTGGTTCAATCTTGCCGCGAAACGGAGGATATAGCTTCATGGCAGTGGTTGCCGTGATTCTATATACATTGTCGCTCAGCCTGTCATCGTTGGCCTTCGGTGCTCACCTTGCGGTTGCGTTAGACCGCTATACACCGACATTGCCATTTCTTGTGACACGAAGAATTGTTGATCGGTCCATTGTCGTTCTTGCGTTCGGCTGCTGGTTGGGCTCCGTGCTTCTTGCCATTTGGCCCCCAGATCGACACAACGGTGCTCGTGAGAACTGGCGAGGTAGGGCGGTGTTTGCGGCGGTGTTCGCACCCCTTGGCTGCTTGCTCCGTTACTACGTTTCATTGTTACTCAACTCGAAGGTTCCATCATTCCCTCTCGGCACATTTGCCGTCAATATGCTTGGGACTATGGTTCTGGGGATGTGTTTCGACTTGAAGCACGCGGCAAGTGTTGTTGCAATGCCGGTATCCGCGCGTACGTTTAGTGTAGGTCGTCTCACTGGCTGCCAGGTCTTGAACGGAATCATGGACGGCTTCTGCGGCTGCACTACAACCGTAAGCACATGGGTGGCAGAGTTATACAGCTTAGAACTTCGGCATGCTTATCGTTACGGCCTATTGACCGTTGGATTAGCGCTGTCACTTTTGGTCGTGATCATGGGATCTATGAGATGGACTGTTGGGTTTGCAGCCCCAGTTTGCTGATGGAACTTGATCTATGATATGTCCATGGAGTGCGGGGCGATCTTCGCCCAAAATTATCTACAGAACGGATACCTATACGCGACACCAATTCAGGACAAGATAAGGAATTACTATCTCGGCAGTGGTTATCACCAGCAGTTCCTCCACCGCACACCAGTTCCAGGTGTCTATCATAGCCGTTCAGACCACGAGGTCCTCCTCTAACGCTCCAAATCCAAGGCCGTTGACACCCATCCCGTTTCGGATAAGCCTCTTCGGTCCGTCGGCAAAAGATGCTCCTCCAGACCTATTATTAACCCGGTTATGCTGTGTTTCCGCTGCGACGCGGGCACGGGGCACGAGCCGCCATCTCTTCACGTCGGGAAGCTTCCTTGGCTGCATTCCGTCGCTGCGCAGCTGTTGATTCTCACAATCAGCCCAAAAATACGGTCGAAAGCTAGCTTCTAGGAGAGACCAACCTTGCCAGAATAGCCAGTACAAGACCATGATTATTATTGATAAGACGATGAATCCAAACATGACTCCTAGTTCTCGAACAAGCGAGGCAGGTGTATAAGGTGGATAGTGAGCGTAGCCTGGCCTGAGGTTGCCATGTTCGTCGGTGTGCCTGGGGTCCTCTGCCATTGCGGACTTCGAAGTCGGATTCTCTGACGGCGACGGCCAGGTGGAAGAGAGGCTCCCGACGCTTTATTCAGCGATCACGCTGGATTATATAGAGTTGAATATTGAATGAATACCGAAATATAAGTATGTATGTACAGAGGAACAACAGATAGCGACGGAAGACGTCCCTGATATTCTACATACCAACTTGCAAACCGTGCAAGATCTTCAGGATTGTGGAGGCAGACAGAGTTATGAACGTGCTGGCCCTCCATGCGCCCTTGATTCGCTGCCCTATTAAGAGCTGTGCCACTTCTTGAGCGTGCTGCAAACAGACAAAGAAAAATGGCCGAAATCCTAGGCGTCTAGCAATTTACGGCTTGGGCCACGGCTAAACGTGACAAATGCGGACATCGTAAGCTGGGCTTCCAAAGTCTAAACCCGCTCCAAAGGAATGCATCCTCACTCCTGTTGCTCTCGCAGAACATAATCCCGGTTCCTCTTCTGCCTGCTGACATTGTGTTGCGTTGAGCTGCGTCCACCTGCTGGAGCAGCGGCGCTGAGTTGATCCGAGCCGACGTCAACTTCATGCATCTATTTGGGCTTGCAAGCTTCCATCACGACAACAAAGTGCATATTCAACTTGGATATTACATCAAATAGAATAAAGAGCTTTGCTGATGACATGATCTTGAAGCTGTATGATTAACGCCATTGGAATTTACTCCACCAATGGGTCATGGGTTCTTCTATGTGCATTGACATAGAAGGGATTTGTTCCTCCTTTTCCTTTCTCAACAGATCATTCTAGGCTTTGCCATAAGAGTCTATGTATGATAGGAAACTTGGTATCAGTGTATTGCTTGTCAATATAATGCTTTCTGTTTACTATACAAGGATTTCTCACCCTTTGTTGGACCGGGAGAGATCAATGGAATGTTTCCGTCACCTGGTGGGCCAAGCTGCAGAAAGCCTTTTCTCATGTTGTCTCAATGCACAGCTTAGGCTGCTCCCATAGATATATAAGTATAGTCCAAAGGGCGATGGAGATAGCAATAGCACCACTGTCTTTTGGCTATATAGTTCTGATCAAGAAGATCGCCATGGGCCAATTTCCAATTACTTTGCTTCATGGTTTCTGCCATGCTGCTGGAGTGTATTTGATATTTGATAATGTGGTAACCATGACAGCCTCCTGGTTCTGGCTTTCATGGCAATAACACAACAAGCCCTCGCTTGTTTCGATGGCCTTCTATCAGAAACTTGTGACCTCCCACACACACACTCACTCAAAGCACAAAATTCTTGCAACCCTAGCTATCCCTTTTTTTTCTACCATTTTTCTTCCCAGCCTGAAGACATTCCCATCTCTTATATTCAACCTATTTGACCAAGGCACCAAAGTTACAAAGTCTTTGTTATCGTCAAGGAATAAACAAGCATCATGGCTCCACTTAATGATGTCGTCGTGCACCTTTACCATGTCATGGAACAATATCATGCTCCGGAAGCCAGGGGCCAGAGCACTATGATCACTGGGATTGTTTTGATGGCCATCGCCGTCTTGCTTGTGATCAATCGTTTTCATGTTCACTGTTTCACTGGCCGAACCCCAGGCTTTGATGACTATCTGATTGTGTCGTCTCTGGTAATTCATTGAGATGGCTCCAGCTAAAATTTACTTGCTGATGGTATCTAGGTGTTCTGCGTCGCGATGAATGGAGTGAATACCGCTGGTAGGTAGTATCCAGTTCTATGGCTTGCGAGTGTAATATGCTGATGGAGAATGTAGCAATTCAATATGGGTATGGAAAGCATGTTAGCGACGTTCCCAAACATGATATGAACATTGCCTTGAAGGTATGACTTTGATACTCTATTACAATGCAACAGCAGAGGCAACTAATATCGTTCTTAGCTTTTTTACTGCTTTCAAGTCCTGTACAAGTGTACAATCAACTTGACAAAGGTTTCGATTGTCTTGCTATACCGCCGGATCTTCGTTACTAGATTCATTTTTCGCCTCGTTTGCGATTATATCGTTTGCCTAGTCGCAACATTCGCTGTTGCCAGCATCTTCGCCAGCATTTTTCAGTGCATGCCTGTTTCAAGAGCTTGGGACAGATCCATTCCCGGAACTTGCATCGATTTCGCAGCCTTCTGGAATGCGAATGGCGCTTGGGACATACTCACTGATGCTATGATTTTGACCCTGCCACTACCTCTCCTTCACACCCTTGGTCTTCCAACTCAACAAAGAATCGGGCTGGTGGCGATATTTACCTTGGGATTCTTGTAAGACATCTCTCATTTCTCTCCTTGTCTACCGCCAGCTATTCTAATATGCCGCTATCAAAATCAGCGTTTGTACTACGTCGATTCTGCGAATCACCACGCTTGATGTTGCGTCCCAGTCCACGGATCCAAGCTATGGAACTTTGACCTCTACCATGTGGACCACAATCGAAGCCAACACTGGCATCATTTGCGCCTGCCTCCCTATGCTTCGCATCACGATTGCCAGATTCGTTCTGTATATGACAGATCTGCGTCGTCGTGCTCAGCCTGCTCCTCTTCAGCAGGACATCTCGCTGGATAGTTCGATGGAGATGCCGATTCTTCCTCCGCCAAAGGTCAGCATCTGGGCTAAGATCTTTTCTGGAGCCTGGTTGAAAAGGGGCCGAACGGAGAACTAAGTGGCTTCAGGGACGGACTGAAATCATCTGGTGCAATGGGAGCTAAGGAGGAAGGGTTAAGGATTTCATGGCGAAGGGAAAAGGAAAACTGGGAACCAAACTCGATTCTAAAAGCAAGGGTCTTTACCAGGAATGTTGATTAATTCTATGCCTACTTAAACCGTCTAAAACTAGGCCTTAAAAAAAAATCCATTTCAAGGTGATTAACATTTTAGGAATCATCAAGGAATTCCACCTACTACTATTGATATCCATAAACTTGCGCCGTATAGTAGAAGATCAATACTATGTTTTGTCAGCCGCTTGTTGCCCTACCCCTTGAAACAGCTCCCTCTTAATCTGAGCTGCCATCAAGCCCGTTAGCTCCTCTCCTGCTATACGATCTCCCTCCTTGACAACCTTCTCTAGATGTTGGTCCTTGGTTGTTAAAGCACTTTCCCGCTGTGTACTATTCTCGACCGCTCTGGTCGCTTTCTTAATCTTCTCCCCTAAATCTGCGATCTGTTTGGTGGTGTAGTCGCGATTTGTAAATAAGGGGCTCTGACTAATTGTAGCTACCCAGTACTTGTTCCATAGTAAGGATAGAATTTTGGTATCAAGCGTGGACTTGAAATGCGAGACTGTGAGAGAGTAATACTGCGAGGCATGGGCACCAAAATCTTCCACCTTGTGAAGTGGGATGCTCTGATATCCGTCGTCATCTTGCTCAGCATTCGACGGTTGGTAGTTTTTCGGATACGTCCTGAAAGCGCCGATTTCAACCTTGCCCGCAGAGATCGTTCGATCGGGGTCGATCACCACCGCGACGAACGGGTCGCTGTATGTCTGCTGTGTATCCTGCGTGGACACATCGATTCCAGACAGCCAGCATCCGTAGCCCGGATGGCTATGGTACCACCCAATCGCGTTCTCCATCCTTCCGGAATCCCGACAGGCTTGCAAGTACGAAACCATGTACTCATTCGCTTCATCCTGGGCATTGACCCGTGTCTCGGTTCCCTCGACGGGGAGTCGAAATGCATCGGTGACGATGAAGGTGTTGGCCGAGACATAACCCTGCATTAAGCCCATAACCTCAAGACTGCCGCCTGAGCGAGCGTGCATAACCATTTTGAGAAGCGCTACGGCGGAGATGCGGATGGATGTGAAGTAGTGGGGGTCTTTCGACCAGGGCTTGGAGGAGACGACGGCTTGCGAGGCGGCGGGGTCATATTTGTAGAGGGCATCGCGGTGGGCATCAACCAGCTCGACGGAGTTTTCGATCTCTGGAGTGAAATCGAATTAGCTAAGAATTCGCGCAGAACAGCCACATATAACATACCCCAGGATTTCTGTGCGGCGTCCATTGCGGCTGAAGGGGCTTTGCAAAGGGGCCCAATCTGACTGCTATGGCATCAGCTGGCAGAACTCTCAACCTGACTGCATCTGCGCTTTTCAAGCGAGGATGAACGTGCTCCGCCGTCGTGTCGCTCCGTCCTGTTGACAGCTTCTGGCCCTGGGCTCACAGGATGACCTCAGCGGTTGCTCGCTTTGGGTTTAGCGGCTTGGTCATGTGGGGTGGGCGGCAGAATCTGGCGGTGAGCATCTTAGTCAGCCGTTGCCTGGCCAACCGCGCGGAGAGTCAACAAACCGGTGCTTTTCCCACCGCCCGCCGATATAACAGCTTCAGCTGATCCACGTCTTCCCGTTGGCTGCCCTCCGTTGCTCAACCCCAACTCGACTTTTGCGGGAACTGCGTTTCCTTTGTTCTGGTTCCGCCTCTTGCAGCGATTGAATATGCGATATTGCTTTTTGCCAGACGGATTTGGATCTGTGCAATTGACCAATTCTCGCTCCACTTTCTCTCGTTTGACGTAGAGTTCAGTTTGAAACTTTTGCGCTTCACTCTTTTTTTCGCGACGCGACTTTCTTTTACATCACCTTCAGCGTGCTATAATACCGAGTCAATACTACGACGGTCATTCGCTGAACATTGAGTCGCGATTCTTCGGTTGCGCGCTCGCCATGACCGTGGATACCAGCTATTTGACCACCCAGGTCAACAATATCGTCGAGCAGTTACACGGCCTATTTGACGAGATTGGGGTGCCAAACCATGAGCGAGACTCGAGGGAGTCGGAGGTAGACGACCACCATGCATGAGCTTGCTGAACATGGCTGACTAGTGACGCTAGCTCTTCGCAGCATTGTCCGAAACACTTAACGACCATGTACGGCGCGTTAATAGGTAAAGACTTACCTGGACATGGCAAAAACATTAGTGCTGACTCAGTGACTACGCGCAGCGAAAAGAATGACATGATCGAGGAAGCGAATCGGCTGATCACTACCATCAAACAAATGGAAGCGTCAGTTGAAGATAACGTATATACTTCACAGCGCCAATCCGACGATCCAGACCTCCGTGTTACACTTCCACTAAACCATTGCCTCGCTTTACTGAGAGAGAAGCATGCTGCTGTCAGCAAATTGCACCAAGAGCGCTTTGAGCAAGTCAAGAGTACGTACCGCGCAGTTCCGTATTATTTCGCCCCCCGCAGCTAATGATCATATCAGAGCTTGTGGAAGCGCTTGAGTCCTATTCCTCTCATCTCGAGGCGACTTTTGTTAGAATCCCACTACCACCCACAGCTCCTGGTACTACCGTCCCGCCTTCATTCGATCTCTCTGCCTCATACGTCAATGCGCTTGATAGCGAGTTTAGTAGGGTCTACGAAGAGTACAATCGGCGCGTTGTAACGGTCAGCACAGTTTGTGAAGAGATAATCAAATTGTGGGCAGAACTTGGCACCCCTCAGGCTCAGACTGACCCTGCAATCGTGCAGAACTACAGGGATTCCCCTGAACAGCTTGGTTTGCATGAATCCGATCTTACATCTTTGAAGGGAAAACGCGAGAAGCTGCTTGAAGAAAAAAGGGGGCGAGAACGCAAAATCAAGGACCTGAGAGCTGCTGTTGAGTCCCTCTGGGATCGGTTGGGTGTTGAAGAGGCCGACCGAAAAGGTTTCCTTGCGGCTAACCGGGGTTGCGGCTTGCGCGCCATTAATGAATTCGAGGAAGAACTTGCTCGGCTCAATGAGCTCAAACGGCAAAACCTCCATTTGTTTGTCGAGGACGCTCGCTGCCGTTTGCAAGAGCTATGGGACAGCCTATATTATTCCGAAGAAGAGATGCTTGACTTTACTCCCGCCTTTTCCGACGTTTACAGTGATGCTTTGCTTTCTGCGCATGAGGCTGAGATTGCCCGTCTAGAAGCGCTTAAAGAGCAACGGGCTCCTGCCCTAGAGCTGATTGATAAACATCGCTCCCTGGTACAGGATCGTAATGCTCTGACTGCCTCCAGTCAAGACGCCTCTCGGTTGATGGGCCGTGGCACAGGGGGGCAGAAACGTGACCCAACAAGATTGTTGAGAGAGGAGAAAATGCGAAAGAGAATAGCAAAGGAACTCCCTAAAGTTGAAGTCGACTTGCGAAAGGTATTGGAAAATTGGGAGGATGAATATGGCAGGCCGTTCCTTGTTCAGGGTGAGAGGTATTTGGATGAGTTGGCACCAGTGCCTCAAAAACTGCCTCCCCGTTCCAAAACTCCATCTGGTCCATCTTCTGTTGCAAGGCCAATGTCCAGAGCTGCCACGTCTCGTAGCGGTGGTACAATTCGAGGCCAACAAAACCAACCCTCCGCTTCTAAAACGCCCAGCGCGAACGGGACACTCAAACGTAGCGTCCTGGCGAACATGCCCGGCAACAATAATACCAATCCCCGGTCAAAGTCGCCGACAAAGCTTCCAGCTCGCGTGCCACTTAGTAACATGCCGCATGGTAACAACTCGCCAGACCGCCGTCCAAACCAGGCCTATTCATGCAGTACGCTTCGTGGAAAAATGGGACCTCCGCGTGCACCTCCTCCGAAAATGAGAGACCTCTTCTCCAGGGAGGAGACGCCACAGCCTCCACCTCAACCGAGTCTGAGCCGAAGCCGCAGCGTTATGTCGTCTACATCAAGTGGAAAGGTGCGGCCAATAAGTCCAGAGGACGTGTATGATGATCGTCAGCGGTCCTTTATGAGTTCTTCCATGTCTCATTATAGACCGCTATCTGACCAGTCTTTCCAATCCTCTTACATATCGAGCCGCGAGGACGTGAGCTTTTGTCAACAACCAAAATTTGCAAATCAACAATATCAACAACAATATCAAACCCAAATTCCTGCGCCGAGGCAAATATCGAATTCTTCAACCACAAATACGGTCACCTCCGGTTCTGAGAATTGGGAAACATATGACGATGCCTCGGAGCCAGAAGTAGATGCCACTGAAGCATATTACGCCAAAGTGAGGGCCGCGCAAGGCAACCGACTAAGGGCTGAGTCGCAGGTCAGTTACCAGAAACCAAAGAGCATCAGGGGTGTCGGGTCGGACGACGCCTTGGTTCAAGACAGTTTCCACTCTGGGCGCCTTGATGGCGGCGATGGGTGGACAAATGAGCTAGAAACGTATTGAGGCGGTTTATCTCCCTCACTCTCCACCTTACATTTCGAATTTCCTGTGCATACTTTCGTTTCCGGATACACGACGTATGAGAACGTGCCATACGAGATTTTCGTGTTCTTTTCTAGCATGGCGTTTTGAAACTGGATTGTTGTTATGGTTGTTGCATTCGATTTTGAGCATTGGCGCGGAATCGTGGTGGAGGGGAAAAGAACCGCTTGTATGCTGTCTATTTTCATCGCTTTGTGTTTAAATACCTTTTGTTCCAGATGATACCGTGGCCTCCTTTTGGGCCCTTTTTTGTTGACTTACAGGTGGCTTTTTCTGGGTTTTATATTTGATTGTATTGTATGAATTTGTTTTAATTTGGCTATATTAGAGCTGTTTCTTTTTGGCAAAGAATGGTTCCTCAGAGACTCATCCAGTGACAGTCTGCTCTTGAGCAAAATCAAGCCGGTTATTGACCTGTTAGGCTTAATGAAGCTGGCTTTTTTAAGACGGCCCTCAGTTCTAAGCACTGAACGTCGACTTTCCGGGCACGCTCCCAGCAAGAGGCTTATATAAGAGCAAGAATCGGTTGGCTTCCTCCTTTAGCGAAGTTTCACAAGGTAGTTAGCAGAGAAAAGCAGCCCCTGAATTTTTGAGAGGGCCATTTTGTCATAGTTTCTGCCTTCTCAACCCAGCGTGGATTGAGATGGAATTGCTGGCTTTGCATCATCCCAGACAATCCTGGATTGGTGCCAGCTGGCATTGTGTTTGTCAGTTGTTTTAATCATTGTGTTGCAAGGGGTTTCGAATCTTCTGCGGCTTTAGGACATGCGGCCAAAGAAGCAGCTGCAGAGGAGGTGAATGCCCTTGCAGCCAATCTGGAAGAATTGGCAAACACTTAAAGTGCATTTTCCCGCGGCTTTTTCGAACCACCGTGTTATCAATTGCAAGCGAATCCCCATACTCCGCATCCACAGCGCGGACACACCCTGTGATGATGTGATCAGCTACCTATGCATTGAACATCTGACTTTTATATAATAAGCATCAGATCTCTCACATTTTGCGAATATTTCTTGCTGCTTGTCTTTCGCCACAGCTGCCTTGCTGATTAACTAGGGGTTAACTAGTCAAGGGTGAGATAAGGCTATCCAATCACCGTTTCACTTCAGTTGGATTCATGATTGCATCTTAAATTGGCAACTGATCTATTTTTGTGCTGTCTATCCAAAGTCCAGAGTGAAAGGTCGGGAGCGTCTGCCAGAGCGAGATTCAAATGTTGTCATTGCTGTGTTGTTAGCAACATAAATATTGAACTCTTTACAATATCTTGTTGACATTCTGCTGTTTATGCTGCAGGCTCTCTCTTCAGTTAACTAGTTACCCTCTTGTTATTCGCGTAAACACAACTGCACGGAAGCCTAAGATCTAATTGCTTACTACATACCTTAACCACCACCCGCATCAAGGACCATACGGCCCTTCTTTCTTGCACGACACTTTTCATGTCTGTTGCTGATCCGGCCTTTTCGGGCCCTAGGCCATCTTGTCCCAGATGCGGGTTCGAGGGCTCCCCCTTTTCCCATGAAGATGCCAATGCAAAAGCAGCGCAGCGGAGAATCTCAGAGTTGGAAAATCAAATCAGATATCTAAATCAACGTGCAGCAACGACAGGTATGCTTGAGAATCATCTTTTCCTCTCTGATTGCATGGTTTCCCCAGTCCTGCGAAACATGTGGGCTTTGAAAATATGACATGGATGTTCTAACGCCCAATCCTTTATGTGCTTCATTGAACAGCCGAGAAATTAGCGGACTATGAGGATGAGATCCGTCTTCTACGCTCAAAATCCCAATCCGCCTCCACATCCACGCCTGCACTCCCACAAACACCAACCTTCACGCCGCCGTCACAGCTGAACTTGTCGCCTTCCCCCTCACCACCGCGGCAACCACAGCAACCGCAGCATACTCGTTTCGCGACCCTAACGTCTTTCCTACCATACGGAAAACGCAACAACTCGAGCGCCAACGGCGCGCCACTTAGCCACACCGTCTCCTTGCCCGAACCCACCCAAACTTCACCTCCTACAACCGCGGACTTTTCGCTCACCACGTCCCTCCAGGACGCTCTGCAGCGCGAACAAGAGCTTCGGAAAGCGGCCGAGTCGCGACTCACACAGGCAAACTCGGAGCTGGAAGAGCTCACGACGCAACTATTCAGCCAGGCGAACGAAATGGTTGCGCAGGAGCGGAAGGCGAGAGCGAAATTGGAAGAGAGAGTTGCGCTGCTTGAGCGGAGGGATGGGGAGAAGAGGAGAAGACTGGATCGACTGGAGAAGGCGATTCAAAGAGTAGATAGGGTGAGGGAGATGGTTAGCGGGTAGAGCTGCCTTTTGGAAATATTTGGCGTTGCCGGAAGGATTTCTCGCTCCAGGGTTTTGTTATATCGGCATGCTCATGAGCAAATGTGTTATGTTTGAATGAGATTATGAGAATCCACAGTGTCTACCACTATTTCCAGGTCATCAAAAGTTTCACAGTTTTAACAGGCACACCACCTAACCAGGCTCGGATAAAGGTCAAATCATGAATATAAGGTCCGGCCTGTATCTCTGCCCGTAAATTCAACTGTACCGGAAACACGGGCGGAGCGCAATGAGCTTTCGAGCGGGGCGGAATGCCAAGATGCACAATCATGACTAAGCAGTCCCGAATAGGGTGCGAATGAGGGCTTTTGCACGACCAAGCCCTAAGATTTCCAAGTTCGCTTAGCGACCCACTAGCGCCGCCAGCACCACCGAAACGCTCTCAGTTGGACTTGCGCAGGAGGAATTCGAAGTTGAAGACCGACCTCGAAAAACATCACCCAGTCGACAACCTCCACGACCAGCTTCGGGACCCCATAACACCGTCAAGGTATGAGCTCCGTGTCTCAAATCTGGACAGGAAGAGGTTTGGAGGAATTTTAGTCAGATGCTGACCATGTGTGTTGGACGTTGCAGATGGTCGCCGCAAAGCATATCCCCATCGTGAAGAAGCGTACGTTGCTCTGCTCCCTTGAAAGAAGTGATGATTCGGTTTGGGAGGGCTTCGAAAGCCGGTCGGCTGCGATTTTGGTTGCTGGAACCTAAGATTTTGGCACGATTGCTCTTTTGGAAGATTTCATTCTGATTGAAGAGATGGATGGGCATTGATCACGAAACTTGAGGCTGATTTGGGTTATTTCTCCGGTACAGACACGAAGCGCTTCAACCGACACCAGTCGGACATGTTCAAATGTGTCCCGTCCTCATGGCGTAAACCAAAGGGTATCGACAACCGCGTTCGCAGACGGTTCAAGGGTCAGGCTGCTATGCCCAAGGTACGTCGGAAAACTCTGAACCGCGCTCGGCGATATCATACGATCTTCCTGCAAATTGATGGGGGGCGAGTTCCTGCTCGCGAAAGCAACGGTTTTTGGGGAATTCGTTTGGAATCAATGGGCCAGGGCGAACTTTTGGCTGGCGCGGATTATCGCTGACGATCAACGTGTTATTTCAATAGATTGGTTACGGCAGCAACAAGAAGACGAGACATATGATCCCCTCCGGACACAAGGTCTTCCTGGTCAAGAACCCCAAGGATGTTGAGCTCCTGCTCATGCACAACCGTACCTATGCCGCTGAGTACGTCAACGATCCGGCTCGCATAACACCAACGTGCGTCTAATTGAATCTCTCTTTCTAGGATCGCCCACGCTGTCTCCTCCTCGAAACGCGTCGATATCATCGCCAAGGCCAAGCAATTAGGCGTCAAGGTCACCAACCCCAAGGGCAGAGTTACGACTGAATCCTAAGCGCAGTCCGTTATATGTTTTTGTCAGTCGGGGTTGGTGCGTGGTTGGGTGTGCGTTTTCGTGGCTCTCTTTTTCCTCACCCGTTCTTCCATGTTTCTCTTATCGGGACAGAAAATAAAGCGGCCAGCATGTGACTGGAAAGGGAGATGCATAAGACTCCATTTTCCGCACCTTTTTTTTTCAAGTAACGAGTCAACAATATAATGGAAATATTATGCTCGTTATGACTATTGTCCGCCAGTTCGCTTTATTTGGGAGCTGCGTGTCATCGATGTGCCTGAAATAAGAGCTGTGTCACCACTTCCCAGAATGTAGCTGAAAACCGGCGTTGAAAGAGAGACAAATATAGAGATGCCATTCTAAAATAAGGGATCTAGCTCTTTGCACACTTCCCAAGGCGCGGCACAAGCCTTTGTTTCCACAAAATATAATAAACGCTACAAATCACGCTTTTATTTTTGAATCCGCGATGGTATAGTAGGAAAAAGGAAATCATAATCAAGCCAAGGCTATCATCAAACGTTAGCCGACGACGCTTCAGCACCTGCGGCTTTTTCCTTGTCCATTATCTCAGAGATAACCACTGTTCCTACTCCTTCCACAAGCGCAGTGTCACCCTCTGTTTTCCCCCGACCAACAATGATATCTTCCCCTTCCTCCGTCCATTCCGGCACACTTGTTGGGCCATCGTGGCCTTCTGGGGGCAGGGCCCAATTCGGCATTTTGCTCCTGTACTTCCAGCCACCAGCAAGGTCCGAATACGATACTGCGTGGAGGAAGATTCCAAGCTCGTGTACGCCAGGGTCGGTGTACAGGTCTGTGCCACAGACTTCGCATTTTTCACCGCTCATCTTCTCGCCCTTGCGCCGCAGGTAGTCGTTGACCATGAGATCATGCTCGCGAGCAAGGAGGTCATTGATCACATTGGGATCGCCGCCTTTGGTCATATGTTCTGGCGGAGGGGTTTGGAAGGTCTCATAGTTTTTTGATCTATGGTCCCCGATAGTCTGGGCGGTTTCAGTTTTTCCCATCTTGGATAACCGGGCTATTATTTCCTGGTCATGTTCGCCTGTGTTGTCTGCTTTTCCGAGATCGCGGCCGAAAACACGCCGGTTGGAGTAAATGGGATCGTTTGTAATGGGGTGGCCGAGGAATTGAAGATGAACACGCAATTGATGAGTGCGCCCCGTGAGAGGCAAGCAGTGGACGATGCTGTACCCTTCGTCGTCAGGAGTAGTCGTAGCCTTGTTATTGTTGTTTGGGAAATCCATTGGGGCATCGTCGGGCAAGGTTGCTGGCGGAGTAGCAGGTTCATCTTCAGACGACGACTTCTTAGTTACTGCGGTTGGCGGATAGTAGGCTAATCTCCGAAACTTGGTTTTGGCCTCCTTGCCTGAGGACCTTACTCGATTTAGCCCAAGTTGTGGGCTGATCTTGAGCATTGGCTGGTCGCAAAGGATGATTCCGTCAGGGAATTTGCCTTTTACGCGAGCGATGTATTCTTTTTGCATTGTTCGTGCGCGAAGTCCCTCCGCGATCTTCTCCGCGGCTTTGGGATCTTTGCCGATAAACATGACTCCTGACGTTAGTCGGTCAAGCCGATTACATGGACGAGGGTTAAAGCTATGCCCCCTCTCGGCGCGCATTATTTCGATAATGGAATTGTAATTGTAGCGCCCGGCGGGATGAACAGGGACACCGGCAGGCTTATCAATGACAATCATCTTATCATCCTCGTGGATAACTCCGATCGGAAGGCTGGTAACTGGAGGTTCATGGCGGTGAAGAGTGTGAGAGACCATGTCGCCGTTCATCACTCTTGTATCCAGGTTGCCCGGTTTACCGTTGATAGCGACATGGCCGGACTCAATTGCCTCTTTCTAACTGAGCATTAGCAAAACACTGAACTATGTAGGGAAATGCCTTGCTGGATCTCACATAATATTCCGCAGGCCTGTCTCGAAACTCGGTTGTGAATATTTCGAGTAGGTTGCGCCCCCGCCATCTCTCCTTGCAATAAGTGTTGTAGGTGTAATGATAGGGCGCAACTCGACGGAAGCCTTTCTCCAGATAATACGGCCTAGGCCAAGGATCACACGGCGTCACAAGAACATCCTGCGAAGGCTGAATGGTTTCTGGTTCAGGGATGGCCGCTTTGGGTGCTTCTTCCACGACGGTCAAGGCCATGCTGGGGGACGGAAGGGGATTTCTGCAAGCCACGTAGGCAAGGGTACGCAGCGGGGCAGCCAGTTGAACGAGCGAGCAAAGCCTACAGCACCAGCTCCAAACGAGAGAACGAACCCGGGCTCCTATCAACACCTGATATCAGCGTCCAGCGTGCGGCACTTCGACCTAGCTGTCGCCGCGATGAAAAATGGCGGGATGATCACGTGACTAGATCTTATCTCCATACCGGAAAAATGGATTTTTTGAATACTGTCGGATTACCATTCATCTGATCTGATACGTAGATTCCATGCCAAGAACATAGAACCCACATAGAAGCTCATGAGATCAACATTTAAATCAGAAATCCATAGGAAGGGTCACCTATGTAACTACTTGAAATGCGTGAGTTTGGAATTCTGATTGAGAAGGAAGAATGGTGCCATTGGTAAAAACTATTTTAAAAACCCTCCCGCCCACCCGCCTGAAGGCAAAAACAGAAGAATAAAAACAAGAACCTGCCCACCCACCTGCCCAAAGACAAAAACACAAAAAAATCAGTTCTCCAGAATAAAATCATGCCCCTCCTGGGCCTCCTCCATTTCTTCATCCACTAAAACAGACTTGAAGCTGACTGGGCTTTCAGCAGGGGTGGGGGGGGACAACAACAGCACAATGAATGCAAAGGACCACAACAGAGACAATGAAATTCACTCCATGATTTCTCACAGAGTCTCAAAAACCTGGCTGGAGCCAGATGCAGCCAATGGCACACCACCAAATGAGACACAGGGGGCCAGAGTTGATGTCATCTGAGGGGGGGGGGGGCAGAGTGAGCAGACTTTGCTGGTGGACCAGCAGCAGAACTTTCAATCTTTCTTTTTCTCTATATACTCTGTCAGTACAATTCATTATTCACAGAATCCTGAACTACTCACACCTCCAGCAGAAAGACTTTCAACCTCCTTTTGGAGGGCTGCAACATCACTCCCAAGAGAGCCCACTTTAGTTTCAATTCACTATTCAAATATATCAGTACAATTTGGCTAACAAACATATAGATAACTTACAACAAAAGTTCAAAGAATTGCCTCCAAGAGGTCTTTTTGCTCCTTCTGGAGTGTAAGAAGAGCATCCATGCTGAAGAGTGGGAGTGGAGCAGCAGCAGCAGTGACAGAGGATGGGGGGGGGGCTGAGGCAGTTGTCACCTCCTCAATGGTGCTGAGGAGGCCAGTGGTGAGCTGGCAGAGGTTGGTGATGTACACCTCTTTCACAAGAGGATTTGTCACCAGCTTGAATTTCTGATGAGTGGTCAGAAGTGCTGAGATCTGCTCATGGTGTCTTCCATCAATCAGCACACAAGCTTTCTTGATGGATGCACAGTTACTGCATGTCTTGTTATTCCCCTGCTGATGGTTGCAGGGCTTGTCAAGGTGCATTGTGTACACCCAGTCTACACAGTGTAGACACACTGTGAGCTTGTGCTCACCATCATCAGCCTTGCAGCCACGCATTGTGGATTGGGGGGAGGGGGAGGGGGTGGTTGTGGGAGTGGTGGCAGGGGCTGAGATGCACACACTCCTGTGAGGAGCCATTTTCATCAAAAAAAAAAAGCTATATCTGTTAACTAATGCTGTATATTTGCAGAAACCATTTGAAATTCCTCAACTTACTCAAAAATCAATAGTGGGCAGGGGGGGGGGACAAAAATGAGAAGTGGCTGAGGAGAGGAAAAGAAGAGAAGATGGGATTTGTGTGTGATATTTACATATATTGAAGATCTGAATGTTTTGATTTCCTAATTGGGATGTGTTTCTATGGATTCATGTTTGCCTGAGATTCTGGTGAGTTTAATTTGCACTGTCTCCTCTAAATATTATAACTATATCAATCTGCCCCTATCTTGACCAGGAGCTCTTTCTATGACATTTGCAATTGAATTTAATGGAGGTACAGCAAGTAAAACAGTTTATAATGAAGTATTGCATTTGCTAACATCTATTGCAGTTGTATCTGCCCCAAAATTGAACATCCTTTTCCATTGCAAATCTGTGTTTGCTAGCAGAGCTCTAGAACTGATGTGTTCTCTTTAATTGAAGTGGAGCTGCTTTAATTGCAGCTATTTGTTCTCTTCTTATCTGTATATGGGGGGTCATTGCCCCTGGTGCAGCAGCTGCTTGTGCCAGGGGAGCTGCTTACACTGAGGCAGCTGCTTGTGCTGGGACTGTTGCTTGCACTGGGGGAGCTGCTTGTGCTGGGACTGTTGCTTGCACTGGGGGAGCTGCTTGCACTGAGGCAGCTGCTTGTGCTGGAACTGCTGCTTGCACTGGAACTGCTGCTTGCACTGGAACTGCTGCTTGCACTGGAACTGCTGCTTGCATTGAGACTGTTGCTTGTACTGAGAGAGGAAGGAGTTCAAAGTTCTGATCACCATCTTCTTCTTTCTCTGATGGAGCTTGATCTCCATTGGTTGTTTTCTGTGCAGTTGGTGGGTTTCTGGTGAGCTGCTGTATCTCTTTGAGTGGCTCTTGTTTGAACTTCCTCTTTGATGGCCTCTTTGGGGGCATTTTCTTTATCAGTACAATATCATCAAGTATCTTAATCTTCTTCTTAGACTGTTGCTGAGATACTTTCACAGACAACATCTTCAATTCTGCAAAGTCATTCTGTGCAATATCACAGAGCTCTGACTTCTTTATAATGATATTCCAGTACTGACTGAGTGTTCTGACATCTTTGAAGGTCTGATCCCACTCATCAACATCAAGAAAGAGCTTCACTCAGATTGCAAGGTTTGCATATATCTCTATATCAAACAGTTAGAACTAATTAACTCCATTTGCAAATGCATAGACTTAATCTATGCTCCATAAACCACTTTCCCTGTGGTGAACTGTTGTTGATATTCAGAAGTTTGGTCATCCAGTGAAACATGTTGTGAAAGTCACCAGTGTTGAATTCTCTCATGAAATAACTGGTGAGCTTGGATGGGTCTTTCACTGTATGTATCCCACACTTGAGGTTCTCTTGAAAGCTCAGTTCCACAATGTTGCTAATATGTGCCTGTAGGTACTCTGGTTAATGAACTTCTTCATATAAGAATGGATGGAGGACTTATCTTGAATCTCTTCAAAGCAATACATTTTCAGTTCTTCACTATATCCCTTGCCTGCCTCTTGTATTTGGAACACCAATACTCTGTCCTGCACACAGCATTGAGGGGGGAGTAGATGTCCTGAACAATGTCTGAAATTCTGTCATAGCTCAGTGTTAGGAAGTACATTCATTTCAATCTGATAATCATAGTCTTCTCTCTAGCACTCACCTTCTTGGTGTAAAGTGCAGCCATATGGAGTGTCATTGAATGTGCAAGCTTTGGGTTGGTTGTGTTTTCCTCTTCTGTTGCAGTGATCATAATGAAAGTAAAGGATGAAGCTGCTGCTCTCAGTTCTGGATTGATGGCTATTGTTCAGAGAAGTGTGCACTTCACCAGGGTGACTGAAGATGTGGTTGTCATGGCTAATATCAATGGCAGTGTGGTGATCTTGATCTTTTGGAAGATGGGTAGCTGGAGGAAAGCACATCCTTATATAGGTATGTCTCAGAGCAAGACATAATATTGATATGATGAACTTCAATTCAACAAAAGAACTGCTCTGAGACAAGACTGTGTCTCTGAAACTAATTGCAACAAGTCAATCAGTTTTGCAAATGTTCTGCATTGCATTTGAGCAGATCAATCATTCTGACTGAAACTGTTAATCTGCAGATTCAGAGCCTGTGGATCTGCAGATTCCAACATCACACATTGATTTGCTGCTCTGCATTCATCTATAAGTATATGATCAAAACCCTGTCAAAGATCTTTTAAATCTTTCTTTCTTTCATTCTCAGTGTCACATACCAGTAATTCTTATGTTGTTTGTTATACTACTTGACAATTGAAATTCTGTCTGCTGCAACTCCTCAACTTTTCAACTCTTCTCTTTGACCAGCCACCCCCCAGCTACAACATGATCTGCAGGAATCATAAGAAGTTCATGAAATTTCTTGCATGGAGTCAGATCCATGAAGCTGCTATGCAGTTACAGCAAACTGCAGACACCCCAGCTATGTCAGAGGTGCCACCAGAAGACCATATATCTTTGAAACTCAATACATTTGTGAATCTGGATGATGCTGAAGAAGCTTACAATTCAGCAGTATGTTCATTCTTCTTTCTCTTTGAATGTAGATCTTTGAACTTACTGTTAGATGTGCAGGACAGTGTCATCTCCAACATCTCAGATGTTGATTCTGAACTGGAAGACACAAGAGTTGATGACATTATCAAAGAGGTCCTCACACATATGTTATCTGACATTGATGAATCCAATGAAGATGAGAATATCACCTACAATCCTGTATTGACAGACATAGCAGACAGGCAGTTGATTGAAAGTGGTATTCTGAATATGGAAGATAATACTTTCCAGGTGGTGCCACACATGAGGACCAGGGAACATGAGAGTCTCAGCCACTTTGTGATTGCACTGAAGTTGTGGTGTGAACAGTCAGAGATATCTTGTCAGCAGTATTAATTACTTCAAGAAGTACTCAATCTACTTGAGAATATCTACACCATCAAATCTCTACCCAAAGACCTTAGTGTCCTGAAGAGGAAGTGTAGATCACAGTTCCCCATTTTACCCATTTGACAAACATCCATTTCAATCATCCCACAGCAGATACCATCATTATCCACTGCAAGCAGAAATCTATCTGAAGCTCTGTTACAGTCAGATTTGTTCTTTCAGAACTCTATTGCTCTAATTGCAGCTCTTGCTTGATCATCAGAATTCTGCTGGAACATACACCTTGGCATGGCTGAGTTGGTAGACAGTCCAACTGAACTATGACAGTCCCTCAGTTGAGGTAGCTCCACAAGATCTACTTCAGGGGACTTCACAAGATATTCTGATGGGGAATCAGTATTCCCCTCAGATTTTGTTCAATACAGGTGCAGCCTAAGCAAATGCTCATGCAGAGTGAGGCAGCATGTCTTCCATACAGAAAGAATTCAATTTGTTGTCTGGGATTGGAGATCCAACATCTTGAAATCTGGCAAGATTCTTCTGAGAATTCAACCTACCATTCAACATGACCCCAACCCAGGCAGCATGTTGTTCCAAGGCATGAGACTGGCTTTCCACAAGAGGGAATTGCTCTTGTTAGAGAATGAAGAGCAACAGGTTTTATTGCATGAAGAAAATATACTCAGTCAACTGAATGTTTCTCTTGACTATGTCTTTGACAGAAATCTGCAAGATCCACCTCCTATACATGCTGAATACTTTATGTGCTGGATTCTCAACATGGTCAACAATCAGATGGATATCCACCTGCTTAATTGCAGTACTTCTCTGTGTGGGGAACTGAAGATCACTCACTATGGCAGGAATAATCTCAAAGAGAATGCTCTGCCCCAACCATATAATAACATGGGTTATCTCTGTTCCATTCCAGCTTTTTATTGATGGGTTTGGATTATACTGCAACATGTACAGAAACATTACAGACTTCTATCTAATTTCCACCAGACTTCCTGCCTCTGAGAGAAGAAGGAGGAACAATGTCTACACCATCTCATTTGGGCTGCACACAACAAACTTCTCTGATTTGATTGGTGCACTTGCACTGGGATTTCAATCTCTTGACAAAGATATTGATGTTGAAATTGCTGGTGAAGGAACTGTCAGAATAATTGCTTCCTGCCTTGCTTTTTTGAGTGACATGCCACAGCAGAACAACAATGCAGTAATTAAAAGACTCTCAGCCACCCAATCATGTTGGAGTTGCACTGTCACTGAACATCAGAGACACAATATGTCATTTGACACAGTGGCCAACAGTCAATATCACTACCAGCAACTTCATATACAGAACTGGGTTAATGCAGCACCCACTACTGCCATGAGAGACAAGCTGTGGAAGAAGCATGGAATGGCAAAGGACCAGTCTCCAATATTTGGAATCTGCCCATGTCTGAATTTGGTGACCTTCTTCCCCTCAGATCCCTGTCATAGTGAACTAAGTGGTATTTTCAAAATGGTGCATTCACTGTTAATAACATATATTCTCACAGCAAACAGCCAGAAGGAATACTGTCAGATATTACAGTGGTTCTCATTTGCAAGACAGGGCAGCTGAATACAGTCTCCAATAACCCATTTGGACTTCTATCAGATTCAGGAGCATGCTCAAGCATCCATTGCAATCCCAATTATTCTTCAGTATGCCATGACCCCAGACTGGATTCAATCAGTAGTACAGCAGACATTATGCAATTTCTTCAATGATACAACACTTGAACTAAGAGCTCTGTGTATGCTTCTTGCTAAAGCATTCAGTGCTGTTGCTTGGAGCAACTCTGCATTGGTATCATAAACATCAATTGAGCCAGCAAAGCTCCAGACTATTGTGACAGAAGATCACTTCCTGCTACAGAAGATAATAGACACTGCTGCAACAGCTGCTGAGCTGCCACAATCAGAAGGTTAAGCACTTATGATTTTACAATCCCAGCAGGTCTCCATATCAAGTCAGGCATTATGAATAGAGAACCCAACTGAACAGTTAAGTAGCACTGCACCAAAGGCAGGGAAAGCCTTGAATGCATTAAAGAACCACCCCAACATGCACATTGGGATACACTATGCTGACCAGGCACAGAAATATGGGGTTGCAAACAACTGCAACATGTTGATTGGGGAGAATAAGCATCATAAATACAAGAGTCTAGTACAGAAAACCAACAAGCAAGATGTTGAAAAGATATTGCTTATACAGGAAAGTTTCAAACACACTCTGTTTCTGTTGTTGGCTGATTCCTTTGTTGATTTGGAGTCTCTTGCTACAGACCACCTCTGGATTCTCCACCATGAATATCCCACACTGATAACTGAACTGCTGCAACTGAATACACATAATCAGAATGATGATGAAGGCCCCAGCATTCCAGAACCACAATACAGGCTAACAGACATACATGTTGTGTCTAACATCTTTTTTCAGTTGCAGTCAGATGAAGGCATCCAAGCACTCAGGATTCCAACAACACATCTGTCAAAACTGCCAATTCTTGACCCATTCCTCCAGCAACTGTGGAAATCATACAGGGAAGACTGGCATATACCCAACATGAATGGATTTGGGTCCATCTCAATTCAGTTCTTCAAGAAGGCTACATTTGAATTCTGTGGTGACATCCATCAAACAATGATAGCTCTTGGTGACATTATTGAATATACCTGCACATTGGGCATTAAAATAGGGCAAATCACAGGCATTTTCATGCATTGCTGGGAGGGGCAGCATCTTATATTCTTCACAGTAGTCTGGGTTCATGAAATCAAGCACAATGCAGTATTGAACTTGTCAGTTCTGCAGATGAGGAGGGAGGAGTCTGATCTGGTAGGTCTTCCAGCAATCCACAGGTCTAGCTTGCATGCAATACCAGTCAGTGCTGACACTGAGGAACTTGTGTTGGATTCCCACTTATCAAGTACATTCCTCTGCTGCACCTGGGAGATGTTGTTGTTATGATTTGGAGCTGGCTGGTGGCTTGGGAATCCAAAGATAGCAAGATAGCTAGATAGCTAGGTAGCTGCATTAGGTAGAAGTCTCAATAAAGTAATCTTACATTCAGAACTCCTCCTTACCATGCTACATAGATCAACATACAACAACCTGGTGACTACATCAGGATTCCAAACAGGCAATGGCAATGTAGCAGGATTCTGTTACCATAGGGTTATGGTAACATAAGCTATGACGCATATGATTGGATGTATGGTTATATTACTGTAATATTATGGTAATCAAAAAATCCATTTTTCCGGTATGGCTGATGATCTCGGCGGCCGAGGCACATCAAAAGGAGACACCAATGGTCCAATGCTGGAGACACGACTACCAAGGTCCCGATCATGGAACTTTCAGAGCTCGAAAAGAAGAGGCGGAGGGAGCGGAAAGATTATCCATATCGTCTGGAGTATCGGACTCGCTGGTGGGAGAACCAGATCTAAATCCTTGAGCGCAATGCCCGGCTGACGGTGATGCAGGTCTGACAATGATATGTACGCGCATATGAACAATAGCATATACGCTTTCCTGTTTGACTCCATCATAAATACCTATTTAATAGAGCGCTGCGGCCTGGATCCGTTCTCTTCTCGCTCTCGCTCGCCGGAGCCATCAAACCCGCAATCGGCTATATCAGAGCCATTGCCAACCTCGCCGCAAATCGGACTCGTGGTCTCGTCCTATTGCGATTTCTTCGCATCTGTATCATTTCCAGATGTTTTAGAACTCGGGCTACGTGTGACGAAACTGGGAAAGTCTAGCGTGACCTACGAAGTTGGGGTGTTTCGTAAAGGCGAGAATGCCGTCAAGGTCGTCGGAGGGTTCACGCATGTTTTCGTCGACAAGGCGACAATGAAACCTACGACAACTGGGATGATTCCGTCTATTCGGGCTGGGCTTCAGAGGCTGCTCGTGAGTAACGAGCTGGAGTCTAAGCTCTAGCATGACTATAAGGATTTTGGATTCGACGGATGGATGGTGGTATAAAGTTACCTCCCGATAAGTGTATAATTGGAGTTCCTCTTCCTGGCTCCTTATAACGAAACTTTTATTGCCATTCTCTTTCTATAACTCCCTTGATCAAACATAGCATCTATCTTTAATCCTCGACAATAGGAGCTGGCTTTCTGCTGGAGGCACACCTTAAAGGACGTATACAAGAACTCTCAGAGACACTTGAGTGATAGTTAAGGGGCGGAGTAAGATTGCCTCTGGGATGAGAAAGACATGTCTATTGCAATGGAAATGTGAACTAGGATGAAAAAAAGAGAACAACCCTAGAGACCGATAACCGCCCCATAACGCCCAAGCATGCCAAGTTATCCCTATTCCTGTATCGGGGCATATCATATTTCATACAAGGTCATAACTGAGATGAAAATGAAGCAGGATATAGATGAAAAACAAAACTCCCCTCTTGATACTTTTCAGCACGTTAGTCGGCAAGTCATTGCAATGGACTTTCGGAAAATCTTCTTAACTTCACTGGGCTGCACATTGCGCCCCGCCTTCCTCTTCATCTTCGTCTTCCCAGGCTGATCCGCCATGGGCATCTTTGGCGCCGAAATCATCCATGGTGGCTTTTGGATCGTAGTCAACTTCGTCAATCGTCTCCGCTTCAATGGGTGGTTCTGGGCCTGGGAGCATATCCCGTAGCTTATCAAGCACCGCTGGATTCGACGCCCAGCCATCTTCTGGAAATTTGATCTGGACGGTGAGATAAAGGTCGCCGCGAGCCTCGCTGCGCTTAAAGGGCATGCCTTCACCAGCGATCTTCAAGACCTGTCCGGGCCGTAGGATATCACCGGGTTTCTTTGGATGGACCAACTCGATTCCTCTGCCATCCAAGTGTGTTAATACTACCCTTGAAAATCCACAAAGAGCTTCAGCCAATGTGATATCCAAATCGGCATGAAGGTCTCCCCCTGAGCGCCTAAAAGTCTCATGCTCTGCTTCGTCTAGTTGGAAGATGATGTCTCCGGGTTCGACGTCCGGGATTTGATCTCCCTCGCCTTCCAGAACTATCCTTTCCCCCTCTCTGTATGATTTGTTAGCTTGGCGGTTTCGATGGGTGACGGAGTTAGGCATACTTTGCACCGCGAGGAATGTAAATTTCTAATAATTTCCGTTCTTCTGTGACTCTCTTTCCTTTGCATTTTTTGCACTTGTCTTTTGTCTGGTAAAACTGCCCAGAACCTTCGCAGACTTTACATTCCGCCATTGCTCGGGTAACCAGTCCAGGACCGATTTGCATAAGAGTCTCTTTGTGGCCTGTCCAAAACCCGGTTAGCCAAGATATATCAATGTGATTTTGTAAAAGGCTTACCCTGCCCGCCACATGTTGAGCACTTTTTGGGAGTTGCCCTTTCCTTCCCACCCCTACCCTTGCAGAGACTGCAAATGACGTTCTTCGTACTGGCAAACTTGACGGTTCGGCCTTTGTAAAGATCTTCTAGGCTCACGGTGTACGTTTGCTCCTCATTTGGGCCTTTCTGGGGCCTTCTAGGGCCTCCCGGTCCTCCAGGGCCAAAACCAGGCATGCCACCTCCCATCCCCATGCCAAACATGGAGTTGATTATATCGTCCAGATCGGGACCTCCGGCGCCAGGGCGACCCGACCCGTCAAATGCAGACATGCCATGGATATCGTAGATCTGTCGTTTCTCATCGTCGTAAAGGATTTCGTACGCTTGATTTACAGCCTTGAATTTAACCTCCGCAGCTTCGCGTTCATCCTCTGCTGCTTTGTCCGGATGGCTCGCTAAGGCAGCCTAGGTGGAATCGCACAGTATTAGCTGCCTGACACACAGAAAGCTAAGCGCTTCTGTATTTTGGTACCTTTCTGTATGCTTTGCGGATTTCTTCCTTGGTTGCACTTTTCTCGATACTTAGGATTTCTACGGTAAAAGTCAGCCCCGCCAGCTTCCGGTAGGATAGAGACGAGAAGTACCATAGAGATCAATCTCCTCTCCGGCGGAGGCCACTGCATATCTATTAACAAAATATGTTTCCAAAGCTGCTCAGCTTTCAAAGGCAGTGGCTCCGAAATGAGCGTGGCTCTATCAAGCGCAGCGGGAACCGATGGTAGCTTACTTGCGTGAGGATTCTATGTCTTCTCGGGGTTTTCAGACACGCGAAAGAAGGAATGTCGTAAACCAAAAGGGGGTATCTCAATAATGAGTGGCAGATCTATCTTCTATTGGCGAAGGAAGAGGTGATCCTGTACATAACAGTCTTTGCAAATGCGGAGAGCGGACGAGCGTCCTCCCAAAAAGTCTCTGCTAAAAACACAAATTTATTTTCCCGTCGTCTCGGCACCAAAGCTAGCCTCAAACCCTTCGCCTGCACCACCCGTCGCAGTCCGCCGAAAAGAAAAGAAAGGATAAAGAGGCATGGATGCTGGATCAAAGAGCGAGCTATGAACCTCTGGATTCCTGTGAGATCGGACCGAAAGCCAGCGCCGTGAATTCTCAGCGCAAACTTCCCTCCGGCTCCTTTCACCCTTGCCGCACCGAACGCAGCAATGCGACCCTCTACTCTTCGGTTGTTTGCCCAAAAGCATTGGATTTGCAAATCATGCAGAGCCAATTTCTCTACGACACCTACGCGCGCCGCCAAAAAGTCCAAACCCAGCCTCCCAGACTCCCCGGCGCGTACGCGCTTCGCTCCATCTCCAACCGGCTACCTACACCTTGGATCTCTGAGAACAGCGTTGTTTAACTATCTTCTCGCGAAACGGACCGGGGGCCAATTCCTTCTGCGGATTGAGGATACAGATCAAGTTAGTAGTGGCTATTTGTGGACGAACTTGCGGTTTCAGGCTTGCAGGATATAATGCTAATTGGCGAAGAAAAGGACGATTAGCGGTGCAGAGCAAAGATTGTATGAAGATTTAAAATGGGCAGGTCTTCAATGGGACGAAGGTACTTTTCGGAAGCATGATTTCGGCCATTGGGAGTTTTGGCTCACATTTCTGTGTAGGACCGGTGGTAGGAGGACCTTACGGTCCCTATAAACAGGTAAACATTCCGTCTACCGGTGCTACAATGGTCTACGCTAACACTATGGTAGTCTGAACGCACAGAATTGTACAAATTGCAAGTCGGCAGCCTCATTAGCACCGGTCATGCATATAGGTGTTTCTGTTCCCCAGAACGCCTTGACACGCTGGCACGACATAGACACGATCTTGGTCTTCCTCCTGGATACGATGGCGCTTGCGTTAGTATATCAAAGGAAGAATCTGAAGAACGAGCTTCGAAAGGAGCCCCCCATGTCGTTCGATTGCGAGTCGCGGAGCCGTACCCTATGTTTGACGACATGGTCTATGGTAAAACTGGACAGAATCGCGCAGCAAAACATTCCGAGGTTGCCGATACCTATGCTGATCCTATTCTATTGAAAACGGATGGGCACCCTACCTATCATCTTGCAAATGTCGTGGATGACCATTTCATGAAGATAACGCATGTAATACGAGGCACGGTAAGGCTTAGATATTGGTTAAATACTGGGAGCTCGCTGATGAGACTCTCAGGAATGGATGTCTTCAACGCCGATGCATGTCGCTCTCTATAATGCATTTCAGTGGAAGCCACCTCAGTTTGGCCATGTTCCGCTACTCGTCGAAAAGAGCGGCCAAAAGCTCAGCAAGCGCAACGCAGACATAGATATTGCATATTTCAGAGATCAACAAGCGATTATGCCGGAAACGCTGGTCAACTTTGCCGCATTATTGGGCTGGTCACATTTACAAAAATCCGATGTTTTCAGTCTGAGGGAACTTGAGGAGACCGTATGCATGTCACCGCTCACTAAAATGCGTATTTACTGACTTGGGCACAGTTTGACTTGAAGCTCACCAAGGGCAACACTATCGTTGCCTTTGAAAAGATGTGGTTTTTACAGAAGGCCCATGCGCAACGATATGCGGCTTCTGGCGGCCCAATGTTCGATGAGCTAGTCCGATTGATTTCGAGTGCTGCTCGACAAGAGCTGAATCCAGAGGAATAGTTAGTCTCGCAGCTCCAACGCTTCGCTATCACCTTGCTAACATACATATGTACATTAGTTCCCCAATCTTAAAGTCCCGCAGCTTAGAAGACTTCGTTTCTTCAATACTTCGCGAAGGCCCTCGCTCTTACACCACCCCAGTAGAATTTATCCACGCGAATAAGTCATTTTTTACGCAAACGGTTCACAGAGAGCCCTATGTTCCTGCTAGTGCTACTAGCTTAGATGAGCCGTCAAAGGTTCCCATGTCAGCTCTTCACACTGCCGCGGCTGCACTATCTATGGTCCCCGTTTCACACTGGAATGCAGAAACACATCGTTACAATATTACCTCCTACATATATACCGACCCATCACTTTCGGCCGATCTAGAGTCTAAACAAGCTCAGAAATCAGCCCAGCAACTTTTTAGAAAAGAGTTATACCACTATCTACGGTGGGCGCTATCAGGTGGCGCTCCAGGCTTAGGCATACCATCTACAATGGAGATTCTCGGTCGCGAGGAGAGTGTGAGGAGGCTAGACGGGGCAAGGGAGGCGACCAAGTCATGGGCGTCGGTAGGGAAAGGTCAGCGGAGACGTGTCACCGTCCAGGAAGAGAGTGGTGAACGGAGCAATGCCTGGATGGGTTCGTTGGCTGGAGCCTCAAAAGAATGAACTGCGTAAACCAAGTCAATAGCCATATCTGCAGGTTGGAAAGAAGTCTAGTGAGGTTTCATTCAGTGCATGTTATACGGTTAAACACTCGATAACAATTCCTTCCAGTACCTATACATGAAATGCTGAGATTGTTGTATCATTGCTAAAGACCAACAACTTAGAGCAACTGGTGTCTCGATGTAACGAGTCTGCAAGTGCCTCTCTACCTATTTGATTTGGCTTGTTTTTTGGTTGTGAGGCGGCTTCCCTTATACATGTATCTGTGGATGTATTTGAACGCACATTCGCCCAAACCACCACGTTTATACCTCCTAACCCAACTATTAAACCTGACTGCATCAACTCGCGACCGTTCCAGTTAATTGAAATCTGAAGATGAGGACTGTAGCCATGTTGCTGGGCTGCATTGATACCGTCCATATTCTGTGGGGTGATGCTGTTGTGGCTGTGATACAACCACTGACAACTAGAACAGAGGATTAGAGAGAATCCAGAGCCCGCAGAGTGAAATGCTTGAGAATTGAACTCGCGGGTAGTACTTACATTCCCTGCCAGAGCAGGAACAACAACAGCGCCGAGACAACATCATCTGCTGTCATCTCTCTTGACTTTCATATTGCTGATAATGCTTCTTATAATATATGAGAGTGTGCTGTCGGTATCTTTCACACTCATTCTTTTTTCAATTCTCTGAATTATATCCTCTTATGCTATGAGCTAGATGAAGAACAGCAGCTACTGCTAGCAGCTCATCTTTAAGGGTGCTCTGTATCTTTGTAGTATTTTTGGAATTTCTGTTTTTTGGGAGATCGAGGGGGTCTCTCCGAGACTGGAGAGAGAAGATGCTAATGAGATCGAAAGATCTCGAGGAAGTCGAGCACGGGGAGCCATTTTGTGATTAAATCTTCAACAGTCAGATGAACTGAGTCCTAGAGTCTTGCTCTCGCTAGCAAGTGCTATAAGGGAGGGGTCATACTTACTCGTTTGAAAAGTTGAAAAGGATTGAGAAAAGAGGAATAAGCGCGCGTAAAATAGGAAAGCGGATTTGAAGATAGTTGTAGGAAGCCTGACTCGACAACATCCGTTGGAGGGTTTCTCTAACTATGGCGGGATAGACTTGCAGCGATACTAATGGCCGTGGGATCTTTGCTGTGTTGCCATTCCGCAATTGTTGCGCAGAGTACTGAGTGGTCTCAGTTTCTCGACGTTGGGATCTATGGGGGGAAGAAGAGGCTAGTTAAATAAGTTAGCACTGCAAAGTTGTGAGGAGGAGAAGAAGATTCCCTTGAGGCAGAGAATCTGAAGGATATCTTCACTTACTAGCTCCTATGCTTGTATATGGGCAATTGAGAAAATTCAACATGAATATTGGCCCTCCTTTCGGCCTTCTCTTTGTTTTCTTCTCACATTTCCAAATAAGCATAGAAGAATAATTCCTTGTGCCAGTTGCTCCGCGTCTTCGACAAATTCTCGGGAGTGAGGTTCTGCTTCAGGAGCAGTCGAGTTGATATATGACTGACTAGTGGAAGCAGTCACAGTAAAATGTAAACTTTGGTAACAAATGAAAAAAAAATGTGAGGCTGGGCTCTATGCACTAGGCTGAGGGCTTTAACTGTTGATTTTAAACAATTCATTACCACCTTGTGTCTTTTGCTGGTGTGCGGGTATCATCTCTGCCTGCTATCCTCTATTTGACTTACCATTTACTTTCAGCCCTGGCGCGGATCGATTCTGTGAGGAATGTGGTAAGTCGAAGCTGAACTGGTCCCAGGGTTGCAATTTTGTATTCATTAGGCCACAGCCAAACCCATTTTTCTTTCCCTTCTTATTGGGTTGGCTGCTGGTTTATCATAGGCATATTATCCTCCTAGTTGGAGAAGCGAAATGCGGTTAATCAATGGTAAGGCAACTCACACCTCTGGGACAGAATACTGTTGCCAGGGGGCCATAGCAATAAGGAGTCAGGCAGGTCATCAACCCCATCCTATATCACATTTATTCCGTACCTTTCCCTAAATATAAACTGTGGGTAACAGTGTTTGTTATTCCAGTGTCCATGTGTATTAGACTCACTGCCTGAAGCAGTGTATTGGTGATATCTTTTAGCCAAAAGATGCCCATAGACTTTATTATACTAGAATGCATACTGTAAAGCGATTAATATCTTAGATATAAACAGAGAAGCATTGTGGAATGAACCGTAGGACTTACACCGTCAATCAAAGTCACAACATATAAAAAAGTTCTTGGGCTGTTGCGGCTTGTGGATTGTAGATATTTGTGTATGAGGCAGGACATTTTATAATGCGGACTCGACCTCAGACTGATCACAGGAGGTTCGTGGTCGTACTATGATCAACACATATGTAATCTCGACGTCTTCACTGAGTATTATTCGGCGCCAAAGTCAGAAGCTCTCTCAGAGGTACGGAGGTGCTCGGTTCCTAAAGGTGAAAAGTGAAATTTGATTTCTCACCTTGCTTGGGGCCACTCGCAGAAAAGTTTCTCATGTTTGCCATAAAAGGACAAAAGGAGCTGCCAACAAGATATGAGCAATTCAGTTCTTCATTCTTTTGACAGATGAGTAAAAGAAGAATTCGTGGGTCTAAGCGTGACCCCCCTTGTTTTTGCTTCAAGGGTAACTAGCGGGTTCAGTGTCTACCGTATAAAAGGATTTCCAATAGTTTGAATCCAGTTGATGGATCGGGTATCACTTAGAATATAGTGTCGTGGGACTATAACTATCCTTCTGCACAACGTGATGGCAAATTAACCAGAGAGAGTGATGAGTAGACTTATGGAGTCTCTGGTATATTCAGGCCACAATATTAGAACCAACTGGGAAGGGCACTGAAGCAAATTGTAGGTTAGCTAAACTCCAAAGTGCCAGTCACCCGATTTACTGACCCATATAAAGATCCGCTCGAATCTCATTCTGGTGCGATTTTATCCAGTAAAGATGCCCCTGTTCATATATTTCCTTGACCTCATCTTAACATCACCACCAGACTTCCAGATCCAGTTTCTAGCATCTCTGTTGAGAGTATCATGACTCTCTGACTTTCCAGTCTCTGCAATCAGAGTTGGCCATTTATTGAAAGAAAGATTTAGTGGTAGTAGAGCATAGTCTGGCTCCTTGTGCTGAATTCTTGCACCACCAACATTCACAAGATATATGTGGAATCTCATTCCCATATCTCTCATTTTTTCATGAATCTTGAGTTCAAGCCAATTTGTGGCTACTTCATGTGGCTGGGATGCCATTTTGACAGAGGAACATATTCAGTTCAACTTAGCAATACTGGTCAATGCAGGCCCAGGCGTCAGCCAAAAATATGAGGAGCATTGAAGCAACGGGGGGATTCTGCTTTACCAGAGGTAGACCAAGCGTCAATCGCCCGGTTATCACGGTCGGCCTTGGTAGCAAAAAATGGATTAAAGTAGGCCGATTTGGCTGCCAGAATATTTAATGTTGCTCCTGGGAAATAGCCTCAGGTCAGTTTTTGATCTGAGCACAGGCATGACTAAATGCAAAGCGGCGGAAATCAATGGCCTGTTGCACTGCGGATGTAAACTCGGCCTATACAACAAGGCCACTGTCAGCACATTCAGAATTCCTCGCAATCAGCATATGTTACGGCTCAATCCAAATACAGGTGCACCCACCGAGACACAGGGACAGGTAAGAATGGAAGAAACTAAATTAAGATGAGCTTAAAAAGCTATAAGCCACATCTATGCCATGCTAAAGCTCCCAAATCTCCAACAAGGCTAGAGGGTCTGAGGATGTGGAATTTTGAAACGCTCGTTTGCATAGACCTCACACGGGGTTTATAGATATTCCTAGTGGCATTTAAATCCTTATAATGAAGCCAGTTTAAAAGTGTAGTAATAGTTGATATACATCGGAAGAGGATGCAGGAAGAAAGAGCGGCAGGTTGAGGATTTTATAGCCAGCTCCAGGTGGTCACATGAAGCGATGACTGGCTTACAAGTCACATTAACGTCATTTGTATTGAGCGTTGCCTTCACTTTAATATCAGTATGAGGAATGACGCGCCTAATTGATGGAATGAATGTTGGTGAAGTGAATAATACTCTGGGGAGGTGTGATGACTTTAAGTTATCTTTCAGGTTCGCAGCATTGGGCATGCATTCAAGCTGGAAGTATTGATGGGATATTGCAAAACAGTAGTGAAAGCTAGCTGCAGAATATTTTACAAAATAAGCAACGTTCAACCAAGTGCAAGATACCACCACTCTTTTACTATCCAACCTGCTGGACTATTCACTCCATCGCCCTCGTTTCCTCCCACTGTCTCAATAGCATCCACAGTAACCAGCCATTGCAAGATTAACTCTATCTCCCATCCCCCAAGATAGGGCTGCATGGTCCGTTTGATGACTTCGACCCCAGCTCCTGGCCGAGCGGCCAGCAGTCCCAAAATGGCCGCGACAGCAAGCTCCCATAGCAGCCTAACAAATCCTCCATGCACATCAATCCAGAGCGGTAGCTTGGGAAGAACGGACCCGGCACCGAATCCATCCTTGCTTAGATCCGTGTGAGGCACTGGTGTTGCCTGGATTTTATCAGTCAGCGGATTTCCATGCACGTACTGCCCCGGGACTGGGCGAATCTCCATGTCGAAAAACAACTTCGACTTATCCATCAACCGGGTGAGATAGCCTCTCTCCGTGAGGCCGAACTTGTTCTGCGGCGGGTTCATGGGCCATAACGTAACTCGTCCTTCCGAAAGCATGTTCAACAGGACGATGATATCTCCGTCCTCCGCCTCGTAGGCTACTTGATATTTACCTTCCGCTTGGATCGCCGGGTCCAAAACGTTCAGTTTGAAATGGATTGCGCGCATTACTTGTGTCGATTCGGTTGCCCGCTTTCGGCCAAACGCATTCAAGAAGTTCTCGGTAACATCGAAGTTCCGGCCTGGTGTGATCCTTCCACGATTACCCATGGAGATAACCCGTTCCGTGATCAGAGATTGTATTGCGTCTCCGATGAGCTCCTCACCGAATCGCTCGAGGATTTGCCGAGCTTCAGTAGGTTTGTACGATTCCTCGGCGGTAACTATGTTGGCACGTACCCAGGTCTTCGCAAGGTCGAGGCGTCGTATTGCTTCTGCTCTTTTGGTTTCATTCAACGGCATCACGGTTTGTGGGCGTTTATGGACGACAGGCACTGCGAAGGGGATAGTAGCATATAGAGTCCGTTTCCGTGGAAGTGTAGGTTGCACATTATACTGGTAGAGTTCATCGATACCGACCGCCGGTTCCTTTCTAACATCAAAAATGCTTGAGAACTGCTCATGGGTTGCTGGGAGGCTGGGAACCTTCCTAAGGCTAGGCTTTTCGAGTTCTTGCTCAGCCCAGTCGACCACTGCACCCCAATCATACCCTTCTAGATTGTTATAGTCAATCCTGGGTAAAAGATCAAGTTCATAAGCCTCGATAAAACGCTCTTGAAAATCTCGTTGCATTTTGATAATCTGGAGCCTGTGTCTCGACAATATGGATTTCCCACAGTCATGAATGGATTTTGCATCGTATCCTGGGAAAATAGAAGCAACCAGGGACCAATCGGTCAACCTCGCTTCTAATCCTCCAGCCAGGACACGTAACACCACAATAGCCATCATAAGCTTCCGAAGGTCTATCTCAGGGAATTCCTTCGAGGGCCGGCCGCGTTTGGATACCCGCTCCATCGGTTTTGCCGCTTCTTGCAACGGCTTGATGGGCTCCTGGAACTGCTCAAGACGTCGACCACCTGCAGCGCCTGCTCTTTGCGGCACTAGAACAAAGGTCTGGTCAGCCCTATCCTGCCTGGGTAGTGCATTTAAAAATAGTCGCCTGTATGTGTAGGCGCGAACGCCGCGAGCCGTTGCCTGTCGAGTCAAACGCCGCTCTGCTGGCTTCAGTGGCCGAGCTCGGGGCCGGTCAACAAAGACTATCGGACCTTCTAGCGGGGCACTCTCAAATGGACCTGGTATTGTATGATTGACATATTTTAACTCTTCGCCCAGCGGAGCGTCAGGGAATTCATGTCTCAATTCCCATTCCCTAACAATATCCACGTGCGAGAAAAATATCATTGAGATCGGATCCAAAATGTTGTAAATATCCATGACGCGTTTCCCTGACATAGACAGTATATTATCCAAACTGTCTGGTAAAGAGGTTATCTTTGGTAGTTCCGGTTTTGGTTTATAAGCGCGCTTCTTTTTTGTCATATAGCAGACCCCGGTCCCAAAGGTCCCAGTGGCCGCGTTAAACGTCTGAGGAGGAGACATGAGCATCACGAGTAACGTTGGTTTCCATTTCTCACCAAAAAGCAAATCGAGATACATGTTGGGAGGCCATGGTCTTAGAACTGGTAAATGGGCGGTTTCTGACGAATGTGGCGCAGGGATAGAAAGAGAGTCCAAAAACGGACTTGCAGACGGGCGATGGTGGAGGCCTTTGAGTAGTCGAACCCTTTTCTGCCATTCTCCTGCTCCAAAATCTCGACGCGCAGCCCTCAGTAAGCGCCGATCCTGAACAAATCGAAAACGACGTCGCGGTTTTGGTGGCCGTGGACGGAACCTGGCTGGAATGTAGTTCAAAGTGACTCGAACCTCGTCCTCAACTTCTGGCAGCTTCAAGTCATGGCCAGAGAGGCCCTTGTGAGACTTCTTCAATGTCGGATCAACGGTTACATTCGGATGCAGGTAGAGCTGAGGGTCCGTTTTCAAAAGTGCGCCTTGTAGATTCCGGATGATAGGATCTGTGGGATCTATTTCAGGTTTAGCAATGATGGTCTTCGTCACCATGAGCCCTTTGGAGTTTTTCCCGCTAAAGGTATGCTGTCGAAGCGTTCCAGCATCGATTAGAGCACTAACAGCGCTTCTGATAGTTCGCATGTCCGGCTTTTCAGTTCTCGTTTTGAGCCAAGCCGTAGTGAAAGGATACCACAGTTCGGTGCCCATGGGATGAGCGCCTCCGCACTGTTCAATTATATCCATGACAATCTTCCTTCGCTGGAATGCAATTGAGCCTCCTCTAATGTCTCTTTTCGTTGATGCTCTTTTAGCCTTGCTTTTAAATTTGGTCGGCGAAGTACTGGGAGTGACAGAAACTGATTTGAGGTCTACAGGCGTCTGGGAAACAGATGCGCCGCGACCTTGGCCGGCGGTATCAGCTGGCGGACTCCTTTCCACCCTTGAAATTCCGTCCTCATCTATTGACTCGCATGGCTCTATCCCTTCTCTTTGATTCGGCGCATTAGTGCCATCGGAGGGTATCATGTCGATTGTTCTTACGGGGGTAAGTTCCGGCTCCATGGCTATGGCGTCCTTGTTTGGTTGATGGGAATGGGATCCCAGGAGCGCATTTTCAGGCATGCTTTCACTGTGAATGCGGGTAATACTACTCATATTAACCGACTGTTCCTGATCCATTCTTACGTCGTGGATTTGATTCTGTTGTGATTGTGGACCAGCGCCAACCTTGGGCATACGCAGTGGTCCCTCTATGACGGAGGTAGTTGGAGCGTCATGACCAACAGGAACCTCAGGGGGTATCCCGGAATCCTCACGTTGTGGTGGTTTGCCTCTCCGCCGTCCTCCCAACGCTCCCACAATTTTATTCGGCTCTTCTGTGATAGTGCCCTCGTCTTCAGCCCGTTTTCTCTTCTTAGAAACACGTGTAGTCGTTACAACCACTTCTTCAGCTTGACTGGTGTCCGCCGGGCTAACGGTATCACTAACTTCACTCTCAGAGACCTCTTGATTGAGCGGCTCGGCTGCAATAGAAGATTTTCTTAAAGCTCTCCTTGTGACTGGAGCGGGGAACTCTCCAGCTTCAGATATAGATCTATTTTCAGCAACAGGCACTGCCATGCCATCACGCGCTTCGGAATGTCCAGCCGGTGTCTCATTGATGAACCAGTCAAATTCTTTCAACCGCGGGAACTTGAAAATCGCGATCCGACTTTTCCTTGGGCGGCCTTGTCTCATCCCAACTGCCCTTCTCTTACCGATTGGGGTCAAATAAAGCCCAGGACATGGCCTCTCAAGTGTTAGAGCACTATACACCGTCCAGCTCTTGTCGTATCCCTGGGCCGTCAACCGGTCGAGTTCTGACATTGCTTCAAGATCCTCCATTTTCTTCTTTCGTTTCGCTGTACGCGCAGCAGCCAGAGGTGATTCAGCAGTGGCTTCAAGCTCTTGGAGAAGCCCAGCATCAGATGCAGTCCTCTTTGTTGCTCGTTCAATTTTATCTCCAGTCTCTGCCAGGGCAGCCACACCAACATCAATAGTGGACCCTGGAGTTGCCTGCGTCCGAATTTGTTTTCCAAGGCGGATACCTGCAAATCCCGGCCATTAGATATTTATTATACTAGTTCTGCCCCAGAGTTACATACCAAAGGTGCCATCGCGAAGATATACAACCACGGGATCAAGGGATGTAGTGGCGTAGTTGCTAGGTCGGGCGCACTCTAGGCATTCTTGGAGGGTAGCATTGCCTTGCCGTAACAGATTCGACGGGCATTTTTCAATGACAAAGCCATATTTATCTACCTCAGCCTTCGCATCAATAGGAGGCGGCCGACCTGCATTTTTCTTGACCGCGGTTCCTACGGCCTCCCATGACGCTTGACCATCGTTTACGAGCGCCGCAAAATTTCGAAACGAGTACTGAACAAAATAGAAGGTCGTACTCCGCAGAGCAGTATCCCGTATAAGAGCTAGGTGTCGGAGGTGGAGAGGTTGCGTATACTGCCATGAATCCACAAGGCGAGATAAAAGTGATTCAACAGGACGTCTGAAAAAGTTACCGAGAGACTTTGCCGCAATTTCCTACAGTAACACTCAGCATATACAAACATCTGTTAGAACAAGGTACAACAACCTACCAGATTGTTCATTCCCCTTGGCCCAGCTCCATCTACGAGATTGAAGATAAAATTGGGCAAACTTTGATCTGGGGTCCATCCCGGTATGATGCGGCCAACGTCTTGCACAATACCACCTTTAACTTCGGTCGATTGAAGGGGGCCAGTTGTCAACATATCTTCCATATCTTCATCTTCATCCTGCTCTTCGGCATCGTCTAGGTTGCCAACATCACCCTGTTGCAAAGATGCAATGACGGCGGAACTATCGTCATGGAAAAGCTGTATATCTTTTTCGGTAGGTTCTCGGATAAGCATGACACACGGGTGGGCGGACAGAGTAACCTCCGAGTACTGTGAAACGGCATGAACACGTCTGACACAACCAATGGCTTCTAGTTTTCGGATAGCTCTCCGTAAAATCTTCGACCGCCAAAGAACTGTCATCCCTAGCTTTTTCTTCAGATCGTTTCTCTCGATCACATTCTGTTCTCTTAGGCATTGAAGCAGTTTGTCTAGCAAGGCACTAAAATCGATCATGAGGTCTTCACGGGGGTTGCCAACGCGCTCACTCTCAGGGCGCACCGTTTGAAAGATTTCAGCAGGTGCGGAGACTGCGTACTTGCGGAGAATGCATAAGCTGGTTCTAGCCCCTTTATATTGAATAGCCTTCTTTTCAATGTAGCCTTTCCGCTGTAGTGAATCGGTACGCTTGGGTACAGAGCGCTTGTCCTGGCCACTGAGCTTGACAAGGTCGCTTTGGACTATTCCCCTCGCCTTATGAGACGCAATGATGGAGAGAAGAGCAAGTTCCGAGGGAAACACCCGAGACGTATCTGGCTTATGGCCGGTAATCGCGCGCCACGCCCGTTCTTCTGAGACAAACACCCGGAGGGCATCCCCCACGGCTTCGTTCAACCCAGATTCTTCCGCTGCAACGAGAGCGGGGTCGATCTCTGAAGCAGGGGCAGCTGGCTGCGGATCCCTTACGAGGGCTTCATCAAGCGATAAGCTGTTCCCTTCAGAGTTTTTGCCGACGGAAACCTCGGGGTGCTTGGTCAACCATTCCCACAGTTTGCATTTGAGCCGATGGTCAACCTTTGGCAGACGCTGTGGTTCTGTCTGACGCACATCTTGGGCATCTGGTAACGCATAAATGGCATCAATAAAGCCCAGCACTTCAGCTGGCGATGCACCTGTAGCTCTTTGTCAGCCCAAATTCCGTGGCGATTCTGTGAGCACCGATTTGTAAGGGAACAGGAGCCCGAAGCCTTCTATGCATATCGACAAACATGAAGGAGTCGGGTAACCAAACTCTATAGGCCAGGGCTTCAGGGGTAAGATCGATAGCTTCGCCAGCTGCATGAACATGCAGGATGAGACTCACCTCTGTCGCCACACAGAGCGATCTCTTCCAGAACCGACTCGATTATAGCTCTGAAACTTTTTACCATAATGCCACATCCTTTCCCAGTTTAGCCAGAGCGTCGAGGATCAAGAGGGACGAGCTGAATGTGTGTTGCCATAAAGCCGAAACTGTCGACGTTGATGGCATTGTCCCGATTCGAACTTGCGACTGAGGTTTGGTGTGCTTATGTAAGACGGAGACGGACTTTAGTAGATCCGGCCCGCACTATGACATCATCAGCCGCTGCGGCGATTTCAACATACCGAGTGCATAATTGGGTAGAGAAGGTTGGATGGCCAGCTATTACATACTCTCAGAGTGCTATTCGGTCAGTGGCATCCCTCCCGAGGCCCACAATGTCGGGCAGAGTACGTAGTTCATCGTCCACGGGCCAAACCGGGACCTGTGGCTGATTCGCGATTCCACCTGGCCCTAAGACACCAGGTGAAGAATGACATCATGCCGAGTGGGCGATCAACACCCGAAGCCAGCATGATATCAAACCCATCGCGACTCCTGGACACCCGTTGGATCTTGTCTTCTTTGCCACCCCAGAACAGTTATTATAGATTCAAGATGTTGGTCACCCGCGACAATAGCCTGCCAGTTTGCCTGCATCTAGCCCAACATTCTTCAACAACTCCACGCCCATCGTCCATTGAGCTCCATTCGTTTCGTCTCCTCCAGAGTCAACACATAGCCCCATTCATGCTGTTCTCAGCTCGATTAGCATGAGAACCAAACCTCCATAAGACCTCGTTAGCTACCTACCATCATCCCCTCGATCCAATGGATGCCAATCCCACGGTACCTCCCGCGCCCGTTCTACCAGAGTTACCATACTCCCTTAGGGACCGCAAGAGATCAATTGCCCTCTTCTGGACGTTGTTTGTCATCGACACGCTCGCACAGCCGTTGATTCTATATTTCACCTTGTGGTACTTGACGGATCTGTCGCATAACTTGGGTGCGTGATGCCTCGCGCAGCCCCTCCCCCGTCTGATGTTCTTGGGCTAATCGGTCCGCTCCGCAATAGTGTTTACCATCAGTACAGCCGCACTGGGGGGTGTTTCGATTGGAGAATACTTTTACCGATTTTGGATACTGTTCAAAAAGGACTCCGTCTGCCGGCCATTGAATGCCCGACGGTCATGGGTATGCATCTCCCGTTCTATCAAGCGGCTTGAAGTCACTAAGATTTTGTAGCTCGACTTCTTTCAGATCAATTTCACTTTGGTATGGGTCATCCTTGGAGTTGAGTTGATCATGTATGTTGAATCTTCCCTGTGATCACAAGGCATTAATCATAGTCATTAACCGGTATTGTCCAGCGGAACCGTACAGGAAGAACCATACAGTAAGTAGGGACTTCTCCCACATACGCCCGTTGCGGATGCTGAAAGTTCTCAGTTCGTCTTCTTGCCATGCCCCTCCCCACGTTCATGTACTACTTCGGCATCGTTCACCTCACCCTTGATTTCCTCCGTGCACGAGGGTATCAAGCTCCGTTCCGGATATCTTCCACGCCAAAAGGCCATGTCATGCCCACCGCCCTTTACGTTTTAATAGAAGATATCGTTGCCGTGGACGGTGGTGGCGGCCAAAAGTACCGACGTGCGCTCCGCGATCGATACCTAGCCAGCCCATACTTTCGACAAATGCTATTTGAAATGAACTGTTTCTGGGGCGGGGGCTCCATCGTCTGGGCCACCATCATCACGATCCTAATCTTCACCACTCCTCGAGACGTTGCCTATACCGTATGTCTTTGCCTTTCTGGCCACTCGCACAAGAGACAAACTGACCATTTCTCTAGCTCGGATGGACACTTCCATTCGTATGGGCCGGTCTTTGGACCATCATCACCATCCCATGGGTCCAAGCGGACCTGCGGCGTGAAAAGGCTGCCTGGGCCAAAGGCAATACCCACGGCGGTGAGCCATTCACCGACGACATCCATGAACCCACGCCTCTTACGAGATTTGTTTCCGTTTCTGGAAGGCTGGCATCCATGCTTCCCTTTCATAAACCGGGCGCCAGGCGTTTGGACCTTGAAGGGGGCGGAAATGCTGATACGGAGATCGCGAATACCTCAACCGCCGGCGTGACAAATCCGGAATACAAGCAGGAGGGTTAAACACGTCCTTTTTTATCAAATTGTATAATACGATATATGCATCTTCAGGCGATCTACGGCTAAAGAAAAATGTGGGCATGGCGTGGCGGTATTACCTTTGAACTCTTCATCTTTGTGTGTTTTTTTTTAGTTAACTAGATATCCTATTTCCTTGCTTCCAAAGTGAATTTGCACTGATAGCGTCGCAAGTCTGATCTGGGCTTATATATACTAGCCTATTTACAACCTTATATGCAAGCAACCTGGCAACTCATTATATACAACCATCTGTGATACAACGAAAAATTAATCTAAAAACTGATAACAAGCAACACCAGTGGCAAGCCCAAACACCAAGGGGATCAAAACGACCACAATGCTTTAGGTATGTATGCTCGCTTCCCTAACGCCAGGATGCAGCCCAGTCCAAACCAAGAAAGCCAAACCAGCCAACGGTCTATAGAAATGCTCTGCAGGCGCTGTACGGGATTTTTTTTTTTTTTTTGCGTACAGTTGGCAAATGCGCAGGTAGGAAATACAGATATTTGGGAAAAGGCAAGCAAAAGAAAAAAAAAGAAAACGCAATACAAGCAGTTCCCTTTATATCAGGGACCAATCGAGCCAACTTTTCCTTTGCATACGGATATCAGGGGTATTTACAGACGGATTGAAGCGGAAACGCGAGCTTGAAAATTGAAGCGAGGGAGGTGACGCGAATTAGGTCTAGTCGAGCCCGCCTAAGAATTTACGACGCAGCTGAGTAAGGGACCTTTTCCGCGGCCGGGTTCTAGACAATGGTCAGCAGCACGTCGAGTTAGGGGTGGAGGTGGCTACTAGCGCACTTGACTGATTTTTTATCCAGTTGCTCTCTATCTTGACTTTGTGCGGTTGCGGGACGGCTGAACTCATTTTGCAGGAAGCTTCGAGACTAGGACGACGTCAGCCACGGTTTATCCACACCAAGCACGTTCATAATGTAGAACTTACGTCCTCGCGAGCATCCATGTTGAGACTCCTGGCAGAATGAGAATCAAGCGCAAGACCCGTAGAGGGACCAGCCGAGTTCAAACTAGACATTGTAGATCTTGCACCAGAGAAAGGTGAAACATGAGAGTGAAATGACCGACGCGGTGATTCGGATTGCTCGGTTGAGCTGCGGCTGACGATGCTATTTGAGCCATCTGAAGGGTACATATTGGAAACGCTGTCTGACGTGAAAACCTGCTTCGCAGTGGCAAGTTCTCGCAGTCGTCTTTGCTGTTGTTTACTTGGACGATTATGGGAGAACTTGTTACCGAGAATTGCGGGGGCATGCGAGATGAGAGCTTTAATGGCGTCCTTCTTAAGGCGCAGCGCAAGATCGAGATTGGACCAAGTTTTGTTTCGATATTCGAGTATTGGCAACCGAAATACAAAGTCATGCACATCCTCAATGTTGCGCTCGCCTTTCCCTTTATAACTCAAACAAAGGACAACATCGTTGATTTTTACATGAGATAAGATCATGTAATTGGACGCCCTTGACATCATGTATGAAACATCATCCGTGGGATTCTCGGCTTTGCCAAATGCCTTTGTTGATGATCGGGATATCGCGAATTTCTTGCCTTTTTCATCAGTCGCGGATATGGTAGATTGTGACGCCAACGACCTGTCCGTTTGAGATCTGCCAAGCAGCTTTAGACTATCGACAGAGTTCTTCTTTACTGGAAGACGACTCGGAGGTGGAGTTCGGGTGGCAGACCGAGATCGATCTCCAGGGCTTCCGGCTTTACTTTTTGCAGAGTCCTTATTTATAGGTGTGAAACCCGCTATCTTTGGTCTTCGACCCGGAGATTTCGATCGATGGTTGTCTTGCAAGGAAAGTGTGGGTTTCAATCTCGACTCAATACTGCCTGGGTATGACATCTGGGAATCGTCGACGGAGCCACTGCTAGTGCTTGCACCTGGTGTGTGAACTTCAGGGTTGCCGTCACTCTCCTCCTCATCTTCCTGTGGATTAAATCGTTTGATCATAAACGGCGAGAAACCTCCACTTTCAAAAGCATTTGACCCAACTCCTGGAAATATGTATTCAAACAGCTTTTGGCCTAGCTCTCGTTCCAATTGAATTTTCAGCGGGAATAGCGTCACTTCAAAGTCATCTAATACCGGAATGCCACCAATGGCCTCTAACATGTACCATTTAACTTGAAGCATCATATCCTCTTCCGTTTGCGGATTTTGGCGTTGTTCATCTAAATATGGGACGATCATCTGGGGATACAATGCGCTAGGGAGGAGGTTTAGGCCGTAGATTCGTTGGACTTCAATCGCGTTGTGATTTGACCCATCAATGTTATCTGTTCTCTCGTACGCGGCGTTCCTCAGCTGAAACTCAACAAGCGGCTCCCCATGCTCTCTCATCAAATGCCATACAATTTCGGATGCGGACAACGTCCACCTTAGAAGACCGCTGGAATGGTGCTTTGTACGCTCCTCATTTTTCCGTTGCGAAGTGGTAATTGCCTTCATGATGAAAAATAGCTCATCCTCACAAGTGGCCAGGTCCTTTTCCAAGGCCATTCTATCTTTCCATCCCTGGGTATCTAGGTATTTTGATTGGATTTGGAAAAGATTTTTGATATCTTCGAGATGGCGAATCCGCTGCTGAAGTTTATTGACCATCTCAGGAGCACCCCTAAGGTCGCTGAAGTCCGAGGCTAACATTATTTTTTCTAATCGTTCGTTTCGGACTTGCTCTAGCGGCTCACTGTAAAGAAGAAGATCTAGTACAATGACATACATTGAATAATATTGAGCAGAATCGCAGATTGCCCTGACCTGAGGGAAATCTACCGAGATCTGATCGATCCTGTTCTCGTTGGCAATTGCATCGCAGACCGGTCCGCGGTCTTCCTTCGCAACCTTTTCGTTGTATTTTAGACGTAAAGCGTTATACTTGTCGTAGCGAAGACTAGCGGATGTTTTCTGAATGATTCGAGACAGCCCGGATGGATCGCGATCGAATTCAAACATAGACTCCAACGATACCCATGGAGGCCACGTTGCCCCCGGAGCGTTGCCATATCTGTTTCCACAGTATATATGGGCATGACTTGAAAACGTTTTTTGGGTTGCAACAAAAAATTGAGCACTGTCCATGTCTAGCGTGAATCGGCGCTGCACGAGGCCACTAACGTCATCAGACTCTCGTCGTTTATCTCTAATCGAGATCACTTTTAATTGCATGCCTTTAGCAGTTACAAGTGCGACGGATTTTTTATTCTTCTCGCTTTGTAGCTGAATTTGCGGGGCTATAAGTCGGAGGTGATAGCTGTTCTGTGCGGTAAACTCTGGGGCAATGTCGTCCTGCTCTTCTGCTTGTTCTTGCTTGTCGCTGTGGTAACCTGTGTCTTCCGCATTTACAAAACGGTTGGCATCGTTGAGGAGCTGCTCGATCCGGGCCTCTACTGTCCCTTCATCATCCTGATCCTCTTCATTTGAGTTAGGTGCATGATGAAATGACTGGCGTCGACTGTCCATATGCCGAAATTTGGATTTGCCCTGCTCTTCGACAATGTCCAAGATGAACTTGACGGCTCTGCGAGACATGTAGTAGACAAAGCCACGACGTTGACTGTTCTGGTGGATATACCGTAGAACTATATTCCGCAAAGAGTTATTCCACTTCAGCTGGATGTTGTGGATAATAAACCGATTATTGAAATCGCTGATGAAGTCTTCGTCTGGAGAAGCGTAGTGCATTTGAGCACCCACGTCGTCCCCTGATTTCTGCGTTTCGGAAGAAGAGTCAGGCGAGGGGCATTTGCTATCTGATTCACTGACGCCTGTGGTTGTCGAAATCTGTTGTGTAAGTCGCAGAAGTCCTTCCTGGAGGAACTCCCTCCGCGTACGAAGTGATTCGCCTTGTTTGAGGAACAACTCGTATTGACTGCGACTGGCTTCATCCACCGTTCCTTCACGGACAAGTTGAAGTTCGTGTTCGCCAACCAAGCGTGCATGAGAGTCGATTTGCGCATCAAGCACATGAAGACGTTCTTTAATCAGATCTATTTGAACTGTTCGTGGATCGTTTTCCTGGGTCATGACGCAGTAGTGTGTAGGCTCATCACCAAAATGACTATACCCTGTCTCATCGGGTCCAACTTCATGATGATCTGTCTGTCTGAGATACGAAAAGCGCGGAGAATATGCAAGAGGAAGTATCTGGGTCTTAGGATTCGACTCCGAGGGTAATATCCAGTCAAGTTCAACGAAGTCGTCCATATCAACCCAGTTTAAGTCATGGTCAGGAATAGTAAAGCGAGAAAGGTCAGCAGGTGCGACAGGTTCTTGGAATGTCGATATGATATCGTCTCTGGCCCGTTGAATATCTTCAGGATTGGTGCCACCAATACTAGCTGACACAGCTCGGAAATCTGCGGATATGAAATCAAGCTGCGCACGATTGATCCTCATCGTGCTCGCCTTCGTTTGCTTCAATCGTCCCTTCACCTGCGTTTTGACCTGTTCTCGGCGCTGGTGGAGATCAAGCATGAAGCTATCGAGTCGAGCTTTGATCCCTGTGGCAAAAACGGTAGTTTTGTTGTAATCTTCGGCCTCTTTGTGTTTGTAAATGTGGGAGATGAATAAAGGAGAAAGGAATAGGTTATATTTGACCGTTCCAAGATGACGACTGAACTTCTTGCTAGTCTTTGTTAGACCCGGCCACAGAGGCCCCTGGCGAACAGGCAAGGACATTACTCCTGAGAACAAGGACCACCAGTTGAAAAAGTGAGTAAAGAATCTAGGGCTTAGGTGAACGGTATTGTAGCTCGTGGACGGTTCACGATTTGTTACCGACCAAACTCGCGAAACAGGCGCCACGACAGCAACCGAAAGATGGATATGATTGCTGCGAAAACCGCGATATGCATCGTAGTCCTAACCAGGCTTGAATTAAAATCTCTTCGCCTGGAAATTATTGATTGAACAAATACCTTTCGTTTCTCTCCGCTGAGATACTTCGGATTCTTTAGGACGACGTCATAATGGGGCCTAAACTCGAACGAACGCTCTTCCGTGCCGTGAACGGTTCGCTCGAAGACCAAACCTGCAAGCCATCTCACGTTGCCCGAGAGTTTCATTACAACCTTCTTAAATGTAGGGTCGTGCCTCATACTGCTTTTAGACGATAGGCTCCCGCTGTCTGACATGGGCAACTCGTAGGAATGTCGCGCATGGTGGCTATAGTCGGGAACTGCAAGCACATACTCTCCGCTTGTAACGGTCATAAACTCCTTGGGGTCATCTCGCGTGTGTATCTCCCATTGCACATCTTTACGCCAGCACATAACAAACCCAGCACCAAAGCCTGTAACCACGTAAGGGTCACGAGAACCTAGCAAGACAGTTAGCCGGTTAACAAACCCTGATCTGAAACTGCACTTACCTTTGAGTCGGAGGTGAACATCTCCGTCCCCTTTCCACATCACGTTAATTCTGGAATGGAAGCTAAGCCTTATTTTATCCCAAAACCCAACACGTTCAGACGGGTCAATCTCCGGTTTAGTGAACCCTTCGATTATCTTCATCATATCTTGGATGACAGGTTGATAGGACATTCCCCATGATATGCTAGTCGGAAGGTTTGTATTGATCTCAATTTTGGGGTCAGAATATGTTTTGACAGGCGACACGGTTCGGCGTACGTCGATTGAAAACCCAGGATGAGAAACCCCATCAGGTGTTACAGTTGGTGGAACGATATTGACCATCACGCGTCGGGACGATTCGTAGTCACGAAACTCTTCTGCAATTACAAAGTCTCCGTGCACCGACCAACATGGTAGACGAGTCGGCTGGCCGGGACGCAGTGCAGGGATATGTATTAAATCGAGAGGGTAGTCCCTAAGGTTTGCCCTTGCTTCTCCCATATCTAAATGGACACTCATGGGAATTAAAAGGGAGTATTTCGTATCCAAAGGCATTCCTTTGCCAATTTTATGGATGTATTCGGCGTAAGAACTCAAAGGGAAAGAAGGTTTGTCAAGAACAAGGTGCACATCACTTATAGTGACAGCAAGTAACCCGGGCCGATTAGGCACCACTAGTATAGTCTCATCGTCCTGGAACCCTTCTGGAGGCTCATCGGCGCCCGCGAAGAGGGCCCGTATCTCCTTGATTGCTGTATTTTGGAAACGTATGGAGCTATCAATTCTGGTCCTCCAAGAATGCGCATTATGCTCCTGTAAGCTGGTCCAGGCGTCATGCAAAGCAACCTTACAGCAATCCGAAAAGCTCGTAATAGCGTCAGGGTCATATCTTACTTTCCGCTTAGCACGTCTACCCCTGGATGTCGAACGCGAACGTTCATGGCGATCGACACTTTTGCTTCGCTGGGTTTCCCCACTATTGCGAGATAAAGCCGGAGACTTTTGAGAGCTTGGATGTGCTGAATGAGTACGCAACCGGGAAGTTGCAATGCGCTGCTGGCACGCTTCAACCTTTTTGACTTTCATCCGATGTGCCTCATCGCGCGTCAAGCGCTGTTTCTGCTCCAATAAACCCAGTCGATATATGGTCGACAGTTTCCATTCAAAGGCGTCGTCTTCCAATTCGAATAAAAGTGCTTTACTGCGCAACGAAATCCTAGGGACATGCTTTGGGCCTTCGGGGTGCTTTTCTAGAACATATTCATTTGTTCTGGTTTTGAACCGATGATTTAGCTGTTGAATAGCTTTGGTGGTATTCACGAAATTATCGAAAATGCGATGCATGATCATATGATGCGGGACAGCGAGACGAATAAAATCAGTGGATATGTCGTACCCCTTGGCGTCCGTAATCGACTCAGCCTGCTTAGAACGACTTTCTCTAAATCCAACACGCATGCTCTTTACACTGATGATCCGCGCCCATACGCCTTTTAGTTTTGGCGCTTCGGCATGAAGGCGGACAAGATGTGCACGTATGAAGGGAGGCGACCATCTATGGCGGCCAGCAGCCAAACCATAAATTTGCACCATCATCGCAGGGTCCATAGGCATTACAAGTTTAATTTCAATCAGAGGGGCCTTGAAGTCAAGGGTGACTAGCTCAGCTTTAGGAAGGGCTGGGCTAGGAGGTGACGATTGGGAGCTTTTGCTTCCCACCCCCATTGAAGGATCCCTTCTTAGGTGACTGTTTAAGGAAAGGCATCTTTGTATCACGGTAAAGGCGATCCGAAGGGCGTATATCGATAAAGTGAATGCTTTAGAAAGGTTTCGTGCACAATAGAGGTAATATGGAATGTCGGCCCTTGCAGGTCACTCGTAGTGCTGAGGGCAACCTCAAACCGTGGAATAGACAAAAAAGGACTCCGTTTCCATGAAATCTGCAGACTCTATGACAAAGCCTTCAAGGCCTCGCACATGGATTGCAAGGCGTCTACCATCTGCAGGGCCAGTATAGGACTTACGTGAGGGCGATGAAGATGCGAATCTGAAGGTCGGATCATCTGACATAGCAGAATGACTTGGGGTTCGTCGACGCGCAACCCTTTTGTTGGGTTCTGCTTTTTGTGCTTGGTAATGGGCAGAGCAGCCACCAAGTTGCAAGACAATACCGCGGGTTGCCGGTTGAATTGTATCATCTGTTCCAGCAACTTCGACAGCGAGGCCTAATATTTCGAATTGAAATTGGAGTAGCCACGGTGGAAGGCGCCTCAGGATACTGGGAGAATTCGGATTCATGGAGGGCGGTAATTTGGTCGGTTGAACATGGTCATGAAACTGTTCAACTACCTGATGAACGCCTTGGGTAACCTCACCGCTCACAAGGTGAACGGAAAAAGTATTCAAATTCCCGGAAGCCACAACACAAAGTTCTGTCGTTGCATTCAAATGAGTTTTAAGCTCCAGGGACTCGGTAGACATTAGGTGATGTTTGGCCCCTGACGCCATCTGGTAATAGAGCACATGAGATGCAACTCTATAAACTGAGGCTAAGGAATATTGGACTCCTTCTTCTGCCGAATGAGAGGACTCAATGTCCAATGATATGGAGGATATCGAGGAGACGAGGAGGTTATAATCTTGCTGTTCGGAAGCCGTCGACGCTGGAAGCACGAATCGAAGTACGGGTTCCTGGATGGATAATTTGATTGTTGCTTTGGGTAGAAGACGAGAGATCAAAAGGTGTTTGCTTTTCTTTTTCGTCCGACGAGTTGCGTTCCTCCGCTGCAGCAGGCCAATTATTTGAGCAACCTTCCCAGGCTCCAAATCCACAGACGGCGAAGTGACAACAAAATTGGCAAAAAGAACATTTGTGTTGCGTTCAGCCGCATCATGGCTTTCTGAAAGAGAGACAGTTTTGGCCGGTAATGTCGTTTTGACTGTTGCGGTGGCCATTGGGATGTACATAATTTTGTCATGATCGTTCGTGTTATCATCTAGCGACACAGACGACGATATCGCAGCTACGAGAGCCTGATGCGCGATATCATTCTTTTGGAAGTACATACGGTGGGCTGGTTCGTTAGGGTCCATTCGGTGAAAATCAATGCCGACCTCGTGGGTAACAATGTTCAGAAATTGAGGCTTTTTCGCTTCGGGGAGCCGCTGTACCACACGGGAAACGCGGAAGAAACTTAGTGCAACTTGAATTTCTTGTATCCCACGGAGTAGAGAGCCTAGAAACTGGCGAGATTCGGCCACTGTGTCGACAACTGCCCCTTCGTGGGTCCCGGGGTGATCCAACTCTTCGACGATATCAGTAAACGATACACCTTTGTCCCCACTGTTGAATGTATTCTGTTGCGATGCCGTTTGTGCCCCTGATATCCGACTTGATAAAGAGAGTAGGTTGTCATACGGGACATGTAGCCTTCCTACTTTAACTGAGACTGAAACGTCCCTCAGACCTTCCACGTCCTTGTGGAGCAGGCCATGGATATTGAGGCCCAAATTGTCCACAATTTCTTCTGGTTCCTGACTCTCCAGCGCAAGAAGCACATTTTTAACATTGATCATCCATTCTGCTGGCAGCTGGTCGCCGGAAGGGTCCTTCTTGTGTCTGAATAATCTCCCACGTTCCATCACATTTCGTCTGGTGTCAACAGCCACCGCAAAACTTCCAACACCGATTTCCCCAACCTTGAGAATCCGTAATGTGGTATCAGTAGCTGTAACATCGACCAACGACAACAAATGTATCCTTCTATGCAACCGTTTTATTACATCTTTCGCTTTTGTCAGGGTTTTCCATGTCTTATTGATTATAGCTCCGTTGTCCCGATGCTGCTTTGAGGGCCGAGTGAATTTTTCTCCAGAGGAGTCGCCATCGTCCAGGAACTTGGCATTGGGCCCTTCATCGGCTGGGATGGTTTGGGTTTTGTCTCCGCCGTGCAAGACTTTCGGGTCAACAGTTACTGAGAGTTCTTTGATTCGCAAACTGACATAAGTTGGCTGCGCAAATGTAGGCCAGTGTATGGATATCCCGAGGCCGCGAATACTGACGTGAATCCCTTCTCTCGGAGAATAAGCAATGCGGCGTAGAGAGAAATAACCGATGCGCTGAATCGAGATCCCAGTGGCGAATCGAACTATGGCGAAGAATACAAAGGTGGATATGTAGAGGAGGAGGATCGTCACGAACACGGACGTCGGGCTTAGAGAGACAGCCATGTCGACTCGCGAGGGCTCGATCGCGTGAGGAAGGGGTTAACCCATTCGTTAAGCCGAGAGGAGCATGGCCTCGATGTTACGAAATGCGCCTCGAGCCTAAAAGTTTCCGCCATCAGTAAGAATCTTCGGATACAACTAAACTGCAGCGGAGCTCCTTTGCTTCCCAACGGAGTCGCAGAGGGTTCAAAGCGCAGTGGAAAGGAGCAGGAGTCAGTGTGTACCAGCAGCTCGACAGATCACACGGGGAGCTAGAAGACGGCGAGATTTCATTCTCGAGACCGTCGTCCGTCCATAGGTCGAGCCAGAGAGGAATCTTGAAGGAGAAGGGAAGTTCCAGTTCCGCGTGCGTGCATCCGCAAAAAGGATGAGATTCTCTGGGGAGGTCCTGGGCCAAGGGGCCAGATAGCGGACTCCAGGGCTCTTGGCGCCGTGCTAGCCGGGATGATCGCATCCGGGCTGCCGGACTCTGCTGACTCAGGAGCTGATATCGCGAGCTTGTCGAGACGAGCTTCAGGAGCAAGCTGCGATCTTCTTGCTTTTGTCCTCCCGTGCAGATCAATGGGCTGCATATGCATTCTGCAGAAGCCCTGTGCCAGAACATTTTAATTACATTCTGGAACAAACGGACGACGCCCAAGTTTGACCAACTAAATAAAGTTTCAGTCTCTTGTCACAACCCTGCTCCAGCACTAATTATAGGCTTGATCAGGCTTTTTATGCCATGCAATACGAAGCTCTATCATGAAATGGCCTTTCCGGGATGATGTGGAAAATGAATTGCATTTCTCGGCAGCATCCCAATGGCAGCTCTTAAGGGTCAAGTGACGGAGGCTCTCTACGGAGGATTCTTTACATTTAATGGCTAATGGCTCCAGAGCTTTGATCCGGAGTTCTTGTGCTAAACAGTTACAGATGCGCAAATCACACGGGATTGCCCAAAACGACCACCAGCTGTTGGCATGCAGAATGCACTGCAAGAAATGCAAAAATTATATATCGGTACTTAGCCAAGGCCCAGGTGCTTTCTGCTCAAGAGTTGTTTTCAGGTCCTTAAGATTCACGAAGCTCCTTGATACGATCATCAATCAAAGCAATTTCTACTTCCACGCCCAGCAATTTCTCGTTCAACAGCTCCTTGTACTTTTCATCCGACAGAGATTTGATAGGTATCCATTTTGATTCGACAATGCGCTCTACTAATGGCGTCTTCGGCTGGGTTACTCGCTGCGTATGCCAGCCATCGACCATATTGTACGACAGCTGGCCCACGTAGCCGAGAAGGGAGAAAGCAACCATCCCGGGAACAAAGCGCCTGTCTGTGAATTACGATATCAGACGATGGGACCGGATAGGAGACATCTACCAACTGCTACTTACGAATAGACCAAGTGACTGCACCGCCCGACAATCCTCCCGCGACTGCACTTGCATAGGCGCGCTGGTTTGAAGTTGGGCTCTCCTGGAACTGGATCCTAAGAATGTTGCTTCGAACCCCTAAGTCTTTGTGAGCGAAACAAACACAATCGGAATCCCCGGTCGGAACGGAACGTACACCAGAAGGAGGTCCCAAACGCGAACCAATGAATGCCATGTGAGATGGAATGGATCACAGGATGGCGATTCAATTTCAGAACACCAGAGGTAGCGCCATACAAAAGGCCAGCGGTCCCTGCATCTTGTTAGCTATCGAGATAGAAAAATCAAGCTCAGAGGTTACTAACCGCTCAGAGCACCAATTTTGACGGCTGGAATCAGCGATGAAGAGGGATGGGATGCATGGCTGCTGGTGTCACCCATAGTTTTCGCTGTCTACAGACATTTAGAATGGCATTGACTCGGCATTGGACTGTCTACACAGGCTTTGCTGCAGACTCGAGTCCATCGTTCCCCCAGCCAGCAAAAGAGGAGAGAGGAGCTTAGTCAGCTTAACCGCGCTCGATTCGCGGCTACGGGCCAATCACAGCGCCGCCACTGCCGCCCGAAGGACTTCCACAAGAGTCGATCTGGAGATATCAAAGTTGCAGCATTGGAGTGGAACTATGGATTGAAGGCTACGGCTAGACATTCACTGCAACTATTAGCCGATCCACGCCGTTGCTACCGGGAAATCGAGGTGTGCAGAGCTGCCGGACTGGCTCCTGCCGCCCGCCCTAGCCTTAATAATAGCGTAAATTTCCGCGTTAGCGTCATCAACTAAAATTTGTCCTCCCAAAATTCCAAAGACACAATTTCCACACCACCACGAACGTCAACCCTACCCGTCGCTTGATCATACAGGCGCCGTCACGCTTTCCAACATCGCGTTCGCTGAAAGATTACCTGTCTTTCAGCCCTTATCGACTCGACTAGAAACGCGCGGAGCTATAGCGCGTTTCGTGTGACCATCAATTGCAATCATGGGTGCGTTACCTTTCGCAGTCGCTTCCGCCCCGCAAGCCCTCATTGTGGCATGGCTCCCTGGAACCTGAATAGTAGCTAACTTGGAACGCATAGCGCCCGCTAAATCCAAAGCCCAGAAGATGTCCGTCGGGGCCTTCTTGGCGGATGAGAGTGAGTGATATACGACAGACAAAACCGTTCTTAGCACTGACACCCGGTAGATTTTGGCTCTTGGGCCGATGAGATGGATGACCTTCCTCTTCCAAGTAGGTTCTTTCTCACCCGATCACGCTACCTTTCTCGTTCAGTGCTAACAATTCTACTTTGTTTAGGTGGTACGCAAAGTTCAAAGTCCATAGGAATACGGCACAGTATTTAACGTAGACTAGCATCTAGCGAGTCCCGCACAGGCTACGGTGGCGAACGTCGTACTTATGGTGGTGCGCCGGCGTCATTTGGACATGAACGTGATGGTACGGGTAACGCTCCGTAGACATGGGCTGCGCTAACACTGGATAGAGCGTGGGTACTCGATTCGAGAGGAACTTCCCCTCCCTACCCAACCCCCTTATACTGCACATATTGGAAACATGTCTTTTGATGCTACCCAAGCCGATATCGCCGAACTATTCGCATCATGCGAAGTGACCAACGTTCGCATCGTGGAAGACAAGTTGACTCGGGCCCCAAAAGGATTTGGCTATGTTGAATTTGCCACTCTCGATGGGCTTAAGAAAGCACTCACGTTCCAAGGAACTTCCCTCCAAGGGAGAAATATTAGAGTCAGCGTTGCAGAACCTCGTGCGTACTCAAGGATTTAGATTTCATGAGGATTGGGGGCTAACACTGTTCCTAGCCAAGGACCGTCATGAGTCCAGAGACCTGAGCGACTGGTCTCGAAAAGGCCCACTGCCTGACCTTCCCCAACGAAGGGGCTCGGATCGTCCAGGGTATGCATCCCGAGGCTTTGACGCAATGTCTGATGCCGGAAGTGAACGCGCTGGCCGCCGCCCATACGAACCTGCAGATGGCAAAATCAGGGATTTCTCTTCCTGGGAACGTAAAGGTCCTCTCCCACCAGCCCCACCAGCTGGCAGAGAAGGCGGTCGTCCCCGAAGCAAAGAAGGTCCACAGATCCGCCGAGCGTCCCCTGCATGGGGTGAAGGTCGCTCACAAGATGGCTCAAGGCCTCCTCGGCGTGAATTCCAGGAACGTCCACCCCCAGAAAGAGCTCCTACGGCTCCCGAACTCGACAACCAGTGGAGAGCGCGTATGCGACCCGACCAACCTGCACAGCCTCCAGCCCCAACCCCAGCCCCAGCTGCTGTACAAGCCTCTCCAGCCTCCCCCGTTGCTCCAACAGGGCCGGCTCTGGCTATGAGACCGAAGCTCAATCTTCAAAAGAGAACGGTTCCTGACAGTGAAGTAAAGTCTCCATCTACTGGTGAGCCTAAATCCAGCATTTTCGGCGGCGCTCGCCCGATTGATACAGCCGCCAAAGAAAAAGAAATTGAAGAGAGGCGGCTGCAGAAGAAGAAGGAAAGCGAAGAAAAGGCTAAAGCCGAGAAAGAAGAACAGGAGAGAATTGCTAAGGAGCAGGAGTTGGCTAAACAAAAAGCAAAGGAAGCAGCTGCTGCCGCCAGTGCCGCAAACGCCGATGGCCCGAAGGAGGGTGCTTCTGATGTGGCCCAAGGTGCAAATTTTGAAATTCTTCAGCGAATGGAAGAGAACGGAAATGGGGAGGTTGCAGGCGCTACTCAAGAGGGCGCTCCGACTCCCACAGAAGAAAAGCCCCAGGCTCCTAAGGATGTGACGCGGCCACAGCCTGCCAGTAGAGCAAACAGCAACTGGAGAACAGGCGGAGGCAGACGCGGTTCAGGGCATGGCCAGCAGGGCCCCCGAGGTCGCGGCGCACCCAAGGCAGCACCACAGCAGCCAAGCACTCCTGTCGAGGACGAGGAAGGCTGGAGCACTGTCGGTTCGAAAACCCGAGGCGGTCGCCGTGGAGGTTATCGCAATGCCGCTTAAAGGTTTTAACTGACAAAGTTTGTCACGCCAAAGATTCGGGCTCATTTTTAACTTCGGGTTATTCCTTGTGCGCCAGCAGAAAAGCGTCTTTGTTATTTAGCGCCAGTCTCTGACAGTATGGGTATCCCCAATCGCCCTCTTGCAATTCTCCGCCCCTAATCGCTTACACCTCCCCCCCCGCAAACATCAGTTGTGCGAGTTCCCAGCGTTTGTATCGTTCCCTGAAATCGGTGATTTCTGGACCGTCCACCAACAGTCAATATTCTTCCTTCCCGACCCCTTCCCTTTAAATCTTTGATGGAATGTGCCAATTTGCATGTGTGATACGAGCTTCGAACCGCGGAAATGTTTTAATGCCACCGTAGCTAGGAGGAAAAACGGAAGACTTGTTTACTTTTTTCCCTTCAAAGGGTCTCTTACTTGATGGGATTTCTCCTTATTCCCCCCTTTGTTCTCTATCTCGAAATTCCTGAAAATTCTCGGTTAGGGAGCAATCAGGAGTGAGGAGTTTCTTTTCTTTTTCTTTTTTTATTTCGCACAAAAAGAATGTTTTCGTTTGATCTCCTTCCTTCCTCGCCACATTCATGGTTTATCTCACACTGTTCACTGCAATTTCACAGTGAAGACAATGATCACTAGTTTCCCAAATCTCTAAAGGAAGCATTGACTGATGAAGCTGGTGCTCATTTTCCTTGGGATGTTTTCCTTCGATTAACTATATTCGTGGATGCTGTATGTACGAGGTACGTTTGCTCAAAATGACCGTTTTTGTACCCTTAGTTGCTTGAGGTGTCTCCGCCTTAGTTGTGAATTTGAATAGATTTTCCAGTGTTTACTTCGCCTGCGAATCTCTACGCATAAAAGGCAAGTCTCAGTCGGTTCTCGACCACTATCGAATCTGAAAAAGATATAGAAAGCAATCAAATAGTGATGGCTTCCTGCCAAGCCCCTATGCTTGGCGCGTTGACCTCCCTGGCAGCGAGTTATGATTATCATTCACTCAACTCGAACAGGCTTGAGACATGAGCCGGCTGCTTATCGTATCTAATTTAGAGCAACATGCGCTTTGACACTCGTTTTGACGCGAAACGTGAGCGTCTGGTGGAGGACTGGGCAAACCTGCTCAGCAAATCCGTCCCTGCGGTCTGTGACCTTGCGGGAGCATTCAGGCAAGACGAAGCCTGCTACTATGTCTCGCACCACTGCGGCTCATTCAACTTTTCTCTTCGGCTTCACTGGGAGGACGGCAAGCCCGACTGGCTAATCCGGTTCCCTATTCCTGGGAAATCAGTGCTCCCCGAAGACAAGGTCCGAAACGAGGTCGCCCTGATGAACTTCCTTCGACAGCATACATCTATCCCGGTACCGGAGGTCATCGCTCATGGAACCGCTGAGGATAACCCAACAGGCCTCGGGCCATTTATCATCATGCCCTGATTGAAGGTGTGAGAATGAAAGATTTGATGAAGAAAGACACTACCACGGACGAGAAGGAAAGCGATGTTTTGGATCCTGATATTAGCGAAGATACGCTCAAGACTCTATACAGCGAGATCTCAAAGGTGCTACTTGAATTATGGTCTGTGGACTGGGACAAGATTGGCGCTCCAGATTTCGATACTTCAAACTCGTGGCGAGCACAACGCCCTCCAGTGACGCTTGGGATGAATGAGTTTATCAGGTACGGGGGGCTGGCAGAGAATCTAGTGCTGTCAAATACGTTCTCATCATCCCTTGATTACTTCATGACTATGGCTGAGTTGCATTCCACCCACTTGAAAGAACAGCTCAACAGAAACGGCTGGAGCCTCGACCCTCTCTATTGGAACCTGCTTGATAACTATGTCTATGGGAAAGCCTCAATTACAGAGAGGGTCGCAAGGACTACGTATGAAACAGGTCTTCACGGCAACCGAGAGCCTTATGTTCGCTCTAAAATTGAGGACTTGCAAAGGTATAATGAAGCTGTTGCCAGTGATGAATGTGTTGACTATGAAGAGCCTGCAGAGGACGAAACGCCAGAATACTGGATAAAGTCAGATGAAAAGGGACCGCCTCAGCAAATTTCCTCTGCAAGAATCAACGGTTCAAGACACCCAGCCACCGGTTTCTTGGAAAATTAACTTTTCTATCACTGTTTTCTCAATTTGTGTGGCACTCCATAAAACACTTTGGCTGCGTTGAATATATTCATTGTATCAACAAAACTACCTGGGCCCTCTGCCTTTCTGGGTGCTCTGGAGACCCCAAAACCCCGTTCGGCTAGGTAAACCTCAATTGTGTTTACTCTCCTTCCGCTATAGCCACTGCCCGTTTCCCTTGCTGAGCATGTCCGGCATTTTAAAAACTATCACGGCGTAACCAAGGTTTTCCATCATAATAGTACAAGACGAACTCCGTCCAGGATCCAGCTCAATATAACGTCAGTTGCATACAATGATAATAGCAACAGAGGATCCCTTGATCTTAATAGCGGCTCCCAACTCAGGAAGCTTAGACGTGTCAGAGTCTTCGGATCAGTACAGGCACAGAGCTATCACTGTTTCTTGAAGAGCTTGGAACCCGGAAAGGGATAGAAATACCTGATGAGCATTAATTGATGCTCTCTATAGATGTTCTTCCGATGAATTAGCGTAAAATATCTTCTTCAAGACCATCAGCACCAGAGCCATTATCACACCAAGGATGGCTCTATCCAGCCACGGATCGGCCGTGGTTTGCGTTGCTCTGCTAGCGGTAGAAGCGGTTGTTGTAGCCGGTTGCGTCTGAGATGTTTGGACTTGCGTCCGCTTCGCTGCTGGAAATGAAACGGGAGTAGACTGAGCCGGACCCATCGAAGCATGGGCTGAGGGTGTAACAGGCGCTCGTACAGATTCAGAAGCGATATTCGAACCTCTTTCAGTCTCTTGACTCTGCGGTTGCGACTTCTGAGAAGACGATATGCCCTTTTCACTCTGAGCCTCAGTATCCGTCTTCTTCGCTTTCTCATCTTTATAGCTCGCCTTTAATCCCTCCGGTACCTTGTCGCCTTGCACCGCCCTATCCTCCTGATCCTCCACCGCGACTCCTTTACTCTTACAGACCTCCCACCACTCTTTCAAAATCTCCTCATTCGTCTTCCTCCCAGGACACACATCACATCTCCACTCCCGACTCCTCCGCGCCCAATCCCTCCGCACTTCCTCTTTCGCCTCCACCCCGCCAACCTGCCCCCTAGGGTCCCCATCCATAAAGCTCCGAATCGCAGTCAACGCCGTCCGGATCCCCCACGCAGGCTGCCACGTCTCGTCATGATGGCCGCTGATGCTCAGGCATATCTCGCGGTTAACCTCAAACCGGCCGGAGGGCGTGAGGAAGCGGAACGACGGTGGACGGAGCGGGTACTGAGGGGAGAGGATGATGCGGCCGTGGTATATGCCGTTGGCGTAGGGAGAGGGTTCGGGAGGTCCGGCGAGCGTGAAGTGCCAATCGAAGAGGTTGGAGTCGGAAATGGGGTGGGCGTGAAAGTAGGGAGATGGGGAGGGAGAGGATTCGGACAGCTCTTGGGCTTCCTTCACGAGGCGGCGCAGGGTGGGGCCGGGGGCTGCCATGGTTGCGGCAGGAGGGAGCGTCGGCAGTGGTATGCAAAAAGGGTTATTTGGAAAATAGGCTGATTAAACTGGCATTGGAATGGTGTAGGATCATTAGGCTCGTTCAACTATTGTGGTGTTGTTAGAGACAAGCTCTCTGTGCACTGACGATGTTGACCAAGAGCCCAAAGAACACTTTGTCAGTTTCATGTATAAATGGCCAACCAGATCCCACTCTAACAAATGGCGATCTTTTCGCGGATATGTTTTTAAAATCGACCCGAGTGTATTCAATATTACTATTCTAACTTCGGCGAAGGGCCGATACAACTACAATCCTGCATCTAATACTCCGTATAGTCTTACAAATCCCAACCAACAACACCAACCCGCTGGTCCCTGTGGTATACTCCCAAAAACAAGCGTAAGAATGATGCCCGAACCGATAATAGCACCTCCGTCCTGTTCAAACGCCAAACATTCAATCCCAATCACGCCACCCATCTTCCCGCTCCCCAGCGGGTCTTGACCCGCTGCTGTGCTTTGGATTTTGCAAGCCTCGTTCTTCATCAGAACTCGTGCTATATCGATCTGAGGAAACATTCGCATCGCTGTCCTCGTCAGCGGGCCTTTGACGCCGAGACGGCCGCGGGAGAGTCCTCATGGAAACTCCAGCAGGAGAGTGATGCACTTCGCCCGGGCCATCGTAGAACCGGGCGGCGCTCGAATCCTCATTGACTGGATATCCATCACGCCAGAGTTGGTCTGACTGTCGTTGTGGGTGATAATGAACTTGCACTGGTTGCTGCCCTTGCCCTTGCGACTGTTCCCATCGTTTCAAGCGTTGACGCTCAATATCACGCCGCGCTTCCAGCCACTTGAAGCTTGGTTCCCAATGCCAGCCGTCTCCAATGGTGCTACAAATAGGGAGCGCCCAAAGGAGTGGGTTTGGGCCGAATAGGTGGGTCAGATTCCGCCGCCAACCAAGGTCGAATGCGTTTGGGAATTTCTCCGAATCCCGTTCATCTAAATATTCCTCGTACCTATCTCGCTCCCGATCCCGTTCTAGCTCTCCAAAAGATCGGTAAAGAGACTGTTGTGCAGGTGTTCGGTAGTTATCAGCGTGCTCGTTGGGATTATATGCATCAGCTAAATGGTGCGTGTCGAATGGACGTGTGACAGTTGGAGAAGGGCGCTCCTCCCCTTCCTCCTCCCGAGTAACACCGGGTATAGCATTTGCATGCATATCAACTAGTTGCTGCCCATAGCTATGCAAAGTGTTGCTAAAGCCGGTATCGCGATGCCCGTCATAAGAAGCAAACTGCCGCCGCTGGTTGTCGAGCGTTTTCCTCAACGGGGATAGATATCTCGTCTTCTCGAGGCACTCGATAGTTGTCAGGCCACGGATTGCCAAACTAATATGCCAGGCGGTGAACCCGGTTAATACCAACGCAATAACTCCGGAGATAATAGCTAGCAAGATGACGTTTACTGGCAAAGCATGGTCCGCGTAACGCGCTTCGGTCAGCATCTCCTTCCATACCCATGTCGCTGACACCGCGAAACAGATGTAACAGAAGATACAAGTATAAATCAAGAACAACAGGAAAGCCTTGTAATTGTAGAAACCGACACAGGTTGCCAGCCAAGGGCAATGGTGGTCCATTTTCAGGACACACCTTTTGCACGTAGAGCAATGATGGGCTCTATCCGGTTTAGCACACTGACATTTCTTGCAGTACCTCTTCCCGCCTGAAGAATTTACAGTCAACGCGTTGTAGGCCGCAACCTCAGTGGTAGGCAGGTGGCTATAATCCTGTCGGTTACTTTTCCCTGATCGGGTAATGGGAGCATTGGCGGGTGAGCCGGGATCGGTAAAAACGGCGACCGTATAGGAGACAGCTAAACAGGCGTAAAAGAAGATCCCCGCTATCGCGCTGGTATTGCCTACATCATCAAGTTAGGGCTACTCAGATAAGTCAAAAACGGTAAAGACAACCAATCCTGTGAATTCGAAGACGTACCTATCCAAGTACTTTTAGCATATGAAAATCCCACGGTGGCCTGTATCCACACGGCCCATGTGGAAACCGCATAGACGAACACAAGTGGGAAGTATTTTGCGGTGCTGCATATAAATCGTTCGCATTTTCGCAAAAGACGTGTTGACCGGCGTTTCCGCGGGATTATTGAAGACTCCGATGCAGCAGAAGCAAACGCCTCCATGTTCAAAGAGTGACACGGCGGTCAAAGCTGCGAAACATTGCGACAGACGATGAGGGAGCCGATTGAAGGACGGGGATCACAGCCCAGGCCTGTGGTGCTTATAGCGTGCGTGTTTGACAAACCGATTGGTATAGCATGCAGTAGAGCAGATCACACTGAGATACAAAGATAGTTATCCCGTCGTCGTTCAAACAGCCAGCGAAGTCTTGAGATTGAGATGAAACGACATCACAGCCCAATGCTTAGTCAGCCGCCGCTGACGCATGTGCCAAGAGATGCTTAGTCAGTATTTAGTCTATTATGTAATCTTCGTTCTCCAACTCGACTTCAACCGACTTAGAACATCACAGACGGCATCACTCCCAAGGACACTCTGTCGCCCTGTTCGTCACAATTATTATTTAAAATGCCGGTGTGCTGTCTCGGAGGCCCTGAGACAACCCAACGTGCTCTAAGCGGACACATTTTCCCAAAACAATCAATGCCCCTTGCATAGCCCCCCCAACCTGGGGCCTTTTCCAACGGATCTGGCATGAAAGCCGCGGTGCGTCCTTATGTCGCCCACAAAGCTCCCAGTCTTAGACCCGTAATATAACCTCGCAATGCGCCTCGTGGTGGCGGAAAGAAATACTACTGCTCGCGCGGACGCATCGGTCATATAGATTAATCTAATGCAGCGTCATTCATATTTCTCAGGCAACCATAATTTCCGAAGCACGGCCAATGCTACCAGGTTTGTGCTCATGGCTGTGTAGTCAATGGGCCAGCAGATGGCAGCGAACTGATATAAAAGGATGAAGAAAGCTGTATTGATCAAAGCTTTCATCACTTAACTGCACACACAGGATTCTATCAAGAGCATTGCATGCTACAATCGCCTTCCCGTATCATTGACAAGATTGACCACTACCTATCAATTGCCGATCGATCAAAATGCCTACTTTTAGCTGCAAAAGCCTTGCTTTTGGTTTCATTCTATTTAACTGTGGGTTTATTCATGCATGATGATTCTTGAATGCTAAGACTGACATGGATCCAAGCGCTCCTGTTGACCGCCGCTCAACCGACACAGCCTCCTCTCTCCTGTGCTAAGGACACAGACTGCATCTCTGGCTGCTGTGATTTCTATCTCGGTAAATGCGCGCCTGTAGGAAGTCAGGCATTTAACAAGAATTGCGGGTTTGGCGGCCCTCAGCCGCGTAAACGCGAAGAAACCGAACCGTCTCCAACTACTTCGACAGCTCCTGCGGCTACTACTTCCTCAGAGACCCCTGGAGCTACTACTACTTCCTCAGAGACTCCTGGAGAAACTCCCACTTCCTCAGAGACTCCTGGAGAAACTCCTACTTCCTCAGAGACTCCTGGAGCTACTACTACTTCCTCGGAGACTCCTGGAGCTACTCCTACGTCCTCAGAGGCTCCTGGAGCTACCACTACTTCCTCAGAGACTCCTGGAGAAACTCCCACTTCCTCAGAGATCCCGGGAGCTACTACCACTACTTCCTCAGAGACTCCTGAAACCACCACTACTTCCCCCCCTACTACGACTACAACTACGGCTGGGAACCTTCCAACAGACAAACCAGGCGAGGACCCAATTCCAACATCACAAACAACGATGATGACAGCCTCTTCAACTGTACCAGCAAACCCAACCAATGGCCCGGGAAACGGTGCCGGAAAACAATACATCACTGGTGCCTGCTCGTCCGATGCTGACTGTGCGTCTGGTTGTTGTGCATTCGGTGACGGTCATTGCCTGGGACCCATTGATGCTCTCGAGAAATTTGGCGGATGTGGCTTCGGTCAGCCAGTTCCCAATACTCTTCCGGCCCAAAAGTGGAGAGAACAGTGGAAGGCAGGCACACAATGATGGAATATATGGCGGATTTAAATGTTAGACAAAATCAAGTTAGCGTTTTTCGCCTGGCGTGAAAAGCTGGTGTCAAAATGTACTGTATCACATAAGAGTTAGGACAAGAGTGCGGTTTTATTGGATTTTATATGTTAAGTTGATTAGACTCGGTAATTACAGAATTCCCATTTGGCAACCTTTTCAATGGAGGGTTGTATTAGCCTGACTTCCAACAAATACGCAATGATATAAAAAGTATTCTGGCATCTACAGTTAGTTTGCTAGACTTGAATAAGCATCGATCCGTCATAACTACAGGATAGTTACGCCCCAGATTCATTTGCGCGAAATAACATTCTCTCGATATCTATGGGGAATAGATACGTTCTCCTGCCGGTATCAACAATATTTTAGATGTGGTTTAATTGGGTTTATTTGATAAGAATGGATACACAAGCTAGCCAGAATTTTTGATTTGAACCAAGTATAGCAGCATGAAAACTTCATGAGATGCTAGCCCTATTGATTGTACATCGTAGCGGCCAATGAGCCCAGATAACTTGGTAGATGAGTGCTACCTACTCCATTGTCAAGAGACGAGATTCATTGGAACAGTACATGATGGTGTTTGAATGAAAGAAGGAAAATCCAACGACCTGCTGAGCGTCCCTACCATCAATCCATTCACTGGCATGTGAAAATCACGCCGGCCTATGCCAGCTTCACATCCAACCAAGGATCTTTAAGCAGTTCCTTAGCAGTGCTTCGCTCATCGGGCTGCCATTTGATCATCCGCCTGGCAAACTTGATAAACTGTTCCTTCTCCTCGCCGGATATGCGATTGACGGACTGTTCAAAGCCGAACTCGTTAGGTGTGGGTTTAATGTACGGCTCTTTCAAATCTAAATTTTTTTTAGAATCAGCCGCCGACCAAAGCATTAACCGTGAGACACTTTCCTTTACCATCATATAAAAAGTCTGTCCTCTCCCCCTGACGGAGGAGATTGTCCGGCGGCGGTCCAAAGAGAGCCGTAATCAGGGCAAGGTGATTGATGTCATCATATTCATTTCCACGGTTTGTATCAACAGCGGTAAAGAGTGGCGATCCTTCAAGCCAGTCCCACAGCTATATAGCCCGGACATTCAGCATATGTTAGGAAAAGCTGCAGGGTAGGGAACAGACACACCATCACACCAAGATTCCATATATCAGCACTGTATGAGTATCCAGCCTGAAGAATAACCTCTGGAGCACGGTAGATATCCACTTGGATGGCGCCATTGTTTTTGCCATTTCCTTTTACTGCACAGTCAAAATCTGAAAGTTGCACATATCCAGCACCCCTGACAAGCCTTCCAAAATTGTTTGCAGAGAGATAGATTGTACGGCCCTCATCATATTGCTTTTGGGGAAGTGGATGCAACCATGCTTCCATTACTGTTCTATGTTGGATCTTTTAAATTCTACCATGATATTGTCAGGTTTTATGTCTAATGGCCATGAGTTAGTCAAGACATTGCAGGCAAGAATATTATGAACAAACCAGTATGTATAAGATGACACTCAGAATGCAGGTAATCCAAAGCCTTCAGAAGCATTTGCAGCTGACATTTGAAAATTCTTAGGGGTATCACATCTTGAATAAACCGTTTTTGAAAAAGCCAGAGAGCTTCACGCATTGGCTCAAATACAATACACTGATGATTTTGAGATCCTGATTTTCCAGGCAACAGAAAGGAATCAAGCAATTTTCTCACATACTTGTATCCTTCATGCTTAGGATTTGTGGCGGCAAGACATTGAAGAAAATGTACTTCAGTGTCAAAGGATTTCTTGGATTGAAGAGAATGATGACCACTAGCATTGACTTTCACTGCAACATATTTCTCTTTCAGCCATCTCCATCTATGCCCAACGGTAAGTATGAGAGTAGCTTCCAGTAGATTTGATGGACTTACTGATGAAGGTCTCTGGCAATCCAAACAGTCGAGCTGGTGCCAACACCCAGCTTAGTAGCTATCTGGTATCGATTGTCGAGGACATCACCAAGACGAATGGGGTAAAAGCGGTCTGGATGATAGACGGGGGATTTCTCTTCTTCAATGGGCTGGCTAAGGTCAAGACGGGGCGTTGCAACTGTAGACGGCGGCCATGGTTGGCGCTGTAGAACTCTCCAGGGACGGGCGGTGCATCGGAAAGGTGGCATCGTCTCTGACTGAGTGAGTTAACCAAGTAGATAGCTAGCTAACCCGGCTCCTAGGGAACAATCTCACAAGCTGGGCATCACATAACTAGATCTTGTCCCTTTCAAGCCACATTCCTGCAGTGTCACATTCAGTGCAGTTCAGGGGCCGTGAAGGGGGATTAGGCAGCAACGGCTCTCACTCCAGAAACAACCTTGACATACACCCGTCCATCCGCTTCAAATGTCCACAACTTTCTTCTGGTTTTTCATCCTTTGCTTTATTTGTTCTTCTTTTGAATGAACTTTTCAAGATGGCTGAGGAGCCGAATTATAAGGCTCTATTCGAGCACGAGCGAGAACTTCGACTAGAAGCCGAACGCAGGCTCAACCCAACCTCATTTCTCGACTTTCTAAAGCATTGCCACCAGTTGATGACCATTCCTCTCCAAGTCAACTACGATATCAAATTGACTACGAAAGGCACCACAGCTCCAAAAGGCCGTCTCTGTCCCCTGTTTTTGAAGCAGTGGGACGACTTCCCTGCCCTTCGCAGCAGCCTATTACAAACTGTTGAAAGTGTGCTGCACCCTTCAAGTTCAGATCCAATCCGCAGGTTTCCATCCTTGGAAAAGCTCACCGGACTTGGTGAACTCTTTGCTCGTAGGAAACTGGGCAGCGAGCTGGATCTGATGGGCTATCAGCGGTATGCCATTGAGGAACAAGTTACAGATGTGGTGTCCGGGCTCTTGCAACTTGAGACTGGTGACAGACTGCCCGCCCTGGGAGGCGGCCTTTCTTTTGAGAACCACGCCAGCTTCTTGGCCGAAGAGGAACGGGAAGCTAACGGTTGGAGGCCGAGATCTGATCAATTATGCGTTTACCGCAAGGATGACGGTGGCCACTCCTTGTTATACATCATGGAATACAAAGCCCCACACAAGATTACTCCTGATGCCTTGAAAACTTGCATTAAGGTATCCGACTTTTGGGAAGATATCGTCCAGGTTCACCTGATTCCCACGAATTCCAAAGAAAAACAGATATACCGCGACAAGCAGATTGCGGGAGCAGCACTTACCCAAACATTTGACTACATGATCAAGGAAGGCGTTGAGTACGGCTGCTTGAGCACGGGAGAAGCTCTTGTTTTTCTCCAGATCAAAGCAGAAGATCCCAACACACTGTATTACTATTTGACGGTGCCTAAGCATGATATAGAAGCTGAAACCCCAGGGGATAACTTTGCACACCCCAAGACGGCAATAGCCTCCTTACTCTCCCTCAGCCTGTTAGCGCTCGGCTCAGAACGAAGGGCACAAAGCTGGCGAACTCAGGCGGCACAATCGCTAAGGACCTGGGAGATTGATGTGAATTTCCTCTTTGAAAAGTTCCGCAAGGAGGACGAAACCCCAGATACTTCATTTTCGGCATCAAGTTTTGCCCCGTCGAGCCCAGTGGAAGACACGGTTGATCGCCGGCCGGAGACAAGAGCAACTAGCCAACGAGCGAAACAAAGCTGTGCTGATGAACACGATAGCACAGAAAATACTGACCCGAATACATCCACTGAGGGGTCCGAGGGGGATGACCCTACTAGAAAGGGGACTGGAATGTCCCTGAAGCGTACAATAATGCACTCCTCTCCGCCATCATCACCATCGTCCCGTCGCCCTACCAAGCGATCAACCCTTCCTTCGCGACATCGATCGCCGTTGGCTCTCTATTGCACGCAAACGTGCCTGGCCGGTTTAGCTAACCAGTCCCCGCTTGATAAAGACTGCCCTAACTTTTCGATCCACAAAAATCAAAGCGCTTGTGGCAGGCATCCGATTCCAAAGTCCAAGGTAGCGGAACTTGTTGACAAGCAACTAAATAATGACCGTGATGATGGGTGTGTCCCGTTAAGTATCTGTGGAAGAATAGGTGCCCTTTTCAAAATGACTCTTTTCCCCTATGGCTATACTTTTGTCGGTAAAGGGACTGTTATCGAAGCAGTTCATTTGCTTCAACATGAAGCGCGAGTATACGCATTCTTGGAGAAGATGCAAGGAAACCAGATTCCCATTTGCTTCGGAGCCGTGGACTTGGAGCATGCCTTTATTATGGACAACCTGGACGAAGTTGTGCATTATTTACTACTTTCTTGGGCTGGGAAACCCTTGCATGAGCTGGAAGGATTCAATGACGAGGATAGTGCAAAATGCAAGGCTTATCGCAGAGCCCAGAAGAAACTCGCAAAAGCGCTGAGCAGAGCAGGTGTTATTCACGACGACCTCTATGAGCCCAATATGCTGTGGAACGAAGAGTCGCAGCAGTTTGTGGCAATCGATTTCGACCGGGCGAGGCTGAGGTTAAAAAAGCAGCCAAACAAGCCGTATTTATATCCAAAGCGCATGCAAGACTCTTCTAATTCTCGTAGCGTGAAGAGACGTCGGGTGCTTGTCGATCAAGCAAACTCGATAGACTGATGGATTAGTCTCGAGGTGCTCCGGAAACTCGGAGGAGGTCAATGGTGGATGCTTTTGGTATTGCTTTTGTGGCATGCATCACGTTGGGGAGGCCCCTGACGGCAGTGGCGCCGTGGATTTGGTGATGGACAAGCCTCCATCCTCCATGTAGCTGATTACTGACAAAGACTCACCGATCAGAGCCATCCTCACTGGCCGTAGCTGTCCGCAATGGAAGGCAAGAGATTGAGGATTTTCACGTCCGCTGGACAACGAGACAAGCCAGGTTGACGCTGTGGAGATTCCCCGCCTTGCTGTGGATTTGTCATCGGCGGCTGGTGACGGAGGGCGTTGCGATCTTATATCTCCTCCAGGCACGTCTCATTGACACATCCATTGAGCTGACATCTCGTCAGTCAAGCATTTGAGCAGTCATGGCAGGTCAAGACAAAGTCCATTTCTTGGACATCACCAGCGCCAATGAAGGTAGTTAACTATCATACCCGCACCCGCTATCCACCGCACAACTGCTAACGGACGAGTCCAGGAACCTCCAAATCGTGGTCTCCTAACACGCTGCGCACTCGCCTGGTCCTCAATTTCAAGCGCATTCCCTACACCCAATCATTCATCTCCTACCCCGACATCGCCCCGATCCTTGAATCTCTCTCCGTTCCCCCCATCGTCCCCCAGTATCTCCCGTACACACTCCCCGCCATAATCCATAAGCCCTCTCTTTGGTCCCAGAATCCACAACACTATGCCATGAACGACAGCACCCCGATCGCTCTACACCTCGAATCCGCGTTCCCGGCGCCGCACCACCCTTCGCTCTTCCCCACACCCGCAAGCTACCCGCTCGCTATGGCTGTGCTGAGCATCATGTCGGAAATCATGGTCAAGCAAAGGCGCATCGCTCTCCCAAAGACGGTTAAATACCTTGACCCCGCGGGCCAGGAATACTTCAACCGCACCCGGTCTGAGCTGTTTGGCCAGCCGCTCGCCGAACTCGCTGCGACAGGAGACGAGCTCGAGCGGGTTTGGCAAGACCTCGCTGTACCCCTGTCCACGCTTGCGACAATGTTGCGTGGTGAGCCGGGGAAGCAGAAATCAGGCCCGTTCTTTGAGGGAGACAAGGCGGGCTATGCGGACTTGGTCGTTGTGGCGTTCATGGCATGGTTCCTGAGGAACGACCTGGGTGATTGGGAGAGGATTGTGGCGATTGGGAATGGGGAATTCAAGAGGTTGTGGGATGCGTGCTTGCCGTGGGTGGAGGGACAGGGAGAGGAGATTGAATGGGAGGTACCTAAGCAGTAAATCTGGGCATTATATACTACGTCTGATTAGAGCGTTTGCGTATACTTTGGAAATAATAGAAATTTTTGGATTCAGGGCGATTTCGAAAGATCTATTCGAGGTATCTTTTTGTCCGTAGGATACCAGATAAATCAATGTTATGTACAAGACATTCGTCCTTAGCACCCAAACTTTCCCAAAGTTTGCAATGCGGTCGGAGAAATAACAACAACGTATTTGCCCATACTATATCCCTAATATATAACGGTACAATGCCAAATGCGGTGAATGTAATGCAATACTTCCCTTACTCCACACTCCCAGCTCAAAACGCCACACAGCTGGTGCAAAATGCATTGATAGCAAAACAGGCGGGGTAATTTTATGGGGAATGGAGGAAAAGGACAAGATGAGATTGGATATGAGACGAAGAAGAATTGCGTTATGTCATCAGTATAATGAACAGAGAAAGGTAGAAGTTGCGGTTGCTTTATCAAATAGAGGGGGGAACAGGCACAAGCTTAAAGCCATGCCTGGCCCATTGACGTGGCGGCAAGTAAACCACGGCGAGAATTTGGGCTTTGTTCCGGAGTGGTCTTGATCAGTCCTACATCACACCAATTCTTAATCGGCTGCATTCGAACATCGTTAGCCTCAGACGGTCATTGACCAGTTGTGGGAAGGAAGTGGTGACGGGAAGAAGGTGGTACCTACCAGGCAAGAGAGATATTTACACCATGAGCACTCTGATCGATATTTGTAGAAATTGTTGATGAGCAAGATGAAGGCAACCAATATGCCAACTAAAGCGCCGACACGTAAAAGCCACCATCCCCACCAGAGGGGCTTACGGCCTTTGAAGAATCCGATGGGCTGCCTGATGAACTGTTTCGCGTCTCGAGAAGGAGCACCATTCACAGAAAGGTAGGGGGTAGAGACGCCAATCCGCTCACGTAGCGTATCGGGCGAACGCAACAAGCAGACACCAAGCACCAAGCCCATCAAGAATCCGCCGATATGAGAAAAGTTGTCCAAGCCTGGCAGGAGGCCTAGAACGAAGGAAATAACGACGGCAAGGATCATTGTCAGAAGATAAGTCACCGGTCGGCTGATGGTATTCCATTTGTATAAGAGTTCGAGCACGCAGAGTGCCAGGATCCCGAAGAGGGAACCCGACGCTCCAGTCGAGGCAATACCAGGCGCCGCGAAATTGCCGCCAAACACGAAACCAAAAATTCCGCTAGCATAGTACACAATAGCGAATCTCCACCAACCGATGTTTCTTTCCATGTCTGCTCCGATAATCATTTGCGCCAAAAGATTGACACCGATGTGGATAAGGCCGGCATGGAGAAATATTGGAATGATGAATCGAAACCACTGGTTGGGCTCAGGCTTGTCATCGATTGATCCGCCAGCTCTTGGGTCCTGTACACCACCCAATCCGCAGAGCTGAGAGAGGGTGCATTGATTTTTTGGGTCTGCCCTATCATCGGATTGGGAATCAGGACAAGGCCAGGGCATCACCTCTGGAGCATCTTGAACACCTTTCACGTTTCGCATGCATGCTACAAACCTAGCTCCCATATTGATTTGGACATATGGCGAAGGGCCGATCATGGGGTTAAACTGTGGTCGAATCATGATGGGTGTTCCGGTAAGTTGGCCTATTTGACGATGAGCAGTTTAGGTTAGAATGTGTATAGCTCCGGTGAGAGGAGGGATGGGCGATGAAGCAATGCTTACCCATTTTCACAAGCTCTGCAATAAACACAGCGACTTGGATGGCAGAGGTGATGTAGACAACCCAGGGGATCTTTTTGAAGCGGCTTCGTCGTTTTCTTTTAGATGGACCGGCAGATATTTCTGGCGAGTGCGAGGAGTGTGGGTATTGACCTGGGGCATAATGCGTCTCTACATCGCTCCATTCCGGTCGTCCCGGTTGCGACGCATTCGGCTTCAGAGGGATATCATCTGCGTAATCGTTGGAATTGTATTTCCCTCCACCGCTTGAAATATCATGATCTGAATTTAAAGGAAACTGACTGTGTTGGGGGCCATAAGGATCTGAATAAGGTTGAGGGGAGCTCGGGACATTCCCATGGTTCCATGAGTGTTGATTATTTGAGTTGTAGTATTCGTTGGCTGCCATGGCGACGGGCGGTCAACTCGGGGGAGCGGTGCGGAACGAGCGGTTCGACGAGAGAACGCGGGAAGGGAGCGAGAGGGAATGGGTAATATAGCGAGCTTCTCGCAGCAAAGGAAGATGATGTTGTTGACCTGATGAGCAAGGCTGGGAGCGCTGATCGGCTGGACCGCCGATGACGACTTGGCCAAGACTAAAACCCACGACAGGTGTTCGCTCTCTCTGGCCCACTCAGAGCAGTCGGATGGTCGAGCACAACGGCAAAGGAAAGCAAAACGGCTCAAGCCATCGGGAGTGCGCAAAGGGACGTGAATGAAAGACGGTTGCGAGGAGCGACTCTCGTGGACAGCGGTTGAGGTTGAAAAATCGCTGAGACAGCAAGCACGCGGCTGCTTTGGGCTTAGTGCGGCATCCTCGACGGGGCTGAAACAGGGGGCGGTGCACTGCTTAATTTGGAATGTGGGTCCGTCAGCCACAGCCAACGCAAGTGTGTTGCACCAATGGGAACTGAGGGAACTTGGTTGTTTTGTAATTTGCCCAATCATGGCGTGCGTTGCTGGGCCTTTTTATAGGCTCTATTTCCATTGGATGGATTTAACTAGTGGATCTTGGCAGATGACTAAACGATTTACATCAGACAGCGACGAGACTGGAGTTGGCCTGATACTCACACGTATTGCTGTGGTGATGTGGACTGGGTTGAGGTGTGGAGAGGATGTGTCTGTTATCAGTACGGAGTAGTTACTTTATGATTACACGATGCAGCTGGATCGTCAAACGCTGCGAACAAGTCTTTGGGAGAGTGCAGATGGAGGGTGCTTCGTACACCGAGTGTCATTAACCCATTCCTTTGATAATAGGCATCCCCCAAGAAACGCCTATCCCGCCATGCCCTTGCCCGCACTCACCATCCAGAAAATATCGACTTGACTCCCTTGCAAATGCGGTAGGTGTGGATAGAAAACAAACGCCCTGATAGGTCAAAACGCTCAAGACATAAAGTGTGTATTGCGGCCACTTCGCTGCAGGGTGAATTATGGCTGATATGGTGGAGGCGGCCGCTCCTTTTCCGCGCTTCGGGGGTCGACCGTTTCCATTTCGTCGTCCACGAGTTCGGTCACGTCAGAAAAACTGGTCGATGAAGGCGTTGGAGGCGTGAATTCTCTCGAAACCCTCGCCTGGGAGTCGTCTTCGTCATGCTGCTGGAGCGATGCGTACGACGGCGGTGCAGACGGGTTGATATGGAGCGTTAATGGGGCTTTTGCGTTTGCTGGGACATCGGAGACAGGTGATGGCGTTGCCTTGCAGGATAGTTAGCTGGATGGCTGGACTGCTTATGCCAATACAATCAATATTATCAGCCTTACCGCTGTGTGGTCTTCGGAGTCGGCCTCCTGCGCTTGTTCTTTGCCCTTTTCGTCGAGACTCTCGCGAGCTTTCCATTCTTCCAGCGGCATCGCAATCACCTCATGCTCCCTGCTCGTTCTCCCGACAAGATCGCCCCCGTTCCAGATACCGTACCTCAGGACCATCCCGGACAGTTTGGTCTTGGTCATCTTACAGTCCTTCACGTCGCAGCCGGTCAGCACAGCCTTGTCCACCTGGCTGTTCCATAGAAACACCGTATCCAGAACGCTGTTCTCTACTCGGCTACTCTCCCCAAGACTACACTGCTTTATCTCGCTCCGCGTCACGGTCGTCCTCCCGCCCACCTTACTGTCTCGGAACGTGGAACGCTCGATATTCCCCGCACCCACGAGCTCCGAGTTCGACGCCGTCGAACGCTCCATGTGCCCTACGCCTTCCACGCGCGAATCCCGCAGCTGACATCGCCCGAGGTAGCTGTCTGAGATGGTGCAGGCGGCGAGGTTGCAGTGTTCGATGTAGCTGCATTTCCCATTTTCAGAGTGTAGTTTGACATCCTTGAGCTGGGAGTGGCGGATATGCGTGGATGAAGAGAGATTCGTGAACGTGCAGGACTTCACGTATGAGCGCTCCATGCACGGATAGTAGTCCCATTTGTCGGGGATGACCGTGAGATCGACCACGTTGGACCTGCGCGCTTTGGGGATATTCGACATGGCGAAGTCGGCTCGGCGGTGATGCGTATTAGGTAGCTATGCGAACAGGCCGGACTGGACAATTTCCATAGTTGATATAGGGACGAGTAAATTCTGGAACCCGCAGGAGTAGTCGAAATCTTGAAGAGCGAAGTCTGTCGATGCTTGAGAGTCGTGATGGTCTGCTCGTATTTCAGGTTGTCTAGTGCCCTCTGCTCTGACTCAAGACGAACCCTGAACACTGCACACGACCGGAGCCGATCCCTGGGAGAATTCGGCTGCCTAACATCTCAATCCCGACGGCATTTTCGTTCTGCTGCGGTGAAGTCACTCATTCCCGGTTCGCTGCTCGTCGACTTTGCTTCATGCGATAATCCGGACAGCCCATAGTTAGTTCAGCTGACATCAAGCCGAAAATCCCCGGCCCTACTGCTAGCGGTTCTCACAACCTGTGTGCAGTTCTGCAATCAATCCCGATATATGCCCGTTCTCTGAAATATAGCTTCACTATCGCTTTGGCGATTCAAACAGTGGAATTTGAAATGAAGAAGCTTGTGCTATGACCCAGTCTATGATACCCTGCGATCTAACATAAGCCAGAGCTCCATACTTGGAGTTCTCTTTTCGATATGGTTAACAATCTCATCCTTCAAAGGAGCAACAGTCACTGGGCTGTTGCGTCCGCCAGCAGTGAATCCGGCACCTTCTACCTGCTGCAACCTTTGCAGTGGGAAAGCCCATCCCAAACCATCTGACAGAACAGAGAGGATGTCTCTCTTGCAATCTCCCATTCCTTTCTTCAATCTCAGAGCTTTCTCCCGAGAGCAGGTTCTCAAAGAACTATCATCTTACGATTTCACTCACCCCACCAATATCAGTATCTGATAGCAGAACCACATCAGTCACGGCCTAATGCCTCCGCAATCTCCAGCTGGGAAATGCACGCTGGACGGCTCGTCCAAACCCCCCCAAACTCCACAGAAAACCGATAAACCGGCCCGTACTAAAGCATCTATTATCGGCAGCGACTCCTGGACTAGCGCTCGCGAATACAAACCAGGCGCCGGCGAGCCTCTCAACCCCAAAAAGGATGAGCGACATTTTCTTTACCAGCGTGCTGTCGATTTCAATGACAAAACGGACTGGCATGCCGTCGTTGCCACTGCATCCCGTCTTAGGAATGGAAAGAACTGTAGCATAAGACGACGATTTTCTATTGGCATATTCAATATGGTTAAAAGGATTGTCTTTGAAGATGGTGTTAGCTGGGTTATTAGGCTGAGGATGCCATCGTTGGGGGGTATGCTGGGCAGAAAAGAGCGATTGCCACCTGGACAAGCTTTGGGCATGGAGGTTGCCGCGATGATATTCTTCAAGTGAGAACTCCCGGAGTGTGTTTTACGGTAACCTATATATGCTAATTATGGCATGAGAAGGACCAAAACTTCCATCCCTGTTCCAAAGTTATACCATTACGATCTCGATCCAAATAATGACATTGGCGCACCATATATGATGATGGAGTATATCCACGGTACTACAGCACATCAACTACGCCTTACCATGGGCTGTTCACCTCGGTTTGGCGATGCTGAACAAGATAGGCGACTCTCGATGCAAATGGCGAAAATTTAAGTGGAGCTTTCTTCGTTCCAATTTGACAAAATCGGCGGCCTTTGTTATGACGAGGTGACAAAAGAGTTCTATATCGGCCCTGATTTAGACATGGGGAAAGGGCCCTGGACTACAACGACGGACTATTATCGAGATTTCTCGAATCATTGCATGGAAACGACTGCTATGGCGGATGCTAGGTTAGCCAGTGAAGATTCTTTCATCAATCCGGTGCTTTTCAATTATGTCTTACACACTGTGGAGGACCCAAAGAGGAGAAATGGGCCGTTCTACCTGACTAATTACGACTTTGGTCCTCATAACGTCCTGGTGAACGAGAAATTTGAGATTCTAGCCGTCATTGACTTTGACAGTGTAATCGCCGCCCCTCTTGAAGTTGCAGCCCAGCTTCCATTCATGGCCTATCTTGACCTTGGACCACCACCTGGACTGGCTGATTCTGCATCTGAGGGCTCGTCGTCCGCAAAAACAAGTTTCCTAGAATATAAACGGATGATCAAAACTGCCGAGGACAAGCTGAATGACGGAAGGGGGAGGGACGGCCTCTTGAGTGATGCAGTTTTTAGCAAGGCAGCGATATTATTTGGCGGGATTGCTGCATGTGGATGCCACTCGTCGTCAGTCAACAGTTCGTGGCTGAGGACTTATATCAGCGTGATTCGGAATGATGTTATCTCTGCTATCTCACCGACAGAGAATCCCAGTTAGGGGCGGAGGGGCCGATTCTGAATTCTTTTGTGGCTCGTATCGATGTGTTTTCCTGTTAGGTCAGGTCAGCCAACATAGTTAAAATGATAGCACGTCCTTTAGTGTTTGATAGTACCCCTTCTTGGTATCCTTATGATTTCTCCGCTGCAGGTGTATTTGGAAGGTTCTAAAACAATGAATGTGAGAATGTCTAGGTACGCAAAGCATTGATAACCAGACGGAGCCCTGCATGCAAAATGAAATTGCCACAACCCGAACTCTTTAAGCACCTTTAAATCATACATGAGATGCATTCGATTCGAGTGATTTTCCCCATCTGAGGTGCATCCCTGAGGGCATACGGGCCGAGTTTAATACCGGGTATCATATGCAGTGGAATCTCGGAAAGGAAAAGTGATTAGGATCGCTCCCGACACAATAAGGGTCCTATATTCCTATAATATATGATCATATTGACAACGTAAAATAAATCTCCACTCTCCATGGGGGCCCCCTCTCCTACCCAAGTACTAAAAATCAATATCAGAAAACCAAGCGTATTAAAATCCAAGCCAGCTATTCCACATCCTAAAACCGATGATTATAAAGAGCGTGATATAATCTCCCAGCGATCGATGATTGCGCAAGGGTGCGGGACATATATGTATCCGTACTCCGGTGTAGTACGGATAACAGAGAAACGGGAGGAACGAAGCGAGGCAGCGCCGAAGGTCGAGAGAGGTAAAATGGAAAGAGTTGGATGCAAGTTCGGGCTATCTAAAATGCGCCGCGATTGTCAAGACGGTAACATGGGTGCTGAAAGTTTCGCCCGCCTCCTTTGTCGGAATTGAACAGAAAGGGGTAACAAAAGGTCCGGACCGGTGTTGGTGGGCCATGCTGAGTTAAGGCTTCGATTGAGGCACGTTTTGCTGGTAACTGCAAGTTGACCGCGAACCGGAGAACGCAAGGAGTATACAACACTTGTTTAAAGGAGACGATCGTAGACGGCCGGGTTTAACATTCCTCCTCTTCCACAAATATCCCCCAACCCCCAGGCTGAAGGTCGGATGTAGAGCGAATCTACATCACAACGCATTGAGCGGTGGAACCCTTGGCGAAGACAGGGCCTGTATTGCTTATGTTAGATATCATTTCAACTTGCTTTCGGGGGGAAAACAGAGCGGGAGGATAGAGAAATTGTGCGTGATAGTAGGAAGGACGAACCGGCGGTCTGAGGAACCTTTGGGGCGACGTGGCTCTCCATTTCGATGATGTGGAAGTAGTGATTGAAGTCTCGAAAGAAACAAAAGTATAGTTGTCAGTGATTGTCGATTGTGAATGCGCTTGATGATTCCGAATATCCGGGGGACTCGGTTGAATATTTATGCCTGACGAGTCTCTCCTCAGGTTGACCGGATAGGGAAATGCAGCTGCGGTGAGCACGCCTCAGACGCAAACGTGGAAGATGCAGTATGAGGGATTTCAAGACACAGGTTGCTTGACAATGCTGGACAATATGGGAGCTGAGCTTGAGCATGAATAAATCGCGGCAAAGACACCAGAAAGAAGGTTAACCAAAGACAGGATACGTTCCAGACGGATCCTAAAGCAGAGCAACGATGCAAGCAGAAAGAAAGTTAATGATCAAAGGGAGCGGCAAAACAATATGAACCAAAGGAGACGATCATTTACTTGACAAGAGAGCGTGAATGAGATATTAAATATACTCGAGGACTCAGGAGCCCCATTTAGGAGCCTTGGTATTGTTCTGAAGAATTTGGCCCCGGTCAACACTTGACATGGGACTTTCCAGGCACCCCACACCCTCAACTGTGAGATAACACAACTGAGTGGTTGCGGATATTGAGGGGTTGGCGGTTCGACAGAAGCCGAGCAGAGGGCCAGAGCAAGGGAATACAGCTTGGCTAGCGAGGAGTTTATGCGAAAAGATTTAAAAATGGAAATGGCAAATGACAGGTTGCAGGGTGGGATGTCCACTTCTCCTCGTGAAAATCTATCCTTCCAGCGAATGAGAAATATGAGAAGCAACTTCGGCCTTCGGGCGTTCCGAGGAAACGTTGGATAATCCACTCACAGTGGGAATTAGGAGAGAAGAAATCCAATGAATGGATGGGCCTGCATGCTGAGACCTTGCTCTCAAGATGCTTCATCCACGCAGCTCATTTACTCCATTGAGGCAGATGTCCAAAGAAAGGGCAAGATTCTAGACTTGGAAACAATCGTCCTTTGTTGAGATATTCATGCTTCTGGCGCGCGGAGAACACCAGAAGGCGCAAAAGAAAACTCAACTTTTTTGGGCTTGAGCGGTTTTTTCCCCCCTCACAAATGAGAACTCCTTATCATTTGATGAAGAAACGAAAACAGCAGTTATTGCATCAGCGCAAGAGGAACCGATGGCCAGTCCTAATTGAGCGGGCGAATTTGCCGCTCCTGGCCAACCGGCCGGGATCCCATCCCTGAATTTGGCAGCATGGCCACCATGCTCAGCAAAGCCCTTTTGGCTCACATGCAGCCCACGGTTGAGGGTTGAGGCAAATCGGAAGCGTGGAATGAACCTTGGATGTGATAGCCAGGGCCCCGGGGGACTCTTTGACCGAGAAGCATGCCAGGAACGGGTGGGTGACGGTGCATTTCATGGATCTCACTGGGACAGTCGACCCACTGAGAAAAAGAGCAGACGTGGTGGGTTGAGCTCGGACACCCAGAAGTCTGGCGACTCTCTGTTCCATACAAATCAACAGAAGGACATTCTTGCAGATGACAAGAGTGACGTTGAAGAGAGCCCCAGCCCTTGTCACCTGGCGCACAGACCGCCAATCAGCAAGGATCCCAGCAGCCTGGGAGCAAAAGAGTCGGCGTGCGTTTAAAGCTGCTATTCTCATTGAGTTGCAAATCCCATGGATGAGGACGACCAACTGGCGGTGGTTGTGGTGATGGCCAAAGTTGATGGGGTGAGGTCAGCACCGGTCCTCCGATAGGCACTATACCCGATCAGGCATGACACGTGCAGGGATTGAGCGGCCATCCCTGGTTTCCAGCCAATCAGCATGCGTCCTGGGCAACGTCAGGCCTTGCTATTGTTCTCTGCAGAACAATAGTAACGGCAACCCAACAGGGAAGGCTCACTCCGATATTCCAGACTCCCCGTTCCTGCTCTTTTTGTCTCCTGCGGTGCCAAGACAGGCGCGGCTGGCTAACAGGAAGGCGTGACGCGTGAGTGATTTTAAACAACAATATGAGCGCTGCGTCTGTTAATTCTCCGTCTTCAGGCAGTCCTAGCCTTACGGGGAGACTCAGCTGGGAACAATATGAACTCAAAAAAAGGTATTTCCCCAGTGCCTCGGGGACAAGAACATGGCTGCATTCAGTCACTAGCATCACAAAAAAATAAGACAAATCAGAATCATCTCTGCGAATAAAGAAACCCCAAAAATGCGAGCCCAGCCAGGGGGTTAGCCGAGAGAGCTTGCAGCTGAAAGCAAGGAGGCAGATCAGGTAACACAACTCATGATCGTACAGCCGCCTGCCACCCTGAAGCGTTGTGTAATGTATCCTTTCCCGAATCTTCGTCCCAAATGGTTGGGCATAACAATAATTCAAAAAGCATGTTGGTCATGAATCTGGGCACTCAAGTATAGATTTCTTCCGTCAACTTATTCAGCCCGATGCCCTCCTGTGCAATGTCCTCTTCAATCAAGAACATCAGCGGCATCTCAACCAATGTCCCCTTCACCTTGTTCAGCTCTTCCTTGACTGCCCGCACCCCCTCCGGGAACTCATCCCGTATAACGTGCCCGCACTCGTATTTGCTTGGTGGTGCCGGGGTGAGCCCCTCGCCAGGGATCGGTGCCGGCGCCGGCTGCTGTCCCTGCTTCTGCTTATTGACCTCTTCCTTGCGGAAGTAGTATTCATAAAACTCCTTATAGTCGTTCCAATTGCGCACGTTGTCGTCTGGCACCGCATGGAACACCTTTCGGTATACCTCCGTGTTCTGCTTGGCTCGTGAATTCCAGAGACTTTGGAACGTGCCTGACAATGGATCGGCAACTATCTGATCCTCAGGAGAGCCCACGTCATACTGGTTTGGCACTCCAACGGGCTCGAAATTGGCATTGGGTCGCTGGTAATCCTGTGCCGGGATGAGGCCCAAGTGTTTGCGGCATAGCTGACGTCGAAGTGTGGCGGCAAATCGGCTGACAAGGTATGGTTGACCGTTCATCGTTGACTCCAGAGGGGATGGGTCTTGAATAACTACTGCGATTTCTGAGTCGTGCGAGCCGAGCTGTGAACGGTCGTTGATGTTGGCGCTTCCGCAGATCACCGTTCGGTCGTCCGCAATCAATACCTACACAAATCAATATGACGGTCATTCAAAGAAGGACGATATTCCCCGACTTACCTTGGAGTGGACATACAACTCCTCCGAGACGAATGCATCAATCTCCGCCGAAGCATCGTTATGTTCCCAAGGAACATTGAGAATACTCTCTCCACCTAGCATGTAACACTCAGCCACGCTATCCCATCGTCCAGGCGAAGATTTGCCCTGTGTGGCGTGCTGCGCAGCCTGCTGGTATTGGCCATACGCCGCTGTGGTGTCGAATACTGGCCGTGACGCAGTCATACCGGCGTCATATTGATGCTGAGCAGCTTGGTAGCTGACTCCACTCTGCTTTTCGGCGGTCTGCATAACCGCAGTAGCGTTAAGACGGTCGTAGTTTCGCAGATTGTAGAAACGGATGTACTCCATCGGATTGAGTCCCTCCTTGGCTATCAATTCCATGATACTGTTGCCGCCACGGTTAATCGAGTTATACTGAAATTCCATAATCGCCCGAGTTCCCAAGCTGCCTTCATCGCGAAGATCGCCGGCAAATCCGGGGATGGCTGGGATCACCACAATGATATGGTACTTTTGCTTGGCTCTAGCTGCGCGCAGGATGCGTTCAACGATGGCTGCACCAATTTTATTCTTCACAGGGGCTTGGGAATCGCCGGTTGCGGTTATGAAAAATTGATTTTCGATGTAAACGAAATGCTCGCTCTCTCGGATGATGGTAGCATAGGCCTCCGCGATCGAAGTCTCCGTCTGCGTTGTCCCATGACTCCACTTGGAACTACTGCGAACAATCTGACAGCCCATGCGCACAGCGTTTTGCGCTTGTCCTGGGTTGCCGCTGAAATAGCGATCTTGATAGCGATGTACCTGACCTGCTAGCTGGCTGCGAAGCACGTTGCCAAAGTTCGTCACGTCAGTCTTCAGATTACTAAAGCCACGACCGCCCGCCTGCTGCGGTTCGGAACCGTCGAAAAAGCCACGCGTCTGAGAGTCTTGAGGAGGAGGCTGGTAATATGGAGTTTGAGCCGAGCCTGGAGTTTGGGGTTGGTTCCATTGCGGTTGATAGCCACTACCTGCCTGGGTATGCTGCTGTGGTGGCCCACCTGGTGGCGGAGGCGGGTATTGTTGGCCTGGCGGTTGGTAACTCTGTGAGCCAGTACCGCTTGGGACTTGGCTTTGTCCGTGACCATAAGCCGGGGGAATTGCTGGGGTTTGAAATTGCTGCTGCTGCTGCTGTTGCTGCTGGGTTCCTTGGTGGTGATGGCTTGGATTTTGGCCTTGAACTCCGTGTTGATGGAACCCCGCAGAAGAAAGGGGCCGCTGGTACAGGATCAATTTAGAATATCTAGTGCTCTTTCTCACTTCATATTTCTCGTCGTAGATGAAGTTCCACCGATCAACGAAATGCTTTCGTAAGTCTTCCACGACAGGACCGTGCAAGCTAACGGCAACGTCCGCCCACCCCATTCGAGAATTTGTTTGCCTGTTAAGCTCATTCTTCTCGAAGTGAACAACATCCTGGAAATCCAGAATTCTCGCGTTGTTATAATCCTGCCCGGGGAATACCGTGTCCTTGATGTCGTGAGGGTGCACGTCCGCGATAGAATGCTGATACGTGTCCCAGCGACCAAAGCAGAGATCCAAACCACCCATAAATGCAATTTTGCTATCGATTAAGCAGAGTTTTTCGTGATGAGCCCAGTAGAGAATAACATTGTCATTCATGCCATATATTCCTTTCAAGGCATCGCTGGACAGTTTCGCAATTCCGGCGGGGTTTAGAGTCATATTCTGGAACGAAGCCACCATTCCGCTATGTAGAGTTTGTCTATCGGGAAGATGATCAGGATGGCGGAAGACTGAGATATTTGGGTGGAGGTCTTCCAGATGGTGTTTCGTATGGGAGGACGACACTAGTTGCGCGCAGATTAGCCACATTTAGTCCAACAGCAACGGGTATAGACCACATACACGAAAGAGCCTGTGTCACTTCCTTGTACACAATGATGTTGACCTTTACGCCTCTTTGAGCAGCAGCTTGAAGCATGCGGTCCAATCGGTACTGCTCGTTTTTCGCAGGTGGGCGGCGCAAGTACAACTCGGGGGAGAGCCACCCTATTGTCCAGTAAGTAAAAGCAAACATGCCTTAGCCTGAAATGAAGACTCACAATCCAGAATCCATATAGACTCTTTTGCAGTCTCCAATGCCCTCGAAACCGCCCACATATACGTGCATCCGTCAACATACCACTTTGCATCATTGTAATCCCTCTCAGGGGCAAAGCTGCTGTATCGAATTTTCCCATCCGCTTGCGTACTCGATCCATACGTAGCATACGCCTGAGGGTCGATACTGGAGCCAATCTTTTGCGCCAAGTCGGATCCGATGCCCTGCACTTTCCCCAGGAGGCCGGAGACCAAGTCTGTTTTTGGTGGTTTCGTTCCTTGATAGTATGGGGGATTCTGAGTCTGTGCGGGTACCGGAGTGCTTCCATAGTATCCTCCTTGCTGTTGCTGGTGCGGCGGCGGTGCCCCTTGCGAGGAAGGTTGGCCGTAACCTTGGGCAGGCGGTTGACCCTAAACTTTATTAGTGAAGGCGGCTTGGGAGCAATTGCTTTTCTCGAGTAGACATACAGGATACCCTCCCTGGGTGTTATAGTGAGGTTGCTGGTACCCCGGAGCACTCTGTTGCTGCTGTCCTTGAGTGTGAGCATGATACTTATCGCGGAACTTGTTCAGTGTATCTCCGAGCAGACTTCGAGTGCCGCTTGAACGCTCCGATTCTTGGCCAGGGTAGTCCCCGTAGGCCATGTGATCTTCTTTGCCCGACATATTTTATCCTCGAAGAGTCAGTTGCGAGGCCAATTGTACGGTATGTTCGGCGGGGCAATCGTTTGTCGGAAATATAGAGTAGGGGTGCGCTGCTAGCCGATAAGCGTAGACAACTTCGAGAGCAGACGTTGAACTATCCGATGGAGAATTTCAATCTCATTATAAACGGGAGCAACGGCACAAAAACATGGACCTTGTTCGTTGTGGGAGATGAACTGGAGTTCTTTACATGGCTTTGGGCGCAGAGCGACGCTTTTACATGGGCGCAGGTATCAGGTGAAGTGGGGGGCCTCCTTGCAAGCTGTGGCTGCAAGCACATGAATCGTGGCGCAGTCTTGGCCGTGATTGGCCAAATCACCCTTCCCGCCGGAGCTTCTTTCCAGCCCTTCAGCTGGGCCGGGGTGGCTGGGTTGAGATCAAACTGCTTGGCGCAGACGACGCTTCATCAAGAATGCCATACTTAATCCATCCATATGGAGTAGTCTTCAGTGAAGCGGAAGGGCTCTGGAGTTGGTATAATACATAAGATCCCGAAATGAAGGACATGCCATTGCCGTGGCCAGCAAACGCCACAAGAGAATCCGACCAAACGCCAGCAACTAGCTAATCTGAGAAACTGACAGCAGTTCGTGCACCATGAATCCGATGGCAGCAGCTGCCTATGGGCCCGGTTAATAAGTAAAGCACGGAGTTTGAATGTTGGGCATAGTGACCGCCGCAAGTCCGATCCGCCTCCCCCATTTCATTAAGCATTAATCATGACGCCAGCTCACTCTGCACAGTTGACAGCCAAATTCCCTTTCATCAAGATTCGACCATTATCACCCAGTGACATTAACATTGTGTCAACGAACCACGTCAGCCGTATTCATCTTTAGGCTACAAGGGTATCTAAAATTCTATGTTCGAAAACGTTAGAATCCTGTCTGGAATAAAGAAGTGATAATTCTTCCTCGGAATTGTCCGGAAAAGATCAACGAAAATACTTATACCCAACCTACCTGTTAGGGAATAGCTTCCCGTTTCCCAGACCTTCTTCAAGAAGAGCTCTAATATTGAAAACAACCACCTAGGACAAGAGTTGTTGGGCGCATTTCCACTAGCATTTTATCTATGTGCAGCGCGGCGGAGCTTGCAAGAAGGAAACAGTCGTGTCAGTCCGAGTCGACATCGGTATCGTGACGTTCGCATTGGGGCCATCGCGACCAGTCAACAGCCAGTCAAGGCGACTGAGTTTCTGGTACAGCAGCGAAGGGAAATACAAGAGAAGAGCCCAAGTGAGGAGCGATAGGACTACCAAAATAAAGGTGTTGAAGATGAGCTTTTCGCCAGGGGTCATGACATAGACTCCACACGTAACCTCATAGCGGTAGTATTCCAGGCATAGGCGGTCGAAGACCCGTTTTAAGACGTTGGGACGATGTGCTGCCGCGATAGACTGCGTGGCGGGCGCGGGAGGGACGTCTGTTGTCGGCATCGCGGAATACAAGCTTAACCAATCGTCGATGAAAGCGGGGGGACGAGGCTTGACGTGTGGAGGGTTGGAGGTGTATATGGAATGCAGTTCTGCCGCCATTGTAGGGAGATTTGAGGTATCGTGTCTAAAGTGTTTCCAAGCAGAGCCGTCGCTGAGGTTGATGTAGTTTGTCAGGCGCGACACGATCCGCGGAGAAGCCTTTATCCTCTCTCTTCGCGAGGAAGTCACCAATCGATCAATCGCGAGTCGAAAGCGCCTCCGCTCAATGGCAGCCGCTCAAATGCAGAACAGTCTTTCTCCAGACCAAAAGGAGACTGGCTTTCAAATTTGCGTTTTGCGGAGGCCAGTCGGTGGTGCCAGCGCCCTTGATGTTCTAGATGGAATTTTGCGGCGGCAGGATTGACTAGAGATGATTCTAGTGCAGGAAAGAATGAGGAGATTAAAATTAATATTATTGGAAATCTAAATACAAAACAAACTGCGCGGAGAATTGAAAATGGAAGCCGAGCCAAAGCTGAAGGATATCGACGAGACGAGACAAAATATCAAAAGCCCGGTTGGAGACGAAAACACACGATCACGGGGACTCTGATTATGTCAATTATTAGCCTTGTGATTAAATAATAAGACAATTAGTTACCGGATGGATAGAGCGGATGGTTGCTTGAGGTTGTGAACAAGCGCATCAAAACCGCTTCTGCAGAAAGCAAAGACTAGACGAGACGCCCGGAGCTTTCCGGTTAGCGAGGTCCCGTCATTCAGCCGGATCGCCCGGGTTCTCCACTGGTCCGTGCCCGCGCTCTGATTGACCAGCTGCGCGCCCCTTGCATCATCACCTGCCGACGGTGGAAGCGAATTTCTTCACATCGGCACCAGATAGCCGGGCCGACGCTTTGTCAAGCCCTCGAATGTCTCGGTGATCATGTTGACAATGCAATAACCATGAGCACGCAAACTCCCAGGACTCGGATGGTAAACGCCAAGTTAACAGTGTTGTGTCTCCGAGACTTCGGTAACTACCTATTGTGTCTACTACCAATTCCCTCAACTGTTTCTGTCAACAGTGGATTTCTCCAAATCATATAGCAGCAGCCGATTGCAAAATGTGGTTGAGCTGACCTGCTTGCTTCCCACAGGAATGACTAGCCCCCTCTTTGGCCATCCTAAAGAGAAAACAGTTTTGATCCATCGAGAATCTTAACTGCAAGGTGCAGCGTGCTTTCAGCCTCGCACAACTAATAGAAACCAAATTGACCTTTTCGCCCATGACTTCGGTGTCAAACGCTTTGTGCGGCTCCCCTACGGCCGCCGCGAGATCCTCATATACACCGACGGCAGCTGCACCAACAATGGCCAACTGGGTACCAAAGCTGGCTGTGCGTTTGTGTCTCGCCCGTTTCCGACGAGGGGATTCCACCACATACCCGTCTCTACGATCAAGGGTTTCCGGCTTGAAGAGCACGGTGTTTCGGGGAAGGAGGCCCAAAGTAGCAACCATGCCGAGCTTCGCGCGGTAATTGGTGCATTAGGTATCTGTGCCTGGAGCGGTGAGGGATGGGACAGGGTAGTCATTGCGACCGACTCCAACTACGTGGTGAAAGGCACCACGGGATATATGCCTACATGGTTGCGTGCGGGTGGCTCTAATTCAAGAGGCAGACCTCTATCGAATCGGGATTTGTGGGAATGCTTACTCCAGCAACTAAGGGAACTGCAACTGCTCAGAACCCGTATTGAGTTCTGGTGAGTTTCAAGGCAGTGGAATCGGGAAGCAGACGGCTGGGCAAGGATGGCAGCACTGAAAAGCGATGTGAAATGTTTTACCAATAGGATGTAAGCCAACTATAGACTACCAACATCTCATCAGGTAGATAGTTATTAGTGCTTTTAGGTAAATTACCTCTGGACTGTCCTAATAAATAGCTACTGTCTTATGGGATATGAAGTCTGAAGTGCAGAAGAAGTTCAAACATTTGTGATGAGGTTCTTTAAACAGGTTTTGCCTTCACCGGGAGGGGCAGTCAGTGAACCAGTTATTGGTTAACTAGTGAGCGAGTAACATTCTCAGTTGACCATGTAAGAACACCAGTTCCTAGAGTCTAGAGCCCCTTCACTCTCTCAGAAACGTCTGTACTCCTTGGAATTTTCTGTGAAAAATCCAGTTTTAGGGACATGCGGCATGGGTTAAAACAACCACATTCTTCCCAGATGGGCCAGCCCTGGTCTGGAACCTCAATCAAGGAAGATTGCTGGCTTTCTCTGGGGATTCCTGTTTCTGTTTCTCAGGCGATTCTTCCTTAATCGAGGCTTTCGTCATGACATAGTTATTTTCAAATCCGGGGCTCCGAGCATGCTGCTTCTCGATGACGCTACTGGCATTGAATATAACATATATATATATATATACCAAAAGTACTCTGCTGAAGCGGATGCTAGCCTGTCACCGCGGAAGAGAGTTCGTCTTTGTTACCTTTTTCTCCCTCTCAATTTACTTCATATTTCCACACAGGACTCCCCGTGCTAGCTTCCAACATGACACATCCGGTTCAAGCAGTCAGCTCTGCCATTGGGGCCGCAGGCTTTGACCCTAGAGCCCAACAGCTGACCTCCCTCTTCCAGGGTGCAAATGATGGCCCAGCAAAAGTTGCGGCAAGAATAACTGGATTGCAACAGGGGGGAAAGCGAGCTGATGATGCACCTTATTTTACCAATAATGAGGGCATTCCCTTTCCCGACGCGGCGCATAGCAAGACTGCTGGAGGGCTACCGTTGGTGTCTGATACGTTCCTACTGCAAAAGCAGCAGCACTTCAACCGCTCTAAGAATCTTGAGCGGATGGTCCATCCCTGTGAATAAACACTTATCCCGCTTCTCTGAATCCCAACGCAGGCTAATAGGGACACATTGCAGGCGGTAGCGGTGCATTCGGTTATTTCGAGACCACCAAGGATATGTCTTCATTTTGCAAAGTGAGTAGGTCTCTTGAATTTTCCAAATATAAACATCCTAACCTGGATAGGCGCACTTCTTGAGGGGTTCAGGTGTAACAACACCAGTATTTGTCCGGTTTTCCACAGTCACATTTGGAAGAGAATTCCCAGATTCTGGCAGGAATCCTCGCGGTTTTGCTATCAAGTTCTATACCGGCGAAGGTAATTATGATATAGTGGGGTTGAATTTTGTATGTGTATCCTAGGAGGGCTGTTCCATCAAAAGTTGACAAGATATCACACAGCCAATATTCTTCTGCCGCGACCCTATCCAAGGGCCTGATGTTATCCGCTCCCAGTCGCGGAACCCTCGAAACTTCCTTCTCGACTATAATTCGTTGTTCGATCTTCTTGCAAATACTCCAGAGGGGTAAGTATCGCCGTTCAAAGATAGCTTTGATAGGCTGTATACTAAAGGGCTGCTTCAAGTAATCATGCGGGCCTCATGTTTTTCAGTGACCATGGCACGCCCAACGGCTGGAGGAACCAGCATGGCTATGGTTGTCATACATTCAAGTGGTATTTCCACCAGGTTTGCTCCGTATGATTTGGCTATTCACTAACTTTCCATAGGGTCAACGGCGAAGGGAAATTTGTGTACATCAAGTACCATTTCCTGGCTGATCATGGACAGCGCCAGTTCACGTGGGACGAAGCTGTCCGCATGAGCGGGGAGGATCCCGATTATTCAAAGCGGGATCTGTGGTCCGCAATTGAAAATGGAGAAAAGATCTCCTGGACTGCACATGTGCAAATTATGGAGCCTGAGGAGGCTGATGCTGTAAAGCTGGGCTTTGATCCATTTGACGTAACAAAAGTCTGGCCCAGGGACCGCTTCCCGGTTCGTCCCTCACACTTCTTTTCCTGGAAATAGAAAACTGACAGCTCCGCAGATGCACGAATTCGGCAAGCTTATACTTAATAAGAACCCGGAAAACTTTCACAGAGATGTTGAGCAGGCTGCGTTTTCACCAGGAAGTATGGTGCCCGGCATCGAGGATAGCCCAGACCCGCTCCTGCAGTTCCGGATGTTCTTCTACCGGGATGCACAGTACCACAGGATTGGCATCAATTTGCATCAAGTGCCTGTTAACTGCCCGTTCATGGCCCAATCATACTCGTCGCTCAACTTTGATGGCCCTCTCCGAGTGGATGCCAACCACGCAATGAACCCACAATACACGCCAAATAGCTTTGTGCACAAGTTTCGACCTGATACCGCCGAAGCGAGATATCAAACAGCCGACAAAACTGTCGGTCGAGGATCTCACTTCTATCACGAGGGAACTCTGTCTGAATATGAGCAGCCTCGGGAATTATACAAGCGTGTCATGACCGCCCAAGCAAGAGACCACCTGCACCGGAATACCGCCGGCGCTCTTCGCTTGGTGGACGACGTAGTCATTCAGACGAAGTACTTGGCACAGCTGTATCTCATTGACCCCGAGTATGCGCGAGGCGTATATGAGCTGCTACCCGAGAAGAAGTTCGAATTCTCTACCGTCGAAGAAAAATCGGTTGGTGCGGAGAAGGCGGGAAAGGAACCCAAATTTCTTCCCGGTTCAGATTCAGAGAGACTATTAGGAGTCCCAATTTCCAGTTCATACGGCTGAAGATGTGAGTTGAAACGTAGTGACGGTAGCAGCTCAGTCACTTGGTACCAGCGCTGTGTATGCTCATTGCTGTCATATCGATAATAAAATGTGCGCTGGCGTGTTTCGGAACACTATAGAAGGGTAGTGAGAACTCAGAATCAGTCATTTAGTTTGAATAATATAAAGCAAATATCAAAGGGGTCAATTGTACGGAGTACAATATTTGATACGTCGATGCTAGGAAAGGGCTAAGGCACTAGTGCTATCGTAGTTAGCCCATGCCCGAAGTTCGGAGTGGATCTACGATGCTCCGATAATTTATCTCAACTTCACTTTGTCCATGGACGTGAGTGTCGCCGCTATAACTAACTAGTTAGCAAGTTTCCAGCCTGTTTCCGTGGCTTCAAGAGCTTCCAGCTAAGTTGGGCTGGCCAGTGGCGGGACATGGTTGGTGCGATTGAAAAGCGGCAAGGCTCTTGGACCAATGCGGAAGGCCTTCAATCGCGTCAAACTAACCGGCTATTTCTTAGTAATCCCAGCGAAGACCTCGCAGCCGCTTTCCTCTCAGCAAACAAACCCCTCTGCATCTCGCTCACACTTTGCAAGTGATGATTGAGCCCTAGTCACTCTTTAAAAAGGCAGCCCAAGGCGATCTCCACGCCCTAAACAACTAGGGAAGCTTTCAGATATAGGATGGCAACCGAGATTCAGGAAGATCCTCTCATTGAGGCTCTTCCCCCTGCAAGTGACTATCTCACATATCTCACCATTCTTGAATATCAGTTAACCCCCGCTCGGCTTCCCACTCTCCACCGTCTGCTTCAAGATGAAACCTTGACGACAAACATCGGTTGGGACCTGGTGCAATTGCTGCTTCCATTATTACCAGCATCAGAGGAGTGCTTGCAGGATGTTGCCAGACTGGGAAACCCCAGGGAAGTCATCCTACGAGTCTCGGATGCCCTGATGAAGCTGCATCCTTCGGATGACCAAGAAGACAGTGAGGGTGAGAACCTTGAGGAAAAGCAAGATGCAGAAAAAGAAGCCCCGCTTCACATCATGCAATTTAACTGTCTGATCTCGATGCTTGCCATCTTGCACTCCAGAATCAAAACCCAGTACCCTAGCCGGTTCATTGCAACGTCTCTTCATGCTGCATTGGAAGCATATACTGAGTACCCCACGTCCGAAACCACGACTGCAATCCTTGAATTCCTAAGGGACATATATGGTGCCAAACGGCCAGCGCTTCCACCGCGAAACGCAAGTGAGCAGTTAGTGTCACGGGCATGCGGCCCGTCGGGACCGGACCCCGAAGCTGAAGCAGAAAGTGATGACTCGTTAACCCAAGAGAGAGTGTTGACCCAGAAGCTCTTACAGTTTGGTCTTGTTGAAGTGCTAAAAACCTACCTTTTACATTGCACGTCTAAACAACCACCTGGGATGCAATGGACATTACGCCTGCACGAAAAGCTCGACCCAGGTCCTGTACTGCCAACGCTCAATTTAACTGAACACTTTAGTTGCATGGAATATGCGAAGGAGAGGGACGCAACAATTGGAAAGATCACCGTAAGGCCCGTCTCATAATAAATATTCTGTTCTAGCTAACGCAATCGCCAGGCATTGTCCAGGGATTTTGGCTTAGAAACAGAGGAATTGTTGCGAGTTGCCGCACATAAGGGTGGCGGCGATTCAGCACCTCTGGATTTTGACAATGTACCTCAATCCGCTGATGACATCGCATTAGAACGACATGGATGCCTTATTCTTCTTGCTGCTCGATATACAACTACCGTCCTTTTTGGGTCAGCACAATTAGAAAGACCTTTGACACTATACCCAGAAATCTCAACAATGTTCGAAAATTTCATCAATGGCGCCCAGACAGGGAGTTTGGAAGAGGTCACTATGGAAATACCCACTCCTCTACTCGATTCTCTCCTCGCACTTGCGTTGATATCTGGTCACTTCCACCCTAATACAATGCCCAACAACGATTCTGATTTCGGCAAACTTGTCCTTTCAATGGTCGCGTGTACCCGCGCTCCTAATCTTCGGCAACTAAGCCGTGTTGAGAAGGTGCCTACTAAAATCTTTAGTGAAAATCCAAGCACTCAAAGCAAGTACAACTTGATCCGTCAAATATTTGATGATGAAAGTCTCCAGTATGCCAGAGAATCAGCGATAAGCTGGTTTAAACACGAAGTACTTGCTGGGGCATCGAAGCCTACTGACCCATCCAACCCTTTCATTTCCCCACAATCCTTTAGTGTTCTTTTCTGGGTCGTCTACAAACCCTTGCCTGACTACTATTCCGATCTGAATTCCCTACCGACACCAGCTTTGTCAACCGAGTGGATGAGATTTATCAGCCGGTTAGCCAATTTCTATACCGTGGCCCTTAATTTCTACTACATGCTATGCAAATCGGGACCGTTACACAGCAGACTGGACCTTCAGGGATTGGACCTTGAATTTAGAGCAAAGTTTCTTCATCCTGTCAGGGAGTTTGCAAAAAGTATCCGTGATAACGATGTGGTTTCTGACAGGATTGTAGAAGAGCTGGGCGAGGATATAGCGCGGGTAGGAAAGTCGGCGGCGGATGTTGTGTTGCATGTTATTGGGGAAATCGAAGCGGTGGAATAGGAAGGTTGGCCATTCTCATGGTGCTCCCTCATGGTGATTAGGAGTTGGTTTTATCTGTGTCGCTGAGCAGGGTTGGATCCGAACATAATGAATACGTGAACCGGCCATACCAATGGGTCATGGGAGAAGATTTTGGATTATCCGAATTGATATTTATTACCACTGGCTTTTTGTCAGACTACTCGATTGAGTCGATTCACCGTCCCTATCCGGAGGATATTTCCTCTTACCCGCGCCCCGCGCCCCGCGCCCCCATAGTGGTAACTAGAGAGGTGCAACAGACGAAAATCATAAATCCCGCGGACTTCAGGATTTGATTGCCATGCGCACGATCACCACCTTTACAATCCACTTCAACCTGTGATTTCCCACATTAGGCATCACCATATTCGATATTACCGACTGAAATATCCGAGCGTACGCCGTGAAACGTTCCAGAATAGACGAACTATTAACTTCGCAGTGCCCCTCTATATTCACTTCTTATGTTTCTTTATGTCTCCAAGATTCGAAAAGTCGCAAACTGCATATCTTAACGGCGAACTCGCATCCCTGGTCTCTGCCGTACCCTTAACCTCCCCGTCTCCGGTTCAATGAACTGCACAGAGCCCTGACGACGATACGGTGGCATATTTCCATTCTCCACGCCTCGCCGAAATCGCTCAATGTAGGGATTATCCAACAACGGCTCCGTGTCGAAAAATTGCACTAGCTGGCGCCGCAGCGACCAGGGTAAATTGCAAACAAGCTCGCGAAACTTGTCAGCGTCTTCGCCAGCGGGTTCAGCTTCGGGTCCAGTGATGGGCATGTCGCCACTGGTGTATTGGAGGGAGACGACCAAAACTGTTTCAAGGCAGCGGAGATGCTCGAGAGTCACCCAGGAGAGGCCATATCGTTCGACGATGTTTTTGAGCATACCCAGGCATATCAGTTCCTGCTGGGCGCAGCCTGGACCTGGTGGTGGGGCAGGTACTCGCGTCATTGGAGCTGGTTTTGGCTGAAGAGGTGAGATATTTGGATTCGTGTGGATCAATTATGTGCTCAGGGCGAGAATAACCCTTTTGGAGGGACATCCATCCTAAGGGAACGTGCTGTTGCGATTTCGATGGGTTGTATTCTCTGTGATGCTAAAGAGGTCATGATGAAAGGATGACGTCACCTGAATTCTTTTGAGTTTGCGCGCCGTACGGAGTACATCGACCACAGATGTGATAAGATTTTATTAGATCTTGCAGGCGATGAGGCTGTTGTTCGGCTTTCCAAATAGTGTCAACATGGCTGACAAAGAGGAAAGGCGATATATATATCTAATCTCCATCTGGGAAGAGTCGATAGCCTTAAAGAGTTGAAAAAAGCTCTTTTTGTTTAGTTTGGAAAGGCTATATCAATTTCGCCTAGTAGCAGGAGCAGCCTAGAGAAGGGATACATGATTAACCCTCATTAACCTCTCATTGTGCCTCTTTTTGCTTCGATTCCTCGTAACACTTCAGTATTTCTGGGAGAATTTTCCGATATCTCTCCAAACTCTCCTTACTCCAGACTTTCTCACGGTCGTAAAATTCCTCAAAAACCTTCCCTTCCCACTGACTCCCAGACAGATCAACCCAGTCAAACTTGGTGGATGTGAAAATATGCACATCGGGCTTGACCTGCTGCTTCTTATCAAGTGTTCCCACTCTCACAAATGGCAACAAACCCCCAGCAATGTAATGGCTCCAGACAGCAACGTAGCAGTGCGGGCAGCGAGCGATGGTTTGACCGCGACCGCTGGCAGACGGGGTGGACACATGGAAGGGTTTGGTGGGAGTAAGAGTCGTTAGGCTACTCAGTTCAATCATGGCGTTGAGAGCGGAAGAGGAACCGGTTTCGCGTTGACACCCTTTAATTCAAGTCGTTATGACACAATTCTGTCCGAGGACAGGATCCGACTTACAAGTGCAGTGGCAGCAATGCACGATAAGCGGCGCGGTTTCCATGCGGTATCTGATCATGCCGCAATCACAGCCTCCTTCTAGAGGGTACGTGGGTTTTGAGCTGGCCATGGTGGTACTGAATGAGAGAGAACCACAGTTGAGCAACCAACAGCAGTATAGAATCAATTAACTAGTTAACTAGGTCAGTCGATCGAGGGTTTGGCAAAAGAACGGCCTGGAAAAGCCGCAGGTTTTATACCCTGCACGACAACTGAGAAAATCCCCATCCAGGCTGAGGTTCACGCGACGACACATCTTCAACATGATGAGTGGGGGATTCGGGGTTACGAAAAGCGAATCAGGGGCAAGAGGAAGGCATGTCAACTGTTGGAGACAGGAGGATTTTGGCTGTTGGTGCAGGCCGATGCTGTAAACTTTAGGCAGCATCTCGCTTTCTGGATCACTAGTTCTGTTTCCAACAACATCTGGACGAGAGTTGGATGGGAGTCCTGGATTGAAGAGCGAGGTCTTGGTAAGAATCGGCCGCCGGCGAAGAGAAAAAGCCGCCTGTCGATATGGCACGTCACGGCTACCGTAGTTTTAGGTACATGCGCACTTGGACTCTATCCCTCCCAGCAGCTGCTTATTAATCTACCGACACTGTCACGTGCTTTTTTGGCAAAGTCGAAGAGGTCCCGTGACCGTCCCTTTCCGTCCGGCCCTTCATCGAAAACTTCCACCGAAAACCAACCGCGGAATCCAGTCTTCAACACGGCTCTGGTCACGCTCTCCACTGGAAGATAGCCGCCGTCGTATGGCAGCGGCCGGTATGCATGGCTCCATCGAGCACGAGGTGGCATTCCCCCCTTTTCTGCTCCCTCGAACGGCTTCTGAGGCCTGTACGCGTCTGATATTTGGAGCAGGTAGATTTTCTCCTTAGGAACCGTTTTGGACAACTCTTCAAGTGTCGCCTGCCAACTCTCGTCGACATCTTCCATTTGGGCCACTGTGACCTCTGTTTCCGTGCATCCAGAGATACTGCATGGATTTGCCCATTCACTTCCTGCAATTTGGAAAGTGTCGAGGCAGAGGCCAATGTTTGGCCGATCGACTTGTTGGACAATGTGCCATGCTTCCTTCCACGTAGCTGCGTGAGTGGACCAGCACCAGTTCTCATACGCAACCTTCATATTGTGCTGCTTGAGAAAGTCGCACAATTCGCGGATGTCATTTACAATGTTTTCTGGCTCTGTTGATATTTTTTCCGCCGGGGTGTCTGTGGAGCCAACCTGCTCAAGATAAGCCATCGTTCGGATCTAAAAGCAAGCGAATACTCTGTACCTACCTGCAACATATCAGTTCCGCAGGCTTGCATAATCCTTGACCACCCCTTCACTCTCTCCCAGGCTTGATTTCTTTCCCCAGTCCCTTTTCTCCAGCCCTCAAAGTTACTAAACGGCTGTAGCATCATTATACTCAATTCGTGCGCCTCGCACAATCTTTTCACCTCTGATGCGGCCTGGCATAGTTCATCGTAATCATCCTCCTTGACTTCGTGTTTCAGGAACTGCGATGCAAACGCCTTCAGATCGGGAAATGACAGTTCGATTGCGGAAAATCCCGCTGAGGCGATTGCTTCAAGCCGCCGATGTAAGCTATCAGTTTCAGGGTGACCAAGCGAGCATGTTGCGAACGCTAATGGAATTCCATGGGCTGATGGTGCTGATGCAGTTGCCATTCCGATGAACTGTGGCTGAAAAGAATGTAAGAGTGGGGGTTTGTGAAGGAACGCAGAAGCACCAAGGTAGTGATATCGGCTAACTCTGCTAGAGTGTCGAATGCAAGTTCGCGCGGGAAGGAGAGTGAGGAATCTTCTATTCATTGACGAAACTAAGCTTTATACGCATATTATAGGAGGCAATCTCTGTTGTGTGCAATTTGGAAGTCCGTTGCGCCGATTTCAGCGTTTTTTCCACGGATTGAAAATGTTGGAACCTATGGCGTCATAGGAGATCAGGGAGCTCCTTTTGCCGCAACAAGCTCTCCAAGCTCCCAATGCTTAAAACAGCTCTACTTTCTAGTAAATAATCTTCGATCAACTGTCAAAGTTTTGGAGGTTGTCATACCAAGCAGCGTTTTCTCCGTTCTCGAGAATTCGCTCGGTTACCCTGACGTTCTTACATCGAGCTAAATTAACGATTTCAAACACACCATGTCTGACCAACCATTCAAGAGTATTGGCATCGTTGGTGCCGGCAACATGGGGACCATGATGGCCTTTGGGTTTTCCGAGCATGGGGTCAACGTATCCCTCTGGGACGTCCAATCTTCCAACGTGGACGAAGCTATTGATATGACAAAACAGGAAGATCCTAAACGGCTAAAAGGAAAAATCAATGGCTTCCACGATATTCACGAATTCGCGTCTAGTGACGAACAGACTCCTGAGGGACATAGGTTCTTTATATTCAGCATCACGCACGGTGGGCCGGCGGACTCGGTTTTAGAGAAGATGCAAGATGATTTGAAAAAGGGCGATATTATCATCGACGGAGGAAATGAGAACTACCGGAACACTGAGCGGAGACAGAAAGAACTTGAAGCCAAGGGGATAAGCTGGATCGGCGCAGGGGTGTCAGGAGGATATCAATCGGCTAGGAGAGGCCCAAGCCTATCCCTAGGGGGGGACCCAAAAGCGATTGACATGATATTACCCCTTTTACAACAATTCGCCGCTAAAGACAGGAGATCCGGAGAACCGTGTGTTGGGAATATGGGGCCAGGGGGAGCGGGGCATTATGTAAAAATGGTGCATAACGGGATTGAGAATGGGATGTTGTCATCGATATGCGAGGCTTGGGGGGTACTTCATCATGGCCTGGGAAAGTCATATGATGAAATTGGGAAAATCTTTGAGCGATGGAACGCCGAAGGAGAGCTCAAAAATACGTACCTGATTCAAATAGGTTCTGAGATCTGCCAGAGGAAAAAGACAGCTCATGGGGACAAGAAGGGTGAAGCAGCGAGCACCAGTGGCGGCTACGTCCTCGATGATGTTCTTGACAAGGTGGTTCAGGACGACGATGACACGGAAGGGACTTTGTACTGGGCCGTCATGGAAGCAGCAGACAGGCACGTATCCGCACCGACAATTGCAACTGGCCAATATTTGCGAGTCGCAAGTGGGAATCGCGGACAACGACAGCGTGTGGCGCAGAAGCTGACAATTCCCCCTCCCACGAAAATAAACGGGCTCAAGGACGAACAGGCTTTTGTCGAAGACCTCCGTCGGGCCGTCTATGTTTCCTTTCTCTGCACATTCTGCCAGGGGCTTGAGTTGATAGCGCGTGGATCAAGGGACGAAAAATGGAATGTCAACCTGGGAGATTGCATGAAAATCTGGCGTGCTGGCTGCATTATCCAAACAGAGTACATTTCTGACTTGCTTATGCCGGCCGTAACATCTGACGCGCGGATCATGAATATCAAGTTGATCGACGAAGTCGCAGCGGACCTCAACAAGCATTATGATGCTCTGAAGTCAACCGTGCTCAAGGGAACGGAGGCGAATTCCTATATTCCATCACTTTCTGCAAGCCTGGAGTATCTCAAGTACGAGGCTGCGAAGATGCTTCCAACGCAGTTTATGGAAGCGGAACTCGACTTTTTTGGCGCTCATAACTATGATCGCCCAGGAGTGAGGGGAGAAGATCCTGGGAAGGTATCCAAAGGCACGCATCATTATGAGTGGAGGCCTGCATAGTGTTGGAGCAAGTGAAGGGATAATAATCGAGAATCTTTACTATAACAAAAGCTCACCAGGTTTCTTTGTAGAATTCCATACCAGAATAACGCCAGTAGTCTGTAGTAATAACTAGTGGCTAACCCCTGGAGTTCATAACTAGTAATGAATGGTAGGGCTGCCTGGTGATACCAAATAGTTAACAACCCGGCGACCTCATGTTAAGAACCTGGTGAGCTCAGGCCTGGAGGTTCTTTATGGGTTCCCAATCAACCCCCAGCACCCCCCCCCAACTGTTCCAGTAGCTATGTGCAACTCCGCTGGCATTCTGCCCTTCGACCCGCTGACCCGCCCACCGCCTTTCAGTCACACTTTTACTTGGGATCAATACTTTCACTCCGATATATGACAACCGAGCCAGGGGATAACAAGACGACAATGAAGTTGAAGGCCCTTCTTCTGGCCGGGGGTCAATCCTCGCGTATGGGTCAGCCAAAGCATCTCCTTGTCCTTCCCAATAGCAAGCCTAGTTTCGTTAACCTTCTCCAACAACTCCGTCCCACCTGCACGGAACAGAATACGTTATACATTTCTCTCCGCTGCGAATTCTCTGCAAAAGAACTGCAACAGCATCTTATTGGTAATGGGCTAGATTATCCGCCATTCACAATCATTTTCGATCAAGCCGGAGACCACGGCCCAGCTTCGGGCTTACTCGCCGCTCACCACGCGGATCCAGACGCACATTGGCTTGTGGTACCCTGCGACTTCCCACTCGTTACTTCCGAAGCGTTCGCGCTACTTGGCCGTGAATTCGAAAGTCCAGTGACATGTTTTGTGAATGCTGAAGGATTCTGTGAACCGCTGTTGGGTATCTGGGGCCCACCCGCCTTGCAAAGGTTGGACGAGAACGTACAGAAGGGAAAGGCAGGTCCTAACTTTACGGTTAGAGATATGGGAGGGAAGATGATACAATGCCCGGACTGGCGATGGCTGGTTGGCGCGAATACACCTGAAGAATGGGCAAGAGCTACAGAACTTATGGGCAGCTAGCTGCTGGAGTTACTCGGTCTGAGGCTTAGCTCACAAAGGCAAATAAGCAAAGGAAACAATGCCGCCAACATTACTCCCTCGAATACGCAGTTTCCTGCAGGTCAGCCTTTGGCACCATCGGTACTAAAAGTGTTTGAGGGCTCTTGACTTTGATGTGCTGTGCAACCCAAGCCTGCTGCCTTCCCAACTCCTTTTGTGCGAACAGAACCGCCTCATTAAACGGCTTATCCCAAATTGCTTGACTCGCAGGGCCCAAAGCAATTAGATGGCCTTCGATGTAACTCATATACATACGCAAATGGACGAGGGCGTTCAGCGCTTCAAGCGGATCCAAGCTTTCTGACCAATCGGCAAAGGTCGTTTCTCGAAGATGGCGAGCCGCAGGGTGCCCATATTGGTGACTTTCGTGGTACTTATCCATGTGGGGCGTCAGTGCATCGAGCATATCGTGTGTTATGCGGTTCATGACACGAAGCCCAGCGTGGATCTCCATATCATGAACCAACTTGGGGATTAAGTCGTTGTATATGGTGGCTAGGCCTTCCAGAGTGTCATGAGTTGCCCCGAGCCAAAGCTCCAGTCGTCGCACGTTGCCAGACGCTGGTTTCCTTCCCACTGCTTCCCGCTTGACGTCCTCGGCATGCCTAACAGTGGAAGTGTGATTTTCCCGAGCATGGATTTTGACTACTCCGAATTCATCCGCGCATTTCTCTATGCGAATGGCCCCTGATTTGAATGTTGGCTGTTTTGAAATTGGGTCCCATTGTTCTGACACAATCAGCTCATATGAACCCGCAAAATTCCAAGGAGTTCTTACCAGTTGTCAATTCATTCGCTGCCCTAGCTCGTCCATCCTTGGAATCGAAATAACCAAAATGAAAAGGAATAAAAGCCTGCCCAGCTTCAATGCTCCCAACCGAACACTTCATTTCGACTGCACCTCGTCTCGATTTCACCACTACGTATTCCCCATCCTGGATGCCAGCAGCCTTCGCATCAGTTTCTGATATTTGCACCACCGGTTCTGGACAGGCTTGTTGAAGTTTGGTTCTGCCTGTTTTTGTCCTGGTATGGAAATGATGCACGTTCCGTCCAGTGGTTAATTTCAACGGGTACTCTGCATCCGGTTCCTCTAAAGCAGGCTTATAGTGTGCGGATTTCAGAATCGCCCTACCCGCTGGGTTCAAGGCGTCGTATTGCACTCTCGTCAGGGGAGCTCCAGTCTCCAAATCATGGCCATAGCTCTCACAGTACTCTGCGTCGGTGAAAAACTTTCCGTCGTCGTAGAGACGTTCGCGGCCATAGGGATACTCCGCATTGCATGGCCACTGGATGCCAGACGTTAGCTTTTGATAAGTTAACCCGCTATAATCGCATGGGCGGCCTTTCGACATTTTCTTCCAGGCTTCAAAGACTTCTTTCGACGTAGACCAAGGAATCAACACATTTCCGTCCTTGTCTGTAAATTTCATTCGTCTTGCAAAGTCGATGAATATTTCCAAGTCCGATTTCGCTTCGCCAGGAGGTTCAACGGCTTTACGGGACAGATGCACGGTCCTGTCTACATTTGTGAAACAGCCTGACTTCTCGCCCCACTGTGCGGCGGGCAGCACGACATCTGCAATAGCAGTCGTCTCAGTGGGATATATATCTTGACAAATGATAAATAAATTCGGCTGGGTGAGTACATCTCTGACTTTACCCAGATTCGGAAGACTGACAAGCGGGTTCGTACCGGATATCCAAAATACCTCGATAGACCCATTAGCAATGAAATTTAGCATGTTCTCAATGTGAGTTGGCTGGTTCCAGTGAGGCATCTTCATAAACTCAATATTCCACACATCTGCTGTTTCTTGCATGTGCTTTGGGTTTTGGAAGTTTCGGAAGCCTGGGTATTCCCCATCACATCCTGCTTCGCGGTTGTTTTGCGCGGTTGGCTGTCCATTCATTTGCAGCACACCACTGCCGGCCTTTCCGATATGGCCAAGTAGGAGGTTGATATTGTTGATTTGACAAGCACTCGCGGTGGCCTGGTTTGACTGGTACACGCCTTGCAGCGCGGTGGATACCAGACTCTCAGCTGTCCCTATAATCTCCGCTGCCTTTTGAAGCTCCAGTGGCGGGATACCAGTTATCTGCTCGACAATCTCAGGGGTGTATTTTGAAACCACTTGTTTCAAGTCCTCGAGTCCAATAACATGCGTTTCAACATAGGATTTATTTATCCAACCGTTTTTGAACAGGAGGTGTTGAATTCCATTGAGCAGGGCAAGGTTCGTTCCAACCTTGGGCTTCAGATGAACAGTCGCCCTTTTCGCCGTGTCCGATGTTCTCGGATCTACGACTATTAGCTTTGGCGGATTAGGGCCATCCAGGCGGTCAAGCATTCTTGACCAGAGAACCGTCTGGGTCGCGGACGGATTGTGCCCCACAAGGAACAAGCAGCCAGTGCAATCAATATCGGAATACGAGCCGGGTTGTCCATCGCAGCCAAATGATTCCCTCATCGCCGCCGCGGCAGTAGCTGTGCAGAGCCGCGTATTACCGTCCCTGGAGTAATGTTAGGTTGCGCGCGGAATCACATTCTAAATAAGCCATACATGTGCAAAGTGTTCAGTCCTGCCTTTCCAACCATCGCAAGAACATAGTATTCCTCCAGAAATAGCTGCCCGCTGGTATAGAACGCTATGCCGTGGTTCGTCAAACGAGACTGAACTTCCTTGACTTTATCAACAACCGCAGTCATCGCTTCATCCCATGTTGCACGCTCAAGTTTGCCGTTTTTGCGGACCATCGGATATCTCAATCTATCGGGGTGATTGATGGCGTTCCAGCTGCGCATCCACCATTTCAACAAACTGAGTCCTGGGCGAGGAATACGATTCTCTTACCCATGCAGACCTTTCGGCCCAAGACGTCCTTTATTGACCCGATCTGTAGCGCTGCCGCGTACGCCAACCACTTTCCCGTTTTTAACTCCAATATCAAGCCCGCAGCCATTGCTACATCAGCGCATTAACAGGCACCATCGCGCATCATACCGAGTGTCGAATAGTAGACTGAGCAGCTATCATTACCTGCACAATACACAAGCACTTTGTATCCATTTCTCTGGCTCTTCAATCGTGCATTGATCGACTCTCGTCGGCCATTCATGTTTATATGGCGTGCGAGTGCCCCAGATGTCGCGGATCGAGTCGCGAGATTCTTGGAGCGCGGGTGGCATATTGGCACGAGTATGGAATCAAGGAGACACATCCAACAGAAGCGGTTGAATGCCTCGAAATGAGACAGACCATGGACAAAAGGACCCGGGGATCGAGCCATCAAAGCTAGTTCCAACGAGCTTAATCCAACTTGGCTCAAGAAGGCCTGAAAGCTGGAGGAGCAAAGCCAAGTTTTCGTGGTGACGTCGAAGTTTCTCGTGTTGGTGAATTGGGGGCCAAACCGTCAGCATCCAAAACCGACGTGTGAATCAAAGCCAACTGAATCTTTATTGTCGACTCAAACCGTGCAATGTGGGCTAAATACAAGCAATTTATATACTTCGCCCTTCGGGGCGGCCAGCGCACCTTTTCCCATCCAGAGAATCACAGAACTCAGACAACAAAACGGCCATGCATTTTTCCCGTCCCATTTTGTTTCTGTCTTTCTCTCTCCTTCGTTAAAAATTCACCAAAAGCTTTCGCTGCAAGCTTGAGAGCAGGTCCTCCAGTGAATGGCTCGCTAGGTCGACCAACCCGAGTAAACGACTCATATTGCTCGGCGTTGCTGTCTAAAATAAACTCGGTCACAGTAACACACAAGTTATCCTCGGAGGTCTTCTCTCTCGAAACGAATTCAAAGTCGTTTGAGCTCTCTAGTTCTTTGTACACACCTTCTATGATTTCACTGCAGTTTTGCGTCAAAGTGATGTAGTCGATCGTCATTTCTACTACCATGCCTGGGATATGCTCCAGCAGCTGCTTCATGAACTGAACTGGCGTGAGTTGCCGGTGGCTTGTATTCGCCCGCTTTGAAGATCCGGTCCTGGACCCCGACGCCTGTTGGTTTCGTTTTTGGAACAGCTCCTGTAAGCTGTGAAGTCCTCGTTCTTTCTGCTCGACGTCTCCAAAGAACTGGCGGATTGCATCGGCGGCAGGAAGTCTGAATAGCCATGGTCGTCTCTTTAAGAATGCACTGTTCCCAGCGCTCGTGCGGCCCATTCTGTATCGATACCTGGAGGCTATGGCCCCAGGTGTGGTAGGGAATTCGCCAGCAAACAGAGGAACGATTTGGCTATCCATCATCATTTCTATAATATTCCATTCGAGACCGAGAGATTCAACAAGGCCCATTTGACGCCACGCATTGTAAAGATGCGCAAAGGAGAATATGGAAACAGAGTGGTTGGCCAGCTCTATGCCCACATACCCCGTTTGCACATAAAGATTCATTAGAGAGTCGCCGACATACAAGGGGTTACGATTAATCATGAACTCGTACTCGTCGGGGGGCATGATGAAATTCAGATCAAGTTTCTCCATGTTTTCTTGGAGTTGCTTTCGTTCCGGTTCACTCCGGATTTTGAAATTGCTCGCGATTCGCATTTGCGTATCTTTGTCTGGCGGTTTATACGAAGCATGCTGCTCTAGCACGCTCATTTTGATGAAGCTATTGATTACCCTGTGGCATCTGAATTCAATCAGATGAGAAATATGTCGCAAAAGGGAATCCGCCGTTCTTGGCCACCTGATTTCGTTTCTGTTGCTAGAATCGTGCTGTATAAACAATAATTTGGTGATCTGGTTCCCCACCGAAGTGAGCATGTTAGCGCCCTCGAAGGTTTTACCGCATATACGCCACACGTCCAGGAAGAGCCTCCATGTAAACACATTCTGTAAGGATACAATACCCTTTTTCCAGATCACGCGGGCGCTAGCATATGTTGTCTCATTTAACGACTCTTTGAAAACCTCGTCGAGAGGAAAAGTGGCAAGTTGCTGTAGCTGTACAGCTTCCCATTGCTTGCTGCAGTCCACCTTGTCTTGAAGGATCATATCCAAGAATAGCTGAGAGAGTATACGGTCCTCTTCTTCAGCTTCGCGCATCCGAGGAGACTCTGTTAATGCTTCGGGAGAGGAGATGAAATGCAAGCTTAATGGGAACACGGGGGGAGGCCAACTGCCCATGGTGAACAGGTTCCGAAATATGGCAAATCTAAATAAAATTTGGGCTGTTGGCAGAAAGATAAACTCGTCAAAGGGGCCTATTTTGATCGGATCTAGCTTTCCGTCCGCCAGTTTATCCGAGAACGGCGAGCCACACCAGAGACAGTAAACAAGCTTCTCATAACTCTGAGTGGGAAAAAAATCGGCATAAGTCTGGTAGATCTCTTTTTCAGCACGGCGTACAAGTTCAATGGCTGCTTGTGTGATGATCGAGGCAGAAACCAAATCCAATTCTCCTTTGTTGTACTCGGTCCAGACTTTGATAACTTGTTCCCGGATTTTGTGGAGATCCTCGAAAAGACAGAAAATGGAAAATCGAACATCCCAGGTTGATTCCTCTGGTTCATAAATCGGAGATTTGGACTTGTCGCGTGGCTTGTTCTCAGAGGCAGGCCCGTGAGCGTCTGAAGGCGCACCCGAGGTCGTATCCGAGCCGGCCGAGTCAAAGCTGTCGTCAGCATCATCGACCCCAAAAGGAGCGAAACGATTCCTAAACGGAAAATAAAGAGAATGAGCAACAGATGCAACCATGGAGATGTCTGGGTGCAGAGCTTACTCCACACCGGCAGAGGGTTTAGTTGAAGGTGGAGGGTCAGCCGAAGCTGCATGGGGACGTTTTATATCCTCATTGGGTCGCTTTAGTGTGTCAAACGCCTTTTGAAGAACATCGATGAAGAATGCATGCCCATCCAGAGCGGGGATGTCATTCATCCCCCGTTTCTCGAACCACGCTGCACACCTCTTGCGTGCGTCAATCGCCCGTCGAAGAACCCGCTGCACATTGAGGGGCATCTGGATCTTGTGCGTCCATGCCGCAACAATGTTTACCTGACGGAGGATCTCGTGCGTCGAGAGTGTATACGTGATATTGGAAGCCTCAAGTGGGGGAGCCTCGAGTTTGGCAAGCTTCCTGGCTTTGCCTTTTTATCGCGGACCCTTGGAGGCGGCAGGCTTCGGTGGCTCAGGGCGCTTAGAGCTAGCTGGTTTGTATCCACAGGTCTTCGCAGCTTTCGCTAACCAAGTGGTGAAAATGGTTGTGTCCTCCTTATATCGCCGGTAGCTGCCAGTCAAAACTTCAGGTAACATTATTGTAGAAGTCAAGGAGCACCTCGCAGTGAGATGGAGGAAGAGTCGAAGGACGCATCCTGAGGCACAGGCTGGGCATCGTGTGCCGGCGCTTGCTATGTATGCAAGTGATTGACAGCGCATGTTGGGCGCCAACGAGGGGTTGCGTGTTTGCACTGTTTGGCTGGCCCCCTTGGCTTACTCAGCGTCTAAAAATAGCGGGGTCAAGTTACCCCTCACCGTTGGGGAAGCGGTTACCCCGCACTGCGTCATTGCGAGAAGAGAGAGCGGGGTATCAGTACTCGGGATCGCAGAGCAGTTGCTAGAAGAAGGAAGTACAGTACATTCTCCCCTCCTGGGGCTAACACAAGGACTGGCTTGCAATGTCTGTGGAACATTCCAACCTCTCTTCCCATGGTTGTTCTTGAGAGTGAGAATCCTCAAATCATCCGTCACAACTACACTCATCACGACTTCTGTATAACTAGCCACCATGGCGAATCTCGCAACCTTGGATGTATGTGCGTCCTAGCCTCCTTATGTTCATTGAACTGTACTCACTCATTGTTAAAGAGCAGCCAGCACCCTTACCTCCCTCAATCCGCCTCCCTGCTCTTCGATGCCAAAGCCAAGGCAAACCTCACCTTTGAAGATATCGCTCGGCACATCGGCCGCAATGAGGTAGCCACGGCAGCAATATTCTATGGGCAGGCAAAAGCGTCCAAGGAAGATGTTGTCAAGCTTGCTGAACTTTTACGACTGCCGGCCCAGGCGCTGGAAATGCAAATGGGCGGCTTCCCCGACCGAGGACGCTCTGTCGACATGCCTCCGCGTGAGCCTCTGATATATCGCTTGTATGAAATTGTGCAGAACTACGGGTACGCGTATAAAGCGGTGTTGAATGAGAAGTTTGGCGATGGGATCATGAGTGCTATATCTTTCTCGACAAACGTGGAAAAGGAGACGGACGACGATGGGAATAATTGGGCCGTTATTACACTGCGAGGGAAGTGGTAAGTATCCATCTAATGCCCATCTTGAAAGGTAGTAACTGAAAGTTGTACTGTCACTAGGCTACCGTACTCGCGATTTTAAGCAGCTGCCATACGTGATATGGATCGGATATGATCAGCTATCAAATCCACTTCCTGCTTCTCCAACCTTTTTGCTCTTCACCTTTTTTCCCTCTGAGATCTAGCTAAAGAACAGATAGTTGTTATTCCAGACGAGGGTCTCTAAGCTTCTGGGATATTCCTCGCTACTTGCGCCTATTCCTTGGGCTCGCGAGACTAGTTAATTCTCTAGCTGTTTAATCAAAGTCAAATTGAGATCAATCTGCGACCCATACACGCACTTTGCTCCCTAGCAACATAGGGTGCAATTGGTAAACATTTACAAACAACAGATGTGATACCCCTCATTAGCTCGCTTTGGCTCATCACCCTGTTCATCTGTTGCCCCTTTGACATCTCCCACTTTTCAACTTGGCTCCATCTGTTGGGCATATTGTTTCTAACTCTTCTCAGTATTCGACATGGCTGATTCCGCAAGTCAACTCGCGCGCCGAATCAATTGCACCTTCAAAGGCTGTATGCGCGCGTTTCCCACTGAGAAGGAGCTTATCAAGCATAAAAAGTACTCCCCCGAACACGACTACTGCGTCAAATGTAATGAGGACTTTGAAGATGAAGAGTCTCTCTTGATGCACAAGATTGAGAGCAGCAGACACATTGTTTGCCCCATCTGCGTGGATGAATTCAAAAGTGAGGGAGGGCGGGATGTTCATCTCCGCCAGGTGAGTCGCAAACCGTTGAGAACGAAGATGTATTAGGTTCTTGGTCACTCCTACTTATACTATTTCTCCTTACTATGACAGATCCATTCTGCCGATCAGAACCTCAAATGCGTCGGCTGTCAAGCTTCGTTCAATCGCGCCCATGGCCTAATGACCCATATCGAAGAAGGAAAATGCTACGGTTTCAGCGGAGACGAATATCGAGCCCAGCGCGCCCAGAAGCGTGCTACCAGGGTAGCGTTGAACGGCAATTTGGGCAACAAGAAAGCTCACTCTGGTGCTGCAACATCCGCTGCAAGTGTCGATGGCGGCGTGGAAATCAATATCATGGATGATTCTGAGTTTCCGGCTTTGGGAAAGGGCAAGGAAAAACTTCTCGCTGCATCGGAGCCAGAAGGGGAAGAGAATGCCAGTGTCTTCGATGATGGTGCTTCTGAACTGAGCGGAATCACTCGTAGTATTAAGCACTGGCCTGGCACCGGCCATGTCGGGCAATCACCAAGCAAGCATGAGGACTTGATGGCCTTCTCAGAATTGGGATTGGACGATCAAGACAATAATGATTCCCAGGACGATGAGGATGAGAATGAGTTGGATGAATGGGGCGAACTACCACCCGAAACCGAAGAGAGTGAAAGGAAAATGCCTCAGCATTTTATCCTCTGGGAGACATCTCAGTTCTACAACAGCGTTCTTGGAGCATATGTCTGCCCGTGTGATAGGGTATTCAAGACCAACGCAGAGATTTCTGCACATCTGAGGTCCGGTATCCATGACGGCGGCGTTGTTTAGTAAGTCTCGTCCCGTATATTCCAAAGATTCTGAAAAGGAGGCCTTCTCTAACCAACCACCGGTCGACGGAACCAGCTGCCCTGCCTGCCATCGTCCATTCAAGTCCACGCCGGCCCTTGTCGCCCACGTTGAGTCTGCTACAAGCCGCTGCAAAGTTAGTATGTCGGGCAACCTGGGGAAAATCATGGACGATGTCTCTGGTGGAGTGATCGAGGCTAGTGGGTGCAACGAAGATGGCACGGCCATATTTACCGCTGCCCCCAAGCAGGAGATCAAGCCTTTGGATTTGACCAAGGTTAATTGGTAATGGCATCGACCAACAGATGAAATGGCAACTTAAGAGTGTCACATATCAATGATATTGTGATCACGGTGTACTCTGTGCTAGCTACCCAAATGAAGCTGATTATGAAGCAGCATTTTAGTTCATAGGTTCAGGAATCTGGCAGTGTTATTCCGGACACTACCCGCAATTAGACAATGAGAAATTCGTGCAAATTTGAAAGAACCCAGTCCGACAGAAGAAAGGCGATGCCTGTTTTGTCCTTGTGATTCATATCCATTGCTGGTCCAGCTACAAATATTCTAGATGGCTCTCTAAGCGCAATCCCATCTTGTTGCATTAAAGTAACCCATCGTTATTTACTTATTTTGGATTCCATCTGCACATGTCTCATTATAACATGTCTCATTCAACCAAATGCTGCATGCTTCTTTTCTCATCAATGAAAACAGCATTGAACTGTATATTGATTGGCTCTCAGCAACCCGGCATGTATGTGTATCTTCTCAACAATATGGTGTCAATTATTGCTTCTTGTGAATTGCCCGAGGAGTTTCCGTAAGCCATAGTATCGCCAACAGGGGAAGTGGGCGAAGAGCGAACTACTGTTTTTGATAATTCGGCTTCGGCCTGTTCTCTCAGTTTGCTCTCATAGGCCTGGTTGAGTATTTTGCCAAAGAATATAGACTGGAGATTTGGAGGTTTTGAAAGTTAGATCTGGGCTAGCCTTATATATGTGATGGGAAAAAAAGCAGTTTAAATCATCACTCACGGAACCTTTGTCAAGGTTACGCTTTCGATGGGGTTTCCCGGATTTGGCTCTTTGGTTTCGCCAGTTTGTTGAACACCGCTTGCCTCAGTACCCCAGACTATTTCCCTGCCATCTTGGATGCAGCAACTTGAAAGAAAACAATAGCATCCTCAAGATGGATTTGTCTGAGTGCAGACAGTAAACACTCTTGAAATGATATAAGTTTAAGACAGATTAGTCAAACTGACATTGGTAATTATGTAGGTACTCAAAGTATGTCTGTAGTCCATAATATCACTTTCAGTATTTGAGCAACAACTGAGTGTATGGTCTGTAATGGCATGCACTCCGAAACCTTCGGGCGAGGCCAGATCAACTACTAATCAGTGTCGCAACCCCAGAGGGGTTAGCACAAAGGGCCTGATCAGACTTAGGGGCCGCCATATTTTGTATTGCAAGCCATGATTTGCGTGATTTGAGGATTCGAACAGGAATAAAGCCTCAATTCCAAGAGATTCCGCAAAAGGCTAACTGTTGATAGATAAAAGGGAGATGGGAGAAACAGAAGAGAGCCAGTATTACAGGAATGTCGTTCGAGCAAGAATGAGCGCCAAGAGACCAGACATATCTAGTTAACCAAATCAGGGATAGTGTCATAGTGTTAAGGCGATTACATAATCCAGCAGTTTTCAACAGGATCGACGACAGTGATATGGACAGCTCAAACAAAGGCAGGTCTTCTATCAATCTATTGTCCGGCTACTGTCTACAAACACCTACGCAATGTCAAATCCCAATGCAAACAGCGACACGACTCTCCGTCACTCCGATGACTATCTCCGTTTCAAACGCTACGCCGCCATCACTTTCGTTGTAGCCGCTCCAGTCCTGATTGCTCTGCCTCCCCGGAAATTAGATCTTTACACCATCTCTCTTGCTTCAGCATTCCTCTTCTCCGCCAACCACGTAGTAGCCGACCAAACGGGCAGGAGCATCATGGAACGTCTAGACGCTCGTTTCGGGGGCAGAAAAGGACCCGGGATGTTTAGCGATCTACCTACCTCGCGAGCGGAGGAAGTTAGCCAACAGATTCGCCTGGCTAGAGAAGCCGCCCGGCAGCCTGAACTACAGCGACAGCGCGCTCAACAAGGGGGCGAACAGGACAAAGGAGGACTGACGGATCTTGGTAAAAAGGTATGGATGGGTGGGGAGACAGAAGGCTGGCGAGAGCGGAGGATGGAAGAGGAGAGAAAGGCGCTGGAGGAAGGAAAGGGATACGGCGATTTGATCATGGATCATATACGTGATGCGATTGGGATGGAAAAGGACGGCAGCGATCAGAGTTCTACGGAAAAGAATGGAAAACCGTGAAAAAGTGTATCAAAATCCGACGCTCGCCTTTTTACACTCTACTCAGATAATATTTGCAAGGTCAGAGCTCCAGCCTGATCCCTGTCGACGAAAAACTCCGAGTTCGACGACTACTGGGTGCTCTCTTCAGCAAAGGCTTACACCAAGGTTGGATTCGCATTCCCGGGCAGACATGACTATCAATATTGTCGAGGTTGGAGTCGTGCCATTACCAGCTACGGGATGGGGCAAAATGTCTCATTGAGAAAATCAAGAGCTCTGGACAATACTCGGCTAAGGGAAGAGAAGAACGCCTTAGCTGGTTGTGATCTTAGTGTGCCGCCCATCAGCTGGAGAAACGACTGCGTTCCCTGACATTCGATATCTACATGCCTTTTGTCGCTAGAGATGATGTCTGGATGTATTGAACGATGGTGAACCTAGTGTTGGAGATCGAATAATTGTTAGAAAGTGCCGTTTACATGAAGTGAAAGCTCTGAAGTAATGACTTTTTGAACTTTTGTCATTGTCCGTCCATCAAGAAGACTATATAAGATGCCACTTCCACGTCTGTAGACATATACCTGAGAATACGTACTTGTTGGCCAGACAAGTACCTATTCTAGAGTATATATACCCCTACACTCCCCTGAGTATCCACAACCACAACCGCTTTTCTCTTGCTTTGGATTTTGTTCTTCCTTCCCTTTTCCTTTTCCAATTTCCCAGATGGTTCAAGACTCCAACAGTCCCAAAGTTCCCAAAACTCCAAGATTCCAAAATTCCAAAATTCCAAAATTCGAAAATCCAACTTCAAAATTAAAACTAATAAATCCATTTGCGCCAGCAGGAGCCTCGATAAAAACCCCCAGAAAACAGGTTTAGGACAGACATTGCGAGGCAAAAACCGCTTGAATTTTGGGAAAAGCTCTCGCGCTGAGGGAAAAGAGTGTCTCCTGCTGCTAGACTGTTCTTTCTTTCCTTCTTCGTTCGTTCTTCGTAGGCCGTTCGTTTTTCGTAGGCCGTTTGGTCGTTCGGTCGTTTGGTGGTTTGGTGGTTTGGTCGGCTGTTGTGCTGGACTCTTCGATGGTCCGGACGAGAGAGTATGAATGTTGTTGTTTCCCGGGCTGGCCAGACAGAAGTTTTTCTTCTTATTTTGCCTGGACCCGGTAACGTCCGATGTGGGAGCATCGTGCTCCTTCCCCCGGCGATTGGGGTTGTTGTCGTTGCCGTTGCCGGCGACCCGGTCGGCGTCGGCCGCCGTTGCCCTGGAAGCCTTGTCGTGAAGGCGGTGACCCGGTGGTCTGGGAGGGCGGCGATTTTGGCGGGTTGTTCCCGCGGGACCCTCGGAAGGGTGTTTTCAAGTTGTCCCGGTGTGACTGTTGTTGCCGGGCTTGTTCGGGGTGCCTCTGGCGATTCAGAGGCTGTGGAAATCGATTCCGTGGCCCGGCCTGTCGTTGCCCACCCCTGGACCCTCCGGGGTGGGTGTGGTTCGGCTGGTTTCGGTGTCTTGGCCACGGTGCGTTGGAGGAGGACCTGGGTTGTTGGTCCCCCATGGTGACGTCGGCGTCGAGTGCGTCAAGTGCGTCGATATCGATCATCTCGACATCGTGGATTTCGTTGGTGTTGAAGCCGTTATTGGCTTCGGCAGGTGGACAGATGTCAATGTCCATCGGATCGGTTGGTGGTAGGTTGTCTCGCTGAAATAAATTTAGGATGGGAAATACTTATTGATAGCTCTAAACCGGACAACCCACCTCGAGGTTTGCGAGGAACGGATTTGTAAGGCTGGGAGGACCAGCGGTTTTCTGTCTCAAGGATTAGATACAAGAGAAGTAAAAGAGGAATGAGAAGACTTACCCAGCTGTATTTGTTTCCGAACTGGTCGGCGAAGGGAGTAGCCTTGGAAAAGACAGCGACGTTGGCCATGGTCCTCGGTTGCTGTATATATATATATATATATATAAAAAAAAAAAAACCCTTTTCGGTAGGGTTGTTTGTAGGATGTTTGGAGGAGTTTTTTTGGTCGAAAAGAGGAATCGTATCGTGTGTCGATAGATGTCTTTCGAGGGATAAGATCTTTTCACCTGGCTCGAGGCCTTTGGAACCCAGGCTCTCGAGGATGAAGTTTTGTAGTAGGTGGTTTTTACTCGCTGGACTAGAGCGAGTGTAAGGATGGATAAGTCGTTGACTTATCAGAAGGAGGTTTTGAGGAGGTGGTTCACCGGTGCCTTGTTCAAAGGTCGGTTGTAGGTTTGTCTAAAATAAAAAACAGTTTGCAGTAAAACGAGTTTGCAGTAATTCAGATTTGCAGAAGTTCAGATTTTGTTTGAGACGTTGAGACAAGTGTGTTTTGTTCACCAGCTGTAGGTCTGGAGAAAAAAAAAAAGGAAGAAGGAGCTTGAGGAGGAGAGAAGGAGCTATTTATGCCCTCCTGGTGAGGCAACAGAGGGATCAATCCATGGAATGCGTTCGAGTCATCTCATGAAGTTCGGGTCCTGAAATTATCATCGACATCATAACAACGATGTATAAGGAAACCAGCAACCGCCTCACAGGCATATCGATCCATGGAGGAGATCGAAGTCATTTTACCTCGGACGTCTGATGCCCTTCCGTCACTAGGGGGAGTCAGGGAAGCGGCCTTCCGAAGTTACAGATGAATCAAAGTTGATGTTGAACCGAACAAGTTGCACAGGAGGCAAATGTGCAAAACAGTCCTTGAAATGGGAGCGATCATAAGGGCAGCTAAGCGTTGCGCGCCATTGAAATCGGCCCCTTTGAATAGGCCAGAGGTTTCAAACGCAAGTGAGAGCAGAATATCCCTTATCATTTAGGTCTCTTATGCACGATCCAGCCTGGAGTGGTATGGCAAAATGCCCGTTTCTAAGGGACCTTAGGCGAAAAAAGGACTCCTCCTTGCTCCGCAAAACGGCGAAAAATAGATTTGGGCAACGAGCAGACTGCTTCACTTTTCAGCGATGACACATAAGTAAACCAAGGTAACCAGACGGTAGAGTGAACCAGTCCCAGAAGATTCCTCGACTCAAAAATAGTTTGCAGTTAGAGAGGTGACTCCATACCGCGTTAGCATCATTCTATTTCCAATGTAGCGGTCATCGATGTCTCATTTCAACATGTCTTTTCTCCGTTTCCGCGCCCTGTCCTCTCTCATGATTCCTCCCCGGATCTCCGGTGAGTTTGGATCTTTTACGTTTCGGTACAGCATCGTTGACGCCGGTAGAATTCCCAGTGACTGAACCGGTACTATCTCGTTTGCGTTTCCGGTCTTTCTTCCCCATCCTGTTTCTTCGTGCTTCTTCCTTTAGCTTCAAGCGTGCCTCTACCTCATCTGAAATGTCCTCAACGTCGATAACTGGGATGTAGGGAGGATTTTCCACAGCATCATTTTCAATCTCACTAGGATATCTCGGTTCCAGAAATTGCCGTTGGCGTTTGACGCGGGAATTGGCCGGTTGCTGGAAATCGTGGTTAACCCATTCGTCTCCCTCACGGGAACGCTTTTTGCTCTCTTTGTGTCTCTGTGGAATGTGGGCGGGCGTTGAGTCATTGTATGCTGCGGACATATGGGCGTCATCTATTTTGAATGAACCGTGTATAGTTCCATTGTTGGGAGACGTTCGCTCCGCCCTCCGTGTATGACTCTTTTTAAAGTGTGCACCAGAGTCAACTCGGCCGGACACTTCGAGAGGCTCCTTAGACACAGGATTAGCAGTATGACATAGCTGAGATATTGTAGGGTATTCACAAATTGATTTCGAATTTTCTCCAAGTCATTCATGAGCTGTTGCGTCGCGGAGACGATAGAAGAGATGAGCTTGACTGAGTCGCCATTAGAAGATATCTGCTTCTGCACCATATGACATAGTTTGATATGGTTGCTCAGGTTTGACTGATGACGTGAGAATATCTGATATAGAGAAGGAAGTAAGCACCATGTCCGAAGTGACACACCCATATGTGAATAGTGGGTTTCTGACCTCTGGTAACAGGTTTGACGCCTTGTCTTCATTCATATTGCCCTGGTTGAGCTCAATATGGACTAGTTTCCAGTATAGACCGGAGAGTCGCACCAAGAATAAAGCGGTTACCGGCTTCCTCGCAGTGGCTCAGCTGGAGAAAAGCGAGGCGGGAAGGAGGGAAAGACTGGCCATCACGACCTGACGTTGGACTCGGCGGGTTTTTATTGGCTGAAGCAGTGTCGCCGCTAGCGCGGGATGATCCCGCACGCTAACCCGAATGGAGCTCCGCAAGAAGCTTCATCGAATTAAGCTTAAATTGCACCTCCGCGACGGGCACGGGAGGACCCCGGAACCAACCGCGCGCGAGGAGATTGGAATCGTCTCCGTGATCAATGTGCCACTCTTGCCATGGAAGCACATAGAAAAATTGCTTGCTCTGCGGGCATGCTCTCTGAGTCACTGAGGAGTCATAAAGTAACCAACAAAAAGTACAATTCTGGTAGATTCTGTTTTGAGATTGGAAATCGTATCCGTGGTTGATGTGCCCTTCTTATGAACGGAAGCACATAAAGATAGCTTGCTCCGGGGCGCGCTCCTTGAGTCACTGGGGAGTCATAAAGTAACCAGTAAAAAGTGCATTTCTAGTAGATTCTACGATGGGAGATTGGAATCATCTCACTGATCAACGTGTCATCACTGGCGAAGCGCATTGAAAGTTGCTTGCTTGAACATGTCACCTGCGTCGCTGAGGAGTCAAATA